GATAGACTAATATTAAATAAAAATGCACACAGAAACTGTTTTAACCCCTCGCGCGGATTGTATTTCTAATGAGTTCATGTTGTTGTTCGAGAGAATTTGCTGATGGCTTTTGCGTGAACCTGAATGTGATTTAGGTTGGAGAATATCCTCCAGATGTTCTATTTCTCAAACTAAGCCATGAAAACACATTTTTCTCTGTGAAGGCAAAGCCATTGTTTTAGCTTGTCTGGATGTGTAAGATGCTGCCAGGTCATGTTGCTGCCTTTTCCTCTGCAGGATGAAAGGTTCAGTCTCTTTAACACACATGCAGGCTCCAAATCAGCACTGAAGGAAAGAAGGAGAGACAGGGCGAAAACTGGACAGTGGAGGGTGGGATGGAGAGTGAACTGTTTTGACAGTGCTGGGAGGAAGAGAAGGAAGTGATACATACAGAAAATCAAAGGTGCCAGTGTGTGAGGATTCCTAACTGTGGAGGAAGCTGTTGGTTTTTCTTAAGCTACTTGTTTGGTTTATTTGAAACTGTGAGGTCTACAAAACATCCAACAGTTCTTTAACTTGCTGAAAATAAGCCCAACTTTGGAATTTTGAATTTGCCACTCTTTAGAGCTTTTTTAGACTTGAAACTGAATTCTATATTCCTCCATTTTATTGTGCTGGGAGTGAAAGACTTTTGAGGTGACTAGCAAACAACTCTAGAAAAATCACAATGGTGAATGAATGTGCATGGCTGAGTGCCAAAATGTTAAGCGTAAAAGCAGGGTTCGATTGTCTAAAAAAGCCCAACTGATTCCATCCCTCTGTGAAAATGGTAAAGTTTCTCACGAAGAGCTTTGTGCGAGCTTTTAACTTCAAACATTAAAACGTTTCTTTTCAGCGCAAACTGCATTTTTCAGTTTCACCTAGTTGGTCTATCAGAGCAATGTCACCTTTACATCAGAGTAGGATGGAACACAGCCACCACTTAGTGACTCTGTTTTAAGCATAGAATGTGTAAGCGCTTCTACGGCAGCGTTAATGGTTATGGCTCTTCAAAGGGATTCAGCTAATAGGTTTAGCTCCATTACCATTATGGATTTCTTATGAGGGACCACTTGGGTTCCATCAAGGCATATTACAGTGCCATCTCTTTGCACTGTGTGCACAGTGAAGGCCTGTACCCATTTCTGTAATGTTGGATTAATACAGGGCAATAAGGTGCAGATCTTAATCTCTGGTGCATCAGGGTGAAGAATGTGTTTACGCCGAGGTTGTGAAGCGGAGGTCAAAGGGGAAGAGGTTGTGGTGAGGAAAGTGGGGGAATGATCCGAAGCCAAGATGTTCCATAAATTCCACTCATAATTGTTTCCCAGCTTACTGTGCAGTCCTAGGGTGCTTTAAATGTCAGGGGAACAGCACGCTGATGAATTACCTTTAAAGATATCAGAGAGAGGAGCATTCCAGGTGAAAGATGAGGCCAGCAAGGCACTGCTAGGCCCTATAAGACGGTGTGAACAGTCCCCCCAAGGGGAAATTTGTCTTTTTATCAACTGTCCCAAGAAGTCACGGCATATCTTAACTGAATAATTTAAAGAGAGTTACTTTGCTGTCAACTCCTATTTCTGATTTAGAAGTTTTTCTGCACTGTTCAACTGCAGATATGTGTTCCTTTGTGTATGTTTGGCCTGGAGTGTAAGTGTATGTGTGCTGGAAAACCGGCCTCACTGTGAAAGTGGCTCACATGTGGATTTCAGCAGACATCATGGCACATTTAAATAAAGCACAAGTCACCACTCAGACATTGCTTTTGAAGCAGTAGAAATTTGCACTTGCAATGTGGTGTTTTTGTAGAAAGATGCACAATATCATTTGTGGGCTGTTTGTTTTTTGTGTTGTGTAAATGTGCTGAATGGGAAGAAAGACATGCATGTAGAACATAATTAATTAACACCTTGTTGTAAATTAAGGTATCTAAGATGATGGCTTTAATCTGAACTTAATCCACCATTGCAGACCCAGGTCAGAGGAACCAGGACTTCAGTGCACACGGGCTGTCACCGCAGCTACTTGCTTGTGATAGTTTTTCCTTGGAGTATAATACTATTTCACTCAATAATCAGATCTGCTCTTTGACCATGGAGTACTGCAAAGCCGAGATGAAATTGAAATGCGTGGTTACGGTCCTTGATAATCTTTATGTAAGCATGAGAGGAATGTCTCTAGTGGTCTCACTCAAATGCTTTATAGCCGGGAGGTGAAAGCAGCAAGTTCGTAATTTTGTGATAGAACCTTCAGATACTAATATCTGTTCGGACCCTTCTGTTCTTCAAAATTTTCATATTTTATTGCATTACTGTGTCCGATGTTTTCACTGTTACCCACAAGTTCCACAGAAAGGAAGAGGGTATTGTGGAAAAAAACACATCTAATACGTTAATTGTGTTTGCAGAGCTCCTAAGAAGTCTAAAGTTTTCTTTATTGATGAAAAAGTGAGCTGAAAAAGTATAGATAAAATAAAAGAGTATGTAAAAAGATATGTGCTGCTGTACTATTTACCAAATTCTTATAGGTAAATGTGGAAATTTAGGTATTCTAACAATTTATCCAAGTTTTTAATGAAGGCAGTATTTTAAATATTAGCAATCTGTTGACTTAGGTTGACCTTTTTAGCCACCACAGTTGAGTTAATTTATTAAGACACCAGTTGATTCAATGCACACTTTTGGAGCTGCATGGCTTAGGAGGTAATTGTGGTTCTGTACTGTAAGTAAGACAGGCTGCACACTAATCAGACTAGAGTATAGAGTTTTTCATAAGAAATTTAACAGATTCATATTTATAGATTTAGAAAGTAATCATATCTATTCAGTATGTTGATACAAACTATCAAGAGCAACAATGCAGCTTTAATCAAATGCTGTGCTTTGTGATTTGATGGTTAGTGAATTAATAAGCTACAGTAGATGAGCTATAATCTTTGACAAATGTTTGGCAACAGAATGGCAGACCTAGAGTGTAAAATAGGTATGGGTTTTGAATGTGTTTATCAAACAGGTCAATTCTGCAAACAGAGATGAAACATATCTTCAAAACAGTAGACACCAGAAATTCTGAGACTATGGAATTTTGAAAAGGCAAATATGCAGCAACCTTGCGAATGCCATTTTGATTCTAGTATTTCATACTTTTTGCTCTTTTTTTCTCCCTCTGCCCTCATTGGCGATAAATTGTCTTTTTCCTAGCTGTGAAAGCAGCCACTGACTCGTGTTAATTTGTGTTTCTTTCCATCAATCTCCCCCTCCTTCAATGGGTTTTACATTTATGCTCACTTGTATGACAGCCTCTATAGTCCCCCATTCTTCTTTTGTGTCCATGTCTATGAATTTTGAGAAAAAAACGTGCCGAGGAGGTCCCCGTGGCAATGGCAGCAATTTGGCTTTCATATGCTCCTGTCGTCCAGATAGTGCTTAGTGCTGCTGTTAGGCCCGAGAGTAAATGTGCTGTTCTGCATTCATTTGTTTTACAGCATGGCAGAGAATAATGACACCAAATTTTTGTTTTGAGCTGCAATTTTGGAAAGGCTTGGCAGGATGGAGTTGCACAAGGCTTTCAGATAAAATAATATAAACAATATTTTTGTTACTGGTTATTTGCTGTTTTTCTTTTTTCCCTCAGTGAGTTAAACAGTAAATAGGGGAAGGTTATCAAAGATCTAGAAGTAAATTAAAAATCATGTGAAAAGTGGATAATGATCTTTTTTTTTGTAAAGTTCAAACTGAGAGATGAAAAAAATAGTCTTGTCGGTTCAGAATCTTATCTGGCTTTGGTTGGCTGAGTAATTAAATCAGAGGAGCGGGTGAAGTTCTGTGCAGCTCAGCGCCTCGTCTTGTTTCCTCTTTAATCAGGTGGCTATTAAACCTCTGATTGCACCCATCTTCTGACTTCAGCTTAGCTATTAAGCACAGATTGAAAGCATTTTAGTCTGTATGTGTGTGTATGTCTGTGTGTGTGTGTGTGTGTGTGTGTGGATGTGTGTACTTGCATATTGTGTCACATGGAAAGGATGTAAGAGAATAGAAAGAATAATTCAGATCACAAGTGGAAAAAAATAGGGTTGCGCAAATGCGAGTTACTGGAGAGCGAATCACAAAAGAACAGACACATTTATGATTTTGTAGTGTTCTTCCTACCACCTGGTTGCGTTGTATTATTCCACTTATTGTTGGCTAAATGATGAATGCTTCTTTTCACATGGGTCTATTCAAATGCTTCTTTTCACATGTGAGATATTTTTGACCTCACATTTTAACACAACAGTGGAGTCAAGGCTTTGTGCTGCACATGCACAAGTGGGTCTTTGCTTCTCTCTTTTCCCTTTCACCTTTCTCCTGACGCTCAGAAAATCTCTGACACACCAGCTAGTGAATTTTTGTAGAAACGCTGCTATCAAAAATTCAGCTGTGGCCTCATCCTCCACAGGCTGCGAGTGACATTCGCTGTGACCCTCCTCCAAGGTGATCTCTTCTCTGCACTCCACAGAGATCACACAGATTAGACTAATGCCACGCTCAGACGGCTACCGCCAGCCAAGCGGCCTGCGCACATCCATCCTGATGTACTTAGCTTCCCTCTGCTGGCATAGACAAGGTTGTTCAGCAAACAGTCAGCCGTTGGGTTAGTTACAGAGAAAACCTGTTTTTTTAGGGGTTTTTTTTGTTTAGGTGCTCTGGATTTGCAGTTATTGATGCATATATGCATTTTAACCATTTAAGGAGAAAACAAGTCTCTTTGTTCAGAAATTGATACAGAGATTAAGATATGAAAAAATAGTTTTCACAATCCTTGGCTGATATATTTTTATTTTCTCCTTTGTTCTACCCTTTTCTACACCAGGATGGTGTGTTTTGTTGCTCTCTGTGCATTAACATCTTTTTTTTCCAAAAAAGTACCTTTACTTCTTGTGGGAACATGATACCATGAAAAATGTTTGTTCCCTGTGGTGTTCTTATTTGTTTATCCTATAGCCCCTGTCATCCTAAACGAATTAAACTGGACTCAAGCGCTAGAGAGGTTCTTCATTGAAAACCGCAGAGAGGACAGCTCTCTTCGCTGGCAGGTGTTTGGCAGCGCCACAGGAGTGACACGATACTACCCAGGTAGGTTCCAAGGCAAGAGTCAACACTCTGCCTTCTAATTCACAGCAAGATAAGTCTAAATTGACCCTAGGGGTCCTCAGCTGCAGGACATTGGCAATTTCTTATCAGATGGCTGTACAGGTAACTCGATAGACAGAGTGAAATTATGATTACTTTGATATAATCTGATATGAAATATCCTACAGTGCACTGTGTGACCCATAACTTATTTTCTTGCTCTCTGCAGCAACTCCATGGAGGGCACCAAACAAGATTGACCTATATGATGTCCGCAGAAGACCATGGTAAGTGCTGTTATCAAGATCCTGTGTAGCTCCACACACAAAGTGTGTACAGCTGCGGGCCATTTAGTATGCCAGGTGAAAGTTGTTGTTTTTTGTTTTTTTTTGTTGTATTTTAGACGTTGAATCCATTTTCAGTTGAATTCAATTCCTTTATCTGCAGATCTGACATCTTTAGAAACACAAGGTTTACTGTATTGATTCTTATTTTCTCACACCAGCTTTTTTTAGCGTGCAACTGAATTTGTGTTTTAAATGTTTTAAGAATTAAAATTTTGAAACCGCAGATTAAAACAAATTTGAAGTATAATTTACACAGATTATATTTGTTATGGCTAAATTTCTAAATAGTCAGACATCACAGAAGATACCCTGAATCGCCCACTACCTTTTAGAGATATAAAATGTATATGTTAAATTAGTTTCATGAAATGAGAAATGAGAAGTATTTTCAGAAAGTTTAGCTGGAAACATCAAGCCTGCTCCTCACTTCACCCTTCTCAGCCGCCCATATACCCAAGCTTCCTGTCTGTCCCTCTACTTTCAATCTACCTTCAGCTGTCACATCACCTTTGTGGCAGCCCTTCCTGTTGCCTGGTTACAGGTTGGAGTGGACTGGACATAATCATGACAGCAGGGTTGATTAGACATGACCCCATTTTCCATCTCGGTCTTTGTCCAACTCAAATTGAGTGGCTGTTTGAGGTCAGGCCAAGCTGGCAGTCAGCAAGCTCACCCTAAAGAAAATACAAGCACAACAATCTTTCAATTTCATCAATGTTGGAAGAAAAACCTAAGTTCCCGAAATATTAAATGTATAGAAATTTGACAAAAACTCAATGCAGAGAAAGTCATAGGAAATTAAACACAAAATCATTTCAGAAATAGAATGCATGCAGTAATATATGCATAATGATAATGAAATAAGCCAGGCCTTTAAACTATTAATATGTCATTAATATGTCAGTATAGTACCAATAAAACAAAGTAAATACAAATACTAGGAGTATATCCTTTCAGTGTAAAGATCAGGCTGTTCTTTCCAAAAAAATAAAGAAAGACTTAATACCCAACCAAACATACAGAGTAGCTGAAGATTTTGAGTAAATATACTTTCTTTTTTCTAAAGTAACACAACTGTGTCCATTTACTTTACACATTTCCTCCTGCTAATGGGAAAAGTAGAAGCTGTTGCCTATTACCGCTTTGTGTCTACAACTATGAGACTAACAAGGTGTTCCTTGACAACCTAATTAAGTGAACAGCAGATGAGAGTCTCCCTGGCGTTGTACTGTCACACAAGTCTACACTATCAACTTGTAAAAGGCTGTAAACACAAACTAACGTAGGAAAGGACGAGTTAAAGCATCGATCCTGTCCGTGATCTGTCAGTTCAGTCCCTGAAGTGCACCAGAGTTTAATTCTCTTACAAACATTCTGACTGGAAGACTCTTGCTGGAGACGGGAAGGAACAATGGATGAGTGGGAAGAGGGAGGTTGACGAGGTAGAAGAAGACGAGGTGCATTTTTGCGCAAAGGGACACTTTGTCACCTCCCCGGTCCTCCATGTTTGTCACTGTCACTCTGTTGAGCTTTCCCCTCATCTTGGAGCCGTAGACATTCCTTTATCCTGTTGCTTAGCAACCCGCGCCAAAGCGGAGCTGAGTGGCACGGCCGTGGACGGCAGTGTCATCATGTGTCAGGTCAGACTTGTGCGATTATAGCCTAACATGCTGTCGTCCTAACTGACATTCTCTGGAGAGGTCAGCCAATCATGCACTTTACAAAAACAGAGCGCCGGGGTTAGGTTAGCCTGTCATGTGTGCCCCTGTGACAGCAGTAGATATTAACATCTGTCACAGGGAAAACAACAGCACAAGCACTTAAGCAAGGCATACAGATGTTAATCTGAACCACCTTTATCTGGCATGAAAGGGAAAATAAGATATAAATTCTCCTCTCTTTAGTGGAAATAACTTTTCCCTTTAATTACGCTGCACTTCTCATTTGTATTTGTTTTTTTTATGGAAGAAAGAAAGTAAGAATAGATTAGTTTTGGGCTAAAGTGAAGCCCACAGGATGAACTGTGATCGACCGTACAGAGGTTAATCCACTTTGGTGAGGGTCTTCTGAAGCGCATCATAGCCTGTCATCATCAATAAGCAGCACAGGACTGATCAGTCAAAGTTCATCAATAATAAAAGGCTGCACAGATCTTTGATGAGGTTTTTTTCTTGACAATCTCCCATAGTGTGGCTTATCATATAACATTTTATATCTGACTAATGTGTTATCTAACAAAACATTGAAAATGATTAACTGATTAAAGGCGTTGTTTGTCCTCTTTTTTATATCTTATTTGGTTTTACTAAACCAATATTTTTTACTATATTTAAATTTTTAAATCAATGAAGAAATAAGCTGCTACTTTTTAAAGACTGGCATTTCCCGGAAATATCTCATTCTGTTGGTATAATATCCAGTCCAAATTTTCTGCTGTCCGATGAACTCGAAAAGACTGGTTTTCATCCCATAGGACAAATTTTAGCTTTCATCTAATCATTCTAGAGCTCTCTTCACATATTAGGAATTTTCAAAAAATGCATCAAATACATTTGCCCATCTAGACAATTTAAAAAAATTTTCAACAAAATAAACACGGACTATCTAGCATTCATCCTACACAGTATCATAGAAATGAACAAATTGAATGCATCACATAGAACTTTATGCAAGACCAACTTATGGCTTTACAAATGCCAGAAAAGCTACTGAAATACATATGTAATCGCTGGAACACATTTGAGAGACGTCAAGGCTGTCTGCGTCTCTTAGAAGTCTTTCTCAGTCAAAGCCATCATTTTGTTGGCATGAAAGATGCAGTAGTCACAATCTCTTGCCGGTTTTTTCAATAACCGCCTTGTGGTTTAACTGGGAATGATCAACAGTGATGTGGTTGACTGAGCCATAGCGGCCAAACAAAAAGAACAAAATTCTGCGCTTGTGTTTTTCCTCTTCTGCTCCCCCACCCACACCCTCAGGAAAATGAATGAGCCGGTTAACACACTTAATTTTCTCCAAAAACTCTGACATGAATTATTTACATTTGTCTATTATAAGGTATGTTTGTCATAATAGGAGTCAAAATAACGGTACAGGAAAGCAAAGATGAGGGGAAAGTGAACAGGTTATAGAGGAAAAACAGACAGGCATGGAGTCCTGTTAACCAAACTCTGAAAAGTTTCCATTACTTCCCGGATTCATAACAGCATGCTGGCTATAGCACATATTGATTTAATCAAAAAGTCAATCAAACCTCGTTATAGATATTATGATTGCTGGTCAGATCTTGATAGTGTGGCTCCCTCAAACATCATTACCATATCCACCGCCCTGAGCTTTTTTTTTTCTCAGCCGGCTTCAGGTAGAAGCTGAGTAAGAAAACAGTGCTGTTGTTGTTGAAGGTGACACAAGTTTGAACAGGGTCCCATCAAAGGTGCGTGAGAATTGTTCCACGCGCCGTTACCCAGTGTGCTTGACTTATTATCACAACGAGCTAGACATGAGCCAAATTTCAGCGCGCTCTTAGGCATAACCGAAAATAAGAGCATGTGAATCTTGATGCCAACACGTCCAATAATCAACACAATGTGGAATAAATCAACAGTAGACAACATCTCTCTCTCCTGCAGGCTCTCTGGGCGCCTTCCTCCTATATTTTTATCTTAATACAATCTTTATTCGCCTGCCACATCCACGGGAACACTAAGAGAGCAGCAGTCCATAAAATAATGAGCCCATCAGCACAACACAAATCCACACACACATTCTAGCAGTGTCTTTGTGGTGTATGCTATTGTCCTATTATTCTGTGGTTACTCTCCTCACATCCTCAGTGCCTGACACATGCATATCAAAGTTCTCATTCGCAGAAAGGAAAATGTTCCATGTGTACCATATACATACCTGTCATCATATGTAATCATTGCACATTGCGGCCCATGGGCATATTTCACATCAGAAATCCATGGCGCACCAACACACTGTGGACTGCCACTACACACGGTAGTAGGCTTTTTCCGTGACCACAAAAACAATTCAATGCACCACGTTACACGCATCTATTGAATGTCTCTGAAATGTATGTTCTTGATAATTCCTCCAATTTAAATGTGATGCACAACACTTTGCGAAATGGGTCAGGGTGCATAAATACAATCTCCAGAGAGAGCCCCCCCCCCCCCCCCGGCACAGTTAATGTATTGATTTTACAGCGCTGTGCCATGATAAAACTATTTCATGAATTCCAATGAGACTCCTTTACTAGACTGTTACAAAAAGAGCAAAATACAATCACCACAATGCAGAAAATGTAATGTTCACTGCTTGGATAATAGCCTTTCTTTTAGATTTCTTTTGAGAGGCTGGAGGTGTTTGAAGGGCGGGGTGGTTGTATATTTGCTGTTTTAATCTGTTCTTACTTGGCGCAATATCCTGTTCCACCTTAGTCTGAAGAGCACGCTTCCACATAATGTACATATCAGGATTTATCTTGATCACAGTTATTGCTAAATAAATATTTGTGATGGGGTGACCACCCATCTTGACGTGTTGACATATACGGTGCATGTGATAGTCTCTGGTCTTTATGGCAATTTAATACAAGAGAATGTCGCTATGTACAAGCTAATGCTTCGATTTATTGTTGAACAATACATCACCACTTTAACTTCTATATTTATGATGTGCTATTGCCTTCAGTTAGCCAGAAGTAAACACTCTATTCACTTTAATGTATTTATCCACAAAAAACACACTTTTTTTATTTGGACGGCTCTTTTTATCCTCTTTAATAGACTGATCACAAGAGCTAACACAATGTTGGGAAAAATTTGGGACATCTTAAATGAGATATGTCAGTTGTTAGACTGGTTCCCTGTCAGTGGTGAAATGTTCTTCATAACTTGCTGTGAATGTACAAAGCGGCCATTGGCTGACATTTTGCATGTGCTAGTGGTTCCTTCTGCCATGGGAGGCAGAATGGGCGATGGGCCTCTGTTCGCCACCAGCCAGGCCCATCTGCTTGTCACCTGGCCTTGGCATGCAGGAAACTGGGTAATGACAGGGAAAGAATGGCATCAGTAGGCAGAATCTGAGAGGTAATTACTGACTGGAATCCATGCAGAAACAACACATCTGGATCCATGAGTCAAAATGTGGACAATTATACACCGATACCGGCATCAGTTCATGATTTATATCTGTCAGAACTGCGTTATCAGCCCAGAGACTGAAAACCCTTAAACTCCATCCTACTCCCTCTGATCTTGATGTTCTCAGCTCAGAGGCAGAGACAAAGCTCAGTCACACTTCAGGCGATGAAAAAAGAAAAAAAAGACTGGAGCTGAAACACCAGGACAATCTGGGTGGAAGATCAGCCATGGCAGCACTATAGCTCCGGCTCCATCCTGACTCATGTGCAACTCTTCCTAACTCCATCACTGCTCACACATTCTTCTTAAATCCCATTACTGCTGATCAATGCTGCCTTTTTCACAGCTGCAGAGAAACGATCTGCTTGAAAGTAATATTTCTTACCATATTTCAGGACCAAGGCTTGCACAGTTCTCTTATTGTGTTTCACATTTGTGAAGCTGAAGATGACCTATAATGACTGAGTAAAAAGTCTGTTTTGGCTTATGATTAACATTTAGCCCCCTTCAAAATAACTTGAAGTCCCATTAAAGGACCATTTTCTTCGGGGAGAAATAGACTGACCACAGATGTTAATGAAATCCTGCAGTTGGTCTGTGAGCGTCAGCTGTCACCAAATGACCCTCCTTCCACAAGCCCGAGGGGAGTTGAGACGCGGGCCACATTCTGACCGGGCTTCGGTCCTGCATCAGTGATCACTTTCACAAACCCTGTCTGCTCAAAATAAAACGGCCCCTGCTGTGTGGAGTCTCAGCTCTCTCCTCCTCTCTCTCACCGCCTCAAATTAAGATTTCAGTAATTAAATTGATAAAAGTCATGCATGCCTCTCCGCCTTGTGGTTCCAGACCTGATTTCCTTCACCACCCAGTGGTGGAGGAGCTGTGCAGGTTCTACCTTTGATGTCGCATTTTTTATTATTGAAAATAATTGGATTTTTTCTCACATACACACACATACGTTTGGCCTATGTTCATGCCGGGTATGCTCAGTTAATCGACCTCTCGTGAGTCAGCTCTGTTTCACCCGAATTTTCAGCAAAACGGGCACAGATTGTGGGGAAAGAACAGATTAAACAGCCCAGGCAGTTTGATGAGAATTGTCACTTAAACATGGGTCAGAGGTCGTAGTAGGTAGTACGGAGTGGTGTCTGCCTGTGGCTCGGAGTACAGAGACTCATCGCAGTGTCAAAGCCTACTGGGGCCCTGTTGCTCTACCTCCATATCAGCTCGGCTGAACATAAGAAAAGAGGCTCTTTGGCCCACAGGCAGCTGGCTTCCCTCCACACTCAGTGCAATGCCTGATAATCAGCAGAAAGAGACCCCTGATGATTACTCAGCCTGAGACGGCTGCTAACTGCTTGCCTACTCACTCCTCAGAATGTCAAACTAGTGCTCGCATTTGAGACACCCCTCCCCATCTCAGTGAGCCATAGAAATGCCTGAACTGCCCATCAATCTCAACTCTCTTAGTATCAGTGGGAAATGTGAATTTAATTGCCACTGGAAGAGACAGAGGGGATATTTGGATTTCCCACTGTATGTCATCCTCTATCAACATCAGCCAGATGTTATGTGGGAGCCACTTTTCAGGACACAAGTTATCTGGCCAACCAGTTCAATAGTCTCCGTGGCAAAAACACTCACAGCAGCTTTACCTCAGGAGTTGTTGTTTTTTTCGGAAGTACAGACTTCTGACGCACCAGCTCTCCTTCCCAAACAAAGCGTTCATCATACTAAATGATGTACTGGACACCCAGCTGATTAATCTTGAAGGGAACAGAAGATCAGCTACTTTGTAAATTACTTGGGTCAGCACAGGCTTTTCACAGCTAAATAAAAAGACTGTAAGTGAATCACGACTACAGGGATAAAAATAAAACACTGTTTCTCGTTGGTCGCTTATTATCTTTTCATTCAAAAATACAATTATGGTTAATCGAATATAACAAAAGTAGGTGTGCTATAATAATTATCACCCTAACCAATCAGTGAAGTAGGGTAAAGCACATTGTTTCTATGCAGGGTGTTGGTAAATTTGATTATCTGATTAATCCACTTAACCCAGTCTGTGGGAGTCTGAACCCAGAGACAGCCTGTTCTCTTTAAATAAAACTAAACTTCAATAGGCTTTAACTCCAATTAATGAAAATGTGACTAAAATTAACCTGACATTAGTAAACAGCTAAAACAAGTTTTCAGCTAAATGTTTAGTACCTGTGATAGCAAACAGCAAACCTGGAACAAGCTAATTTTCTGGGATTAATCAATGTAATGTGTCCGAATGTCAAAAATACTTGCAAAAAAACAAAAAATATGTAAGCTTTTTGTCTCTGTTACAATTGTTTTGATCATCTCATAATTAGTATTATTAGTTTTATTATTGTATTATTCTTGCATTATATCAGTTAATTGTTTACATGGGTCATCCAGTACATGGATGTTTTTGTGTTATTTAGCAGGTTGTAGTGCATAACAATGTACAATGTACAATGTTGTTTTATGGTCAAACCATCAACTAATAATTATTCTGGCCTATGCAATAATTATTTAGAGTTGGCATTCTCTTCCGTAAAGAGGACTATCTATGTTGAAGTCAGCTATAACAGCTGTAGCCAACACCAAAGTATATAACAACTTATTAACTCTCCTAAGCACATAAGCCTTTTCAGCATTCTGTAGCTTAAGTGGGCTCAGCCATGGTTGCTCCATATTATTATGGCTCAGCTCATCTTGACTTTGGCTTCCTTCTTTAGTGCCGTTTTTCCAGATTATAGGAATAAATAAAAGCCTATTCTTTTCCTTATTTTTGTAGGTATATCCAAGGTGCATCGTCTCCAAAAGACATGGTCATAATAGTAGACGTGTAAGTATCTCACTCCATTTTCACCTTGCCCCCCCCCCCATTTAGTCATCTCCTTCCAAGGAGGACACTAGTGCCACCTGTTGGTATGAGAAAAGGCCCAAAATTCAAGCCTCCCACCCTGGTTAACATAGCCCCTTAATGTGTGGAGCCATGTTGAATTACATCAACATTCTCATTCTTGCTTACTGGGAGGGACATAGAACCACTGAAGGGCTGAATGAGAGGGGAAAATATAGGTTGAAAAAACAGAGATATTTTTTCAATTACTGCTATGTTAGCTGTCACTAGACTGAATTAAGTCTGGGATCTTTTTTCATAATGCATGCAATCCTTTTTCTTACCATGAAGTTTGGTGGCGAGTGAAATTGTTAAGCTGGTGTGTCATTGCGTCTAGAAAACGGAAAGAAGCTGTAACACAGCGTGAATGAGACTCTCTCGTACTTCTCCTTGCATCTTGTCTGTAGGAGTGGAAGTGTCAGCGGACTTACTCTGAAGCTCATGAAAACCTCCGTGATTGAGATGCTGGACACACTATCAGACGATGACTATGTGAATGTGGCCAGGGTGAGTGGAAGCTTACACACCATGAATTGCACTACAGGTATACGATACAACTCACTACCGAAAGCAACATTAATATAAATATTTGCTCACAGTGGGCTCTTTTTCCTCTCAGTTGTTTGCTCGCTGTGGAAACAACGCACCTCCCTTATTACAGTGTGTTTGCTCTTCCTGTATCACTGCTGTCTGTGTAAGCTTGTGTCCACGTGTCTTTCACTCTGATGATCACCAAGTTTTCCATTGAGACTAATTTGTAGGTGAATATTAATGTTTTTTTCTATTTTGCTGAACAGATAGAGCATTGTCATCCACTTACTCTGTTTTGCACGCACACGTAAACACGTGTGATGACTCCGTTTGTAGACTCTTCTGTAATCCTTCATAAGCCATTGCTTTTAGTCCCTGTATGCCCCTAAATACCAGCTCTAAGAGGAAGAAATGAGCATGGTAATCTGGGTTGGAACACATCTGATTGTCACCACAATGTGGTTTACAGAAACCCGCTGTGAATTATTTGTAAACATAAACACATTGACAGCTAAAAATGTATGAGAACAATTATTAAACTCCATTGTCTGTGTCTGCATGCTTCAGTTCTGTGTATTTCTTCATGACAAACCATAACTCCTACCTAATGATTGTGTAATTAGTTATGAGATATACTGTAGCTCTTCATCCTGTAGATGATAGATGTGGCCCAATTCATATTTTCTTAATCTTGTTTCACTGCTTCTGTATTTCCACACATTTTATTTCATTTTATCAGAACGGCGATAATACGAAATTTAAATACTTTTCCGTGCTTGATTTATTTGTTGGTTAAAAAATGAGACAACACCAGCTCCAGTGGGAAATGTCAGCTTTTCTCACACTTTAAGTTGAGCCTCCATCTGTCCTGGAAAGGTCAGTGGATTATGCAGCTGACCTTCAAGTGGAAACCACATTTGAAACATGCTATTTCAGACATTGCTGCACACAGTGTGAAAAAGAAGAAACATTGTTCACAAGAAGAGATATGTAAACAACAAAGAAAATGCATCCATGGTTAAGGGAATACAGAGTTTTGGGCCCATTTGGTGGACGAGATGAAACAGATGATATTACCTTGACTGGGTTTGGGTTCAGTGTATTGCTCTGGCATTTCAGGTGCACCTGTTCTTTGTGGGGAAAGTTGTAATTACCGGTGTTTACTGCCAGCCAAAGTAGCAAGGCAGCGTGCATCAGCGCACACCCACGTCTGTCTCCATGAACAACACACACCTATCACAGAAGAAGCACGGAGAGACACCGTTGGACACTGTGTTCCTTTGGCAAACTTCATTTAAAAATGGTGTATCGTACATTAATGCGTTTCCTCTTATGTGCTCTTTCAGTTCAATGAAAAGGCTGATGCTGTCGTTCCATGCTTCCGGACTTTGGTCCAAGCCAACGTTCGTAACAAGAAGATCTTCAAGGAAGCCGTCATGCATATGCAAGCCAAAGGAACCACAGATTACAAATCTGGCTTCACATTTGCTTTTGAGCAGCTTCTCAATGTAAGAGACAGCAAGCCTCTAAAGGAGAGGCAGTCCGATGCCGCGGTCCAATGCAATTACTCTAAATGAATTTACTGTGATATCGCAAAGCTAACTGTGAGTGGTTCAGGTTTGCAGTTGGCAATTTCTGAGGGATGTCTTGTTTTTAATGATCGGTCTGAGTCCAACTGCTTTTGCGGCAGCCATTACAGAGGTGAGGTTTGTCAGCAGCAGGCATGCACGTGCTCCCCAAACAGGTGCTGCCTCAGCTCCATATGCTGCTGCGCATTTTAGGAGGCTGCCACCCTAATGGGCTCTGATGGGATGATTGATGAGCGTAGCTCAGAGGAGATCAGCTACAGACTCTTTATATTCCTCTGGTGGGCATGGAGGCATAGAGCCAAGTATCCTCCCTTTTGTTCTGCAGAATGAGAAATTAAAAACTGGCTTTTTATCCTCTGTCGGCAGCAGACACGCAGACGTGATTGGTAGCAGAAGCACAATCAAAATATGTAATTATTGTAGTATTATTTATCTTTATTAGAATCTTATCAGATTGGCATGTCACTGGCCTGCATATCAAAATCAACTGCTGTGCAGTGAGGGAGGGGAAATATCCAAATGGAATCCTTGTTACTGTTGTATACTTGAGGTTTAATCCTAAATACATGCAAATATGATGAAGCTGCTGTGCCAGCCAACTAAAAAAATCTATAAATGATTAAGTTCTAAAAATGACAGATAAGATGGGATTACACGGCTCTGTTGCAACAACACGCGGGAAAGAAGATAGAAAAAGAATAGTGTCTGTGTGCGTGCACATAGAAGAACAGATTTAACTGTGAATCCAAGTCTTCACAATGATAGAAGTGTTAGAATATTTCTTAAATGTTGATATTGTTTCTATGATAACTAAACTAGTGAATGGTGTGGAAGGACGAGGTTCATAATGTGTAAACAGAGCAAAGGTTTGCCACTTGAACACTTCTTGAAATTATGCTTCAGCATTATTACCTCCTGTTCTTTCATTTTCCCTAACCTGAGTCTACACCCTCTTTTTGTCTTTGCTGTCCTTCTCCATGTTTGCCACAGGAGAGCAGTGCCCCGAGGGCCAACTGCAATAAGATGATAATGATGTTTACAGATGGTGGGGAGGATCGTGCCCAGGATATCTTTGAAAAGTACAACTGGCCAAACAAAACAGTGAGTGTGTCCCCATAATAGTGTTATCTGTTCATTGATTCTGTCAGCCTAAGAAATCATGCATGTAGAGGTCCCTTTTCCCTTCCAGTTTCCACTGTTGTCTGTGGACATAGTCTCATTATAGCACAGGCAGTTGTGCTAGTCAGACTGCCAGACATGCCAAGCAGTCCAATCTGTGCACACTGCGTCCTTTCCAAGCTTTCTTCCTTTCCACTTTTGTCTGGTTTTCAGTCGATTTTAGCGATTCATCCATTTTGGTCTTCCTTCAGCTCTCTCCCCCTTTATGTATCTGTTTTTCTCCCCCTTCTTCTTCTTACTCATTTGTTGTTGAGCTGGCTGCATTAACGGTCCTGACCCGCTGACTAATTAGCCTTTTTATCATTAGAGCCTCTGATGATACCAGCCAGTAATCTGCTAGTCTGACTTTGTTCATTTCTTGTTCGTTCTTTTACACTTTCATTCCTTCACTTCGCCGCCCTTTGAATCTTGATTCCGATAAGTGCTGCTAACCAGCTATTTCATGGTGAGCTGTAGTATTTTTTTTCCATTTGATTAATCTCTTTTCTTTTCTTTTTATCCTTAATCAGGTGCGAGTTTTTACGTTCTCTGTTGGCCAGCATAATTATGATGTCACCCCACTGCAGTGGATAGCGTGTGCTAATAAAGGTAAGCTCAAAGGTTAATGTTTTAAAATTAAATGTTTCAAAGAAAAAATAACCAGCTGTGATGATTATGAATCGCAATGGATATGGTCTGAGCGCTATTTTTGTCGATCAGATTACCACATTGAAAGTGTCAAAGTTCTCATCAACAGTATACTCGATTAATCATGATGCTGCTTACGTTTAGGAAACTTGGAATCACTACAAACCTGTCATTGTGAATACACTCCAGGTCTTTAAACACCAATTTGACCATTATCTGTTGGTGAACAGCTGTCCCCCTCATCTTTTTGAAGTGTAATGCACCATTGGCTTTTTTAAACCTTGTCAGTGTCTTTTTCGGTTTGTTGAAAATGTTGAATCAGCATCCAGCCTGTCAGTGAGAGAGAAAGAAAGAACTCTGGCTTTTTGTTCACTGAATTAGTTCTACTTTACATAAATGTTGGGTTATCAGTTATTTTCAATGCTTTTATTTAAAGTGTTGGAAACTTTTCAAACATGAATAACATGACTCTGAAAGTCAACAACTATGTGTGAAAATATAGATAATTAAACAATAGATAGAAATATGTTTTCATCATTTTAGATACTCCACAATTCTACCCAAGCCATACAAAACTGTATACAACGTTTGAAATGTTCTTTTTAATCTGTATTAATGTCTCATCCTGACTTTTCTGATTCAAATGAATATTGTTTCTCTGTGTTTATCTGAATCTGCTCATTTATGAAGGCTTTAGCTGTCTGCTGATTAGCTTATTTCCAAAGGAGCCAAGTGCTTCAGAAGTATCTCCCCAGAACTTGTTATTAATTAGCAAAAGAAGTATGGTAGCAGCATGATTACCATGCCATCTTCCTGACAGGCAGGGGAAAGACTGGGATTATGCCTCTGCGCCAAAATGCTCTCTGCTGTTCACAAATGTAGCGATTACCATGGTACTAAAGTCTTCGCCGGCAATACACAATAGTGTTGACACACCAGCCTCAATGGAGCTGTCCTCTTATATCTTAACAACTTATTGCTCTTTAGTATCTCACTCCAGCAGAGCTTGCTCCCTGACACTTCCAGGCTGCAACCCTTCACCCGCCACATGCACACATCCCAAAGGAGCAAACACCCACATGTAAACAGTACCAAACCATTTGGAGATGAGTGCTGTTGTCTCCACCTAAGAAGAAAAAAACTGTCTCCAACCCTGATGAATATAAGATTTGCCCAGACCCTCCAACTGTGTAATAAAACCCATAGCATGGAATAAGAATTTCCTGGAAAAAACAAACAAATATTTGAATGGTGGTTAAAGGCAGCCATTGTGCTATACCATCATGGTCATCCTGATACTTCCACGAAAGTGTTGGCTCTAATACAGCCCTGGAATTTGTTTTTAATCATCAAAGGGATATCAGTTTCCCCTCTTCATTACCGATGCAGGCTTTTAGGGTGACATAGTTTATTACTGCTACAGTCTGAGCATAGCAAGTATGTTGGTCTACTTTGAGGTGAAATGGTTTTATTCTAGAGAGATTATATAATTAATACTTTTATACTTTGCAAATGTTATTTTAATCTTGCTCTTTAAATTTGATCAAGCGCATAATTGATCTGAATGTCTTGAATTTGTTTTCATAATGCGCAGAGCACAAATATTTGGATCTGTCCTACTTTTAGTTACTGCCTACATTGTCCTCTTCTAACCTCTCATGATGCTTTGCTAAGAAATTGCTTCCTGCCACTTCATTGGCTCAGAAACAAAACCCTGGGACAAACCACTGCTCTGCATTTGTGTGTACGTTTACGTGCACGTGAATTATAGAGTCAGTGTGCAAAAACGTCACGCGAGTGTTGAAGTGTCTGTGTGTGTGTGCTAATGAATGAGAGGGTGATGAGAAATTTCAGCACCAACCACTGTGAAAAAATGCATAATGTATCAAAATAATGAAAGTTGCCTCCGCTTTTCAACATTCTGGATGCGGCCTCCATTTCATGGCTCTTTGTATAAACACTCATGGCTTTAATAACTTGTGGAGCGGCTTGGTTATTGACCCAGTCGGTCATCCTCCTCCATTCCTAATCAGCAGCAGCACTGCCTGGGGCTCAGCATTCTCAATGAGCCTCCACATTTACATCCTGCAGCACAGCCACCAGTGTGGGGGGGGGGGGGTCAGTGGCCACACGCACTGCCATGCCTGCCTAGCCCGGAATCATCAATTGAAATTGATGCTTTTGCATGTACCTAATAATTACGCACAGAGATAAGACACTGGCCTACAAATGCATCATTTATGCACACACTGTTACATTCCTTAAAATAAAGTAGGAATATCTCACAGATATACACAATGAAGCAAGCTAAAGGAAACATTTCTTTTGGATTTTATTGTTGACTCTCTCCTATTAATTTCCAGGTTATTACTTCGAAATTCCATCGATTGGAGCCATAAGAATCAACACACAGGTAAGATACAGTGTCTGGAATGTTCCAAAGCTACTAAAGCCACTAAAATTGGAAGCGAAGATTGTAGTTATTTCTTTTAAGTGATTCATATCTTCCCGTAGGAGGAACTGCCTCAAACACAGAACAATCTGGCTACATCTATTGTTTTATCTGGTTCTGGTGGGGACAAAAATAACTGCATGTTTTATTTTTTTTAATTAAACCCATTACACTGGACCACTCTATGAAAAGCCAAATGTTGAGCCCAGTTAATGCCCGCAAACCTTTGTAATTTCCAGCAGTTAACGATTGTTTGCAGCCTATCAAATCTGTGTTTGTCTGCGCCATTAATTTGTCTGAGTACCAATTGCTGGAGGTGTGTGAACGACTTAATTACCATTTTAATGGCACTGAAACACCTGGAAAGGACCTAACTTCAGCACTGGATAAAATCATATAGAAAAATATCCTGCTTTGTAGATCTGTCACTCTTAGTCGCTCTCTGTCATTATCATAAAGGCTTTGGTGAAAATCAGTAATGACAAAAAGAAGATTTTTTTTTTAAATGCTGAAAAACAAATGGAAGCCAATGAGATTGTAAGTAACTGCATTGGTGTACTAATAACAGGTTAGTCTGTAGTTTTGTGGACTGCACACACAAACGTCTTATTGAGCCATTCCTTCCCATCAGCCCATAAATTCAGATATTTTTATGGAATGCCAGTAGGAGTTTGAAGCTGGCAGGCAACATACACCTGATATCAACATCATTTCTTGCTGATGACCATATTGCTGGAGGATGTCGTGTGCATTGAAGCAAGACAGTTCAAAAGGGAAGCTGTCATGGACGAAATCATGGGGATTAAGAGATAATAAACATTCCCAACGTTCATATTATTGATAGTTATTTGGAAAGGTAATAACTATCAGATAACTATCAGTATATCCAACTAAGCGTTAAGTCCAAACGCATTGGACATATTCAGCTGATTTAAAGGCTGGAGGGGTTTTTTTTATATTCACAACTGACCCTTCTGTAGAGCCCACTCTCCATAAGTTAGCACTAGATGATTCTGATCAAAATAGACTCATAGTTCTTTGAACAATGTTTTTAAAAAATATCATCCAACAGATCACAGATTGGTTTGAGTTTAGATGTATTTTTTTACATTTCTTTTTTTTTGCAGTATGTATACAGTATTTACAAACTTGTGATTGCTGTGGGCATCGGCATACAAGGCTAATCCTTGTAGACTTCACTGATTCTTATAATTACATCAGTAGAGCCCAGAGACACCCTGTGTTTGAGTGTGAACATAAGCAATTGATACATCAAAATGCTCGTAAAGACGGGTTTGCCGGGGTGCTTGTTTGGCAGAATTGGTGTGCATTAATGCAAGGAATTTTCAACCCTGTACTGAAAGTACCTTTTTGCTTTAAAATGAGCTACTTTTATTGTGTAAGTTTCCAACTGAAAAGCTTTGTATATCTTTGCGACGGTCCAACACTGACAGCAGAAGGAAATGAAAGACATGTCTGATGACAGGCTGTACAAAGAATCAACACCAAATGAGTCAGACTCATCCCAACCCCCCAGCCCCCCCCCACCCCATTATTTTGGCCAGACGACAGCCCCCCTGATTCTGTTTTGAGCATGCTGCCATGTAGGCAGAATGTCTTCTTCACACAAACAGTGGATTTTCTTTTTCGCGGTAAAGATTTTTACATGCACCTCTTCCAAGTAAAGCATTAGTGCGAGGGACAAAAGTTGGAACTAAGCATCATGGTCTCATGCCAGTGGGACAGAAGACAGCACAGCTGGAATTACTTTCAAACGTTTCTATGGAGTGCATCTGCAGGCCAAGTAACGCAAAGGTTTCAGTGTGATCCATCCTCCACACACATGAGAACTGAAACACAACTTGTTCGTCCTCACATACTCGGACCCCCCTTGCCCCACTGCCACATTCGCTTGAGGCACAACAAGCTTTGAGAGGCCCTTGGGATAACCTCATTCCAGCTGCAGAAATTGACTCAGTTGTTCAGTGGAGGGGGAGTAACAGCACTCTTGCCCCCCCCCCCTTTCTTCTCCCCTCTCCTCTGCCAACAGCCCCCACCCCCAAATCCAAACCCACGGTGAGCGATCAGGCCCCAGAATAGACTGTCAGCTGTTCCATTAACTCTAGCATATTTATATTCTGAGAACTGCCACTTACCCTAATAGGTTTTCTGAAGGTGGGTGACTAAAGCGCTTTGTATTGGCCCAGAAGACACGTCGAGGCCTTATGTTATTTAACCGTACTTTACCCTTCAGTATCACACACTCATCACACAGTCTGGCTCGGATAAGATGGCAACATTCAAATAACAGATGGACTTAAGAGGTTTAAAAGAAAAAAGTACTGGGGTCACATTTATTTAAGACTAACTTCAGGAACAGTTTTGAAAAAATGTTGTGTTTTGTCCAGTGTTCCTTTTTTATGACCTAATCATTGCCTGTTTTTTTGTACAGCACAACAGTTGAGTTACAATAACTGTTCAGGCCCTAGTTTTGATGTTTCGCTTCTGAGAGACCACAGTGTGGAGTTGACTCTCACATCATGGTTGCTATGATACTCACGGAGGCAAAAGCATTTAATCAACACACGCTGATGCTGCTGAAGTCTATATGGCTCTCCTTCCTTTGTACCACATGTCTCTGGTTGCTGACTCGTTATGCTTCCTAGATTGTTCGAGCCAGGCGGAAAATTCCCCCCTATATCCACATGAAAAGGTCTGGCTGTCACTGTCCTGATGGAATATCTCCCTGTGGCGCATTAAACCTCGACTTTTATGAGCTAATAATAGAATAGGTTACGCTTGTCAGCACCAAACTGTTAACGATCAAAAATATGATTCTGAAAAAGCAGTGTTCAGGGTACCTCTTTATTTATCAGGAGTAGATGGTGAACGGTCATTGGTAAATAGATTTGTACTTGCATTAGCACTCTTCCAGTCCAACTGACCACTCACGTCATTAGATGGTGGTGACGGTAAGATATTTGTAGCAACTTTAATTTTCATTTCGTAAAATTATGGAATTTTGTTCCATAATTTTGTTCTAACTTGAGAACTCATAATATTTTTATATAGTAATCTTTACCACCCATAAGGCACGCTTGTTATTTACCCATTTTTTCCCATTTATGTTGTGTAGATATTCAATCACAGGCACTTGACTTATTGAATAACTGTATGCTGATTACAGAAGTTGAATATAGAGCTTTGATGAAGGTGAATTCTTTGGTAACTAATCCGATAATTTCACCATTACTGAAATTACCTGGATGACAGGATCAACATTACATTAAAAGGCAGAAACTGTTTGGTGAGGTAGCTCCTGAAAACAGAATGATATAGCAAATATGATGTATTACTAGTCGACTTAACCCTTCACCTCTATTCACAATCGCTGTGGGACACTGACACTGGCAGCATTGACAGTGGAGCCTCTGGGATATGGTGTGTGTGCACATTGTGTCAGTGACACCCTTAATGTGTTTTTAATAGCTCCTTTATAATGATGAAAAAGGGCCTTGAGTGGCTCTTGAGTGGTTTACTGTTTGTGGTCACGGCACTATGTGTAATTTTGCTTTTACAGGAGTACTTGGATGTGCTGGGCCGTCCCATGGTGCTAGCTGGGCCTAAAGCCAAGCAGGTGCAGTGGACAAATGTCTACCAGGATGCGCTGGTGAGTGGGAATTTAAAAACATGTCATTCTATTTTATAATGTAGGATTTAATCTATATTTCATCCACGACCAAACCTGCCTCCATCTTTTATGCTTACACATTCTGCTGCTTTTTGTAGGAAAATCAGATAACTGTTTTATTTTTAAATAGAGACATTTCTGCTACGTATTGATTTAATATATTTACTGTATTCAAATGAAGTAAAATGTTTCAATCATCAATTCATTGATAATCAATAGCATGTCCAAACCTTTGACTGATACTATTGCTGTATAAACTGTCTATAAACTGATGACCCTGCTAAAAAGATGCTTACAATTTCCGAAACATGTCTGATTTTCTTACGGATATTTCTGCTATGACTCTATAGGGTTTGGGCCTCGTCATCACCGGGACGATGCCAGTCTTCAACCTTACTGTAGATAGTGTAAGCTCTCAGGTAAAGACGGACTTCACGAAACAAGTGATCTGACATACAAGTGAAAAGTCGATATAGATAGAGAGATAGATATATGGATAGAGAGATAGATATATAGATAAAGAGATAGATAGATAAATATACAGACATACAGACAGACAGACATTTACATTCAGGTAGGTAATATAGATGTTTTAGCTGATATTTAGATAGTCTTTTCTGTTATTCTCCATCGTCAATCATCTGTAATGACATCTATCAGCTGCAGCTCTCTGAGGCAACACCTCCACCCTGAGGTGGCAATAGACATCACAAGTCTTCTGTATAAGCCATCAAAACCTGCAGAGCAGATACACATCCAGGTGTTGATGCTCTGCTTACCACGCACACGTGAAACCGTGAGGCTAACTGCCTCAGTTTAAAATAAATTCAGGTGAAGCATGGAAAGTTCAGTCTAGGCAACTGGACGTGAAGTTTTCTAGAAAACGTTTGGCCTCTCATCCAAGAGGCTTCATCAGTTCTAACTGATGGTGGGGAGCACTGAGATTAATGTGCTGTAGGTTTAACAAAAGAATTGGCGGGAAAAACATGTGAGTCAGGTGAGGGGCAGGTGAGAGGTGAATCTTCTGAGTAAATTCAGGTGGCACACAAAGTGATGAGTCAGGGATGGCACAGGGGTTTTCTGGGCATGTTCATTGGACAGCTTCCATGGATTTTGAGGGGATGGTTAATACTCTAACCACTTTGTCTGCTTCATACAGAATCAACTCATCCTGGGAGTTATGGGAGTAGATGTTGCAATCAACGAAATAAAAAAGAAGACACCGACGTACAGAGTGAGAACTTTGCACACCCAGCATCACTCACATGTCGCTTTCCTCATGATCAGATATTATTGAATGAATTTCCCATTCACTCTGTGTCTGTGCAGCTTGGAGCTAACGGTTATACCTTTGCCATCGACCCAAACGGTTATGTGCTGCTGCATCCTAACCTACGACCCAGGGTGAGCTCAAATCTGCATTCTTCTGTTTCTGAAGCTAAATTTGGACCTTATTCCTACTGACTGATGTTTCCCTTCACCATCATCTTCGCAACATTCTTTTTCCCTTTAGATCATTAACTTCAGGGAGCCTGTCACCCTGGATTTCCTGGATGCAGAACTAGAGGACAGCAACAAAGAGGAGGTGAAAACAAAATCCCTGAAACACGGCTTCTTGCTTGTACATTTCATATGCGTAACATTTCCTTTTTGCTTTTCTTGCATTTCATTTTCAATATCTGTGTATTAGCGTGCCTTCTCACACCACAGCCTCTCCCTTGCTTTCCAGATACGTCGACAGATGATTGATGGCAAATCGGGGCAAAGAAAAATCAAGACGCTCATTAAGTCAGTTGATGAGGCAAGTCATCAGTTTGTAAGATTCAATCATAATCCAAAGTCACACCTTCCTGAATGGTGTTATGAATCTGAATCACTCAGTATGTTTACAATCTTTTGTTCACCTCTAATGAGGTGAAGTGTGATGTGCAATAAGTGTCACTCATTGCAGTCTCTTTGTGGTCACCCACAGAGGTACATTGATGAATCTATGCGGACATACACATGGACTCCTGTGGATGGCACAGATTACAGGTATGTGTGAAACCAAACATGAATCTGATGAAACTCAAACCAGAGATTGCAGTACTTGAACCTGTGAGTGAAATTCATAGATTCTCTTTATATGTCCATTTTGGGCAAAAAATAGTTTTTGCTTATAGCTGTAACTTATCAATTTTTTTGGCCATGAATCACCGAAGCAGACTAAATGTATCAAATGATTACAAAAAGACATGTTAATTTATCTGATGTATAAAATCACTTAATCTGGAACTGATTTGCTGATCCATTTAAGACTTTCTCTTAAATCCAAATGAATGGAAAATAGCTTATTTAAAAAGAGCGTATTACTGTTGCGATTTGCAGCAGTCACAGTCTAAACCACATAAGTTGCAACAGTATACATACTTTTATACACACACTACTGCTTTTTCATGGAAGACTAAACATGCACATGCTTTGAAATCTGTTCAAGTACAAAAGTAAAAACGAAACCGTTAAGGAAAATTCAACCTTTCGTTTTATTCTATGTTACTTGAACAAGCATGTTTTCTAAGCAAATGCAGAGCAAAGGCTGGGATGTTTTTGGGAAAGTACATTTTGACAGTGCAATTTATTACATTATATTTATGATTAATTATGCTTTTAAGTTCAAACATGCATTTTAAAACTCAACACAGCTGCATATATCTTCTTGGTAAAGAAATGGGGGTCTCTTTCTCTCCTTATGGATTGTCCATGTTTTTTCCCCCTCTAATTAACGTGCATCCCTAAAGGGATCAAATAGACAACACCCTGTCCTTTTTGGTATTATTTGCTTCAATATAGGTTTTACTTTCAGTTTAGGAGATTTTTCTTGTTGTCGTGCTGAATTTCTATTTTTAGAATTGCACATTTCATCCTGAAAGGCCACCTTAACATGGACTGACGTAACTGCATGAGCCCTGTGTCTGGTGACTTTGCTCCTGATTTTCTGCCTCTGCCTTGTTACCTCAGTCTAGGGTTGGTATTGCCTACGTATAGCGAGAACCACATCAAGGCCAACCTAAGTGACCAGATCCTCCAGGTGCAGTGTAAGTACCGGAAGAACCCAGGTCTCCTTTCTCTCTTTCCCCTTCTCTGTCTTTCTCCTTCTGCCTTCTTCTCTCCGTCCTTAACATGACCTTACGCTCCAATTCAGTCGTGGGCCTCGTCATCAATACTGGGAGTGTCCGAAGTCGCCTCCCCCCCCCCCTCTGCCCCCTTTTGCCTCCTCTGTACACTCTCTGATAGGCAGGATCTTTTGGGTCCCCCGACTCCTCCTCCTGCCCCCGTTCCCTCCTGTCTTCATGCTGTGCTGTAAAATGGTGATGTTTTTTCTTCACACTGGCTGAAGAAAAAAATAACTGAACAGACAGAAAGGTGAAAGCTGTGGTTTTACTGTTGAACTCCGGTGAAAATAATGGTGACCTTTGTGCTATTATTTTTTTTGCCAAATGCTCTCGCCTCTTCTCCACCAAGTAATGATTCTGAAGCATCTGTGTTCAAAATAATGGATGTTCTGGACAACTGTGAAAATTTGCATGCTTTTCACTCCTTTTGATGAATTTTATGATTTGGGGGGGTTTTCCTTCTGTTATCTGTGTGATTTTTATTTGTTTCTGTTAGACTGTGTGAGATGGTTATCAGCTTTGGAATCATTCAATTTTTAAACTCCCACATGGCTGGGAATACTGGCTTGTCAACTGTGGGAGTTTGGGTTTTTGTGGGTCTGAATGGGGACATTTGTTGTCTCTTTCATTCTTTTCTTTTATCCAGACCCTGGTGTCCCCTTCTTTTTCTTGTGCATTTGATTTTCTTTTCTTTTGTTTTGTTTTATGTTGTTTTGCCACAATTATTTCACACAATTACTGGTTTTGTCTCTACTGTCTTTCATTTCTGGGATTACCCTGTTTTATTTTTTCCGTTGTTTTTCTGTTTCCTGGTTTGCTCCTGCAAATAAGATGTTTGCTCTTCATTTCTTTTTCTCTCCTGTCTTGTTGGACTTTAATTGGTTTATTTCTTTCAAGAAAACAATATTTTTATTCAAACAGTAATTGAATAAAATATTGTCTGTGATCCCCCCTCCCCACCCGATCCCCTGTTTCTTTTCTTGCTCACTCCTTCTCTGATGGATCCACACAGTGCCATACACCAAGGGCAAGTATACTCCATATTGGTCCACGTTCCCTACCTCTACATCCTACTCCCTACCGCTTCCTCCTCCCTCCCTCACCTCTCGTCCTAAACCTCCCCCTGCTTTCCCCCTTCCTTCCCTCACCCATCCTAGCCTGCTTGCCTCTGTTCCCGCCCGCTTTTTCCTCCCCCCCTTTCTCCTCTTCTCCTCTTCTTTTCTTCTTCTATACTCTCTTGCTGCAGCTCAGATCCCACATCCTCTCACAATGGCTCCTCTAGTCCCCAACTTCACCCTCCCTCCCACATAGTCGCTGCTCCAGAGACGAACAAACAAAAAAGACACAAACAAATGTCTGCTGCACCCACGGACGACAGATGAATGTTTTTCTGCAAAACCTTGTCTTTTGTTACCCCCACCTAAATCCCGTTTTCTTTTGTAGAAAGCTACAAATGCATTGTGTCCTTTCTCTTTCTCACTATCTCCCTCTCATACCGTCCCATAATTTCTCTTATCCTTTCTCTTTCACTCTTGTCTCTCTGTTTCTGTCTTTTTCTTACAATGTCAGTTCTTAAATCTTTGAACCACTTGCGAGAATAGGGCTCAGATACTGACAGATATTAAGAATTTATTATCACTATATTAGGCAAATCGAGCTTTACATTCTAACAGATTTTGTAGATTTGTTGATATTTTCATAATGTTGTAATGTCTACACTTAGACATGCAAATCTTTTTTGTGTTAGATCTAAACTATTACATTATATCGACATGTATTGGCTGTTCAGTGTAACTACTGTATAGATTTGCAGCATATATATACATATTAGGGATGGGACGGTTTCTGAAAACCGTCCGAACCGTTCGGTTCGACTGTCTCGGTTCGGTTCGCGTGTGTACCGCACGGTTCATGCACTGCTCCTTTTTCTCAGAGGGAAGCGTTTACACTCCAGAGCAGAAGGGGGCGCTACTGCGCCCAAAGCCAACCACCAGTAGTAAACAAGAACAAGAAGCGAAGCAGCGTAGCCGATAAAAATCAGACGCGCCAACAGCAGTTTCTAGGTCTGCTGTATGGACCACTTTGCATTTAGAGGGAAGCACATGTTGGAATTAGCACTATTTCCTCGCTTGCAATGCCAGAATCTCGCCTATTTTTAACCTAAAACTGTCACAATAATGTATCAAATGTCAGACTGCTTTTTTCTTTCAGTTTTAACTAGGGATGGGGATCGAAACTATCTATCAAGGACCCGGTTCCACTTTTTTCAAAACCCGAAAATCAATAACGTTTGGGCTTATCGATACCACTATCGAGTCTGGTTGTTTTTTTATTATTACAATAGTAATTGTGAAATCTGTGTTGTAATCGGCAGCATACAAGCTAGTTAGCTTGAAAAGTAAATAAAGTTTCAGACGTGCTGCGTGATGATGTGTTCAGATTGGCTCAGTAAAACGACAATTAGGTTATCATGATGCGTTCAAGTGTAACGTAAAGAAAAGGGAAATTGAGTTTTTGGCGAGAAACATGAGTAATACAGTTGTATATTGCTCTAATTATTTTAGAATATATAATTAAACTACTGATGCCAACATTTATTAAAAATTACATTTAATTTAAAATACAATTATTTATTTGTTAAATATTGTCGCATCGTCTTTCCACCAAATAACAGAAAATTATCAATAGTGGTATCGATAAAGACTCGGATCGATAAGGAGTATCGATAAAAGTATCGATATCAATAAATATTAACGATCCCCATCCCTAGTTTTAACCTGACTATACAAGACATAATAGATTTTCCTAACAATCACCATGTACCGAACCGAACCGAAAACCGTGACCACAAAACCGTGAAACGAACCGAACCGTGGATTTTGTGAACCGTCCCACCCCTAATACATATATATATAAATATATATGTATATATATATCATGTGAGGGATTTTAAAAGTTGTGGTTTGATAGCTGCTGTAGTGTCTCGTTTAGAGCAGGGAGCGTTGCAGCGGCAGACTGACTCTTCAGGGCTGAGCTGTGCTCGGCCCACCCAGGTCCTCCCATGTTGTCAGGTGTCATCGTGCCACTCAGCACAGCACCCGACTCCTATGTCGTCCTTCTGTACTTCCTGTCTCCATCAGCTTGTTCCCCGTCCGTCCTCACCCCTCAGACTGCCCAGGGCACGGCTCAACACTTCCTCAATAAACCCGACCCCGGATGTGCATGACATTGTGGGCGGAAGACTACCTGGGCACACTCAAATTTTAGCTGTCTAAACCAACGTTTACTGCTTCTCCTGAAAACGCCATGCTGAATCCACGTGAAACTCGTATGTGGAACCTCAATAATGGTTGAAAGAGCGCGTTCTGTTTTGTTTTAAGATAGGCCAACTGAAGTTGCCCTTCGACATGCCTTTCACAATGCAATGCATTTCCTCCAATTATGTGTCTCTCTGAGTCCTCTCACCTACCAGTCTGAGGGGTGACCACTTCCATCAGGACCGTCACCCACCACCCCTGCAATAGTTGGCCATGTTGATGCCTGCCTGATCTAAAAGCACTCACTGTGAGCAAACTGTCTGAGAACTTGCTTCCTGACAGCCTGGTTAGTCAGTTCTCAGACATTCCAAATATTTCAGATTGAAACCAATATTAATCAGACATTTTCTCTTGACAAAGCAAAAAAAGTCAAACAAAAGGTGTGAGTGCTTGTGAAACTTAAGCAGTCGTACATTGAGAGTCAGGTTCAGCTTTAGGCACCATATTGGCTAACGCGAGTGTTCCCATGAAACCTCAGTGTTGCTATGGTAAAGTCCCTTCTGCGTCCCTGCACCTCTGAAGAACAGCTGCTGTTTACCCACAGCTCCCCACTGCTCTGCCCACTGCTCTTCCTGGATAATCTCCCCTTTCTGTTGCAGATTTTGAATCACTGCTGCCAAACAGTTTTGAGTCTGAAGGACATGTATTCATTGCTCCCAGGTAGCCCTGTGTGTCAATGCTTGCTATGGTTGAAATGAATCAGTTTTGGGTTCTGTCTTCACATCAACTTTGCAACTTTTTTCATTTCATGTCTAATTTCATGTCTTTTGATGTCTGTCACATGATATACATATATCTATATTTATGTATCTATATATATAGATATACTGTATATATACGATTTGTACATTCAAATTAGTATACTATTGTTGGATTGTTATAAGAAAAATCTGGTTATATAAAAGTACAGAAAAAAAAAACATCAGACTCTTGCATGTTGCTAATGCGATGCTGCATGTTTGTTATTTGAAAAGCACAAAAGGACGGAGGTCTAGTGCATGTTCCATTGTGCTGTGAAACTGTTGTGGTGTCCAGCCACACCTTCACTTCTGAAACACTTCCCTTTAAAGCCGACACTCGACTCTACAGTGCAATCCACTTGTTATTTTGAGAGTTGGCAGTAGTGGAAATATAAGCTTTGAGGTAATGCATGCTGCACACATCAGCATCAAGAAACGTGGGTACAGGTTCATTTGTCTCATTCCATATTGTGTGCTTCAATAGAGGACAGGCTTTACAGAGTTTAGGTTTTTATTTTTAACTTCTTTCTAAGATTAAATGCTTTTTCTTTTCTTCAGGGAGTACTGCAATGATCTTGAACTATCCAACAACAACACGGAGTTCCTGCTCAACTTCATTGCTCTTATGGAAAAAGTGACACCGGACTCCAAACAATGTGAGTTTCTTTTCACATTACATTTAACACTTTAATAAAATCCTCACAGGATGTGCAAGTCTGATTGTATTAACCGATATATCTCACAAAAACATTTTTAAAAAACCCTGACCCCCTAAAATATTGACTCCTAGATTTAATTTACTCTGACAAACAGTTTATTTTGAGTAAATTCCATTGGTACTACTCCTGTGCCAGGACTATTTCTACCTTAAAAGGTGTATTAATCCACCACTGAAAATAAATACACTATTGACTTCTCCTAGACTAATAATTTGTTACATTTTTCAGGGCAGTGAAAATGCAGACAATGCATTTAGATCGACTGTTTGAAAGAATAAATATCTTTGGCTGGAATTAGTTAAATACTTACTAGAGAGACTTTTCCTGTGGTTGCAGATTTTACCTCTAAAGTCCTTCATCTCTTTTATGTTGTTAGGTGACAATTTGCTCCTTCACAACCTGATTCTGGACACTGGCATCATCAGACAGCTGGTTGAGAAAGTGTGGAAGAATAAAGATTTGAATACGTGAGTTGCACCAGCCAGTGGCAAGAAAGGAGCATTGTCCGATTCCGACTGTAGAAAAAACCTTTTTCTCTTTTTTGTACATCCCGATGTTTAGATACGGTTTCCTAGCCGTGTTTGCTGCGACTGATGGAGGTATAACAAGAGTTTTCCCAAACAAGTGAGTACATTCCTCTAAATGTCTGGATCAGAGCTCTATTGTTGTTGTTTTTGTCCTCTTTTAAGGTGGTAATTTTCTGACGTTTCATAAGCTCGTGATAAGCTCAGCAAGACGCTTTTGCATTAGAACTTTACAGCCTCGCTATCTCTGCTCTTAAATCTTAGAGCTGCAGAAACCTGGGAGGAAGACCCTGAGCCGTTTAATGCCAGCTATTACCGCCGCAGCCTCGACAACAAGGGCTACATCTTCAGAGCACCTTATCGAACAGGTGAATGATCTTCTTAGTCTTTGGTCATATAACTCACTCAGACACTTGAAATGGCATGGCTTTTTGTTCCTAACACCCTTCCTACCTTTTTTTTTCTGTATTTGCTTTGGACTTGTAGCCAGAGATGAGCTACTGAACCCAGAAAATGATACCATAGGCATTCTGGTCAGCACAGCTTTGGAGATAACAGTAGGAGGGAAGACCATCAAGCCAGCAGGTGATCTGACTTCAGAAACTGGAAATGAGACCCTTGTGGTGACAAACGTTAAAGGAAATGTTTCACAGGAAGATGAAGATACTGATATGCCTGTCATTTTCTCTCACAGTGGACAATTCTGAGCGTAACACCAATTCATTGGGCCTCAATTTGCATTGATTGATTAATTATGTTTCTCTCAGTTGTCGGAGTGAAGTTGGACCTTGAAGCCTGGACTGATAAGTTCAAGATTCTTGCAAGCAATCACACAGACAACCGTCAAGGCTCAAACATGGTAAAATAAATAGGTTTAGCACATAGACTGTTTAGGACATACATACAACACCTATTCTCTGCTTATGTGTGTGCTATTTTAGTAACATGTTGGGTTTTTTTCTGTGATAGTGTGGACCAAACAGGGGCTGTGAGATGGACTGTGAAGCCAACAGTGATGTAAGTACTTACTTCCGGTGCTCAGCTGGAACATCTAAGTTCTCTACATCTCTTTACTTCCACCACAACCTCAGGACAGGGGTGTTGAATCGAAGAGAACGTTCAGAGCAATCTGTTAGTTTCTTTAGCGAGTCAACTTTTCTTTATTAGGTTGTTGATAAATTTTGATTGTATTTAATGCAATCTGATTGTAATTTGCTTATATTGGACTGCTTCTCTGAAATGCCTTGGGACAACATTTGTTGTGGATTGACGCTATATGAATAAAATATAACTGAATTTAATTGAGCTGCACCTCCAATCAACACTCCATGTCTGCTTCTCTGTGCAGGATCTCCTGTGTTATTTAATAGATGACGGTGGATTCCTTATCATGTCCAATCAGAGGAATGACTGGAACAAGGTTTTTATTAAAAAATCACTCATTCATTCACTCCATAATTGTTACACTGAGCCTGACCACTGATCTTCATCGATGCAGGTGGGAATGTTTTTAAGTGATGTTGACCCCAGCTTGATGTACGCTCTCTACAACAACTCCTTCTACAATCGCAAGCAGTCGTTTGATTACCAGTCTGTGTGTGAGCGGCTGACGAACAATGAAGCTGGGGCTGCACACAGAGGAGTGTTTGTGGTAAGAAGAAGACTCCAAGAAGCTCGTGTTCATATAGATTCTTTAAAAAGCATTTCATCCTGGCACCCCAACAAAAAATTATCCCACACACATGACTTTTTCCAGCATAGTTCACCAGAAGCTTTGAACTCATGGATAACATTTAGTGTTCTGCTCCATGGACCCTGCTTCTGTGTTCCAGAGGCATTCCTATAATGTTATATGATTAGTTAGATAAAAATCAAGACTTAAAGTGCTTCCAACAGCAGCACCAAATAGATAAAAAGAAGACAGTAGATTCAGCAGTTTGAGTCCATATATGGCTAATCGTAATTTTTAAAACATTGTTGCAATGTGAACAGAAACCCTCATTTTGGAAAGAAAGAAATGAGACATGAGAAGTTAAATAAAGCAACTAAAAAACCCATTCAGATCTCATTTATCTTTTGATAGGTATAGATGTGTTTCCTTAATACTTTTTTCTATTTATCTGCAGCCCACAATTGCAGATTTTGTTAATCTAGCATGGTGGACATCAGCTGCTGCATGGTAAGATTTGTAATATATATTAATGTGATGTTTGATATTGGTTTTCATGCCTAAAGTTTTTGTTAGCAATAACATGCATATCATCTCAGCAGCTAATCACACCTGTTATATCTATAGGTCCTTATTCCAGCAGCTTTTATATGGACTGGCCTACCACAGCTGGTTTGTCACAGGTGGGTGAAAACAAGATATTAACTTAAAGTCTGCTCTGGTTTTGTACATTTTACTTGTGTTGTGCTGAAAGTGTTGGACCTGGATGTTAATGTGTGGGTTGGTTGCATTTCTCTGTGTTCTGGTGATGCTACAGATGAGGTGGATGCAGACGGAATGGACTTAAAAGAAAGGAGTTGTGTAATGATCCAGACCCAGTATTACTTAAGTAATCTCACCAGTTCCTACAACATTCTGCAAGACTGTGGCAACTGCTCCAGGTCTGTATACATGATCACACATGCATGAAGAACATGAAGATATGTGCTGTGGCAGAGACCAAGTCAGCAGAGAGAGTCATCCTTCTGCCACTATTAATAAATTCACTTGATGATTAACCTGCATCAGTGTTCATAAAATCGTCATATCATTGGCTAAATGAGCCTTACAAGGCTGTCTAATGAACCTGCCTGATATATTAGCAAATTATTGCATGGCGCAGGCAGGCAAAGAGAGGTTGTTGACGGATCTGTCTTTTTCCCTGTCTAGGTTGATTCATGCCAAGAGGATAAACAACACCAACCTGCTGTTTGTGGTAGCAGAAAAGATTCTGTGTGACTCCTGCGAGATAGAGCGTCTCTCCCAAGAGGTGGAAGAGTGTATCCTTTTACTCATTTACACCTGCTGGCACATAAGCGGACACACGCTCTTGTCCAAAATATGCAGAAACAAAGCTATACATTCCAAGGTTATTTTACTTGTTCAAATTCTTTTAATCTTCCTTAATGAAGTTATTGTACAGTCAAAGAGGAGAACCCATGTGAAGAAATGACTGTGGCACGTTATCGAAAAGGACCCTCCACCTGCTTCGACAACAACATTGCTGTAAGACTTTAAGACATTACATCATTGGTATCCACAGCTGTTTCATATGTGATTTAAGGGCACTTATACAAATGGCAGAGTGTATGTGAACATTTCCAAGGACATATTTAACGTCTTCTGTTCTGCTCTGTGAATGTAGAACAAGCATTTGAAAGTCTAACATAGCAAAAAGAAAATCAACCAGATACATCTTAACTACGTATATGCTTATTTCTCACTGTACACACGCCTCGTGGTCATTAAACCACCAGAAAGATAGGTTCGACATCATCAAAGCCATTTGCTCATGTTCACAATCGCTAATCAAGATTATCCGCGTGTACCCTAACCCAGTGCCCCACATGCTGCAGGGGCTGTGCTGCTGTGCTCACAGATGGTCCCACACAGTCATTTGCTACAATTATTAGCAGGTAGTTGACTAATAATTTAAGTGTGGACTGAATGGGCAAGAGAATTCTCTTCACACATGCCGGCCCTCCAGAGCAAGCTGAGGTCATTTAAGCAGCAGTGTGTGGGACCGGGGTTAGTTGTGTGTTCTTATGCATGTGCTGTTTATTAGAGTGGTGAGTACAAGAGGGTGGGAAATGCTAATTTTAGATAATTATATAAACTAACTCAGTACAAATGGACAATTACACAGCGAGTGCAAATACAGTGTGTTTTGCTTTTCTATTGCAGGAGAACACATCAGACTGCGGGCGAGGTCACGCCTTCCGTCCGCCCCTCTACACTTTACTGCTCATTCAGCTGCTGCTGCTTTATCCGGCTTTTAGTCCCCACGTTCACTCTCTTCTACATTAATTCCATTCTCTTGCGCTTACCCTACTTTTATCCCTCCTCCGCTTCTATCCCCTTCTTAAAACTCTCTCCCACCCCACCCTCATTCCCTTACACCCTTCCCCCCTGGTATAGTCATAGGTAATAATGGGACTTCCCGTCACAGCAAGTCGGAAGCCCGGAGTGCCGCACTACCCGGTCTGTTTCGCTTTGTGACAACTGCCAGATGTTATTGTCCTCAGCCAGTTAACCTTCATCTGCAGGAAGAGGGGGTGTTGCCAGACCACCTGGACCATCAGAGGCAACTCAGAAAAGAGAAAACAACAGCCCCATGAGCACCTCACAATCCCGATTAGGAGGGGAGATAAAGACATGTAGATCTTGCCATTACAGACCTCACACCATGTAAAGACTGGAAAATCGAAGTTGCCTCTCCGCCTACCACCTTCAACAGGACTTCTCCTCCTTTGTCTCCTCCATCTAGAGTCTCAGTACTCCAGTATATGCCTCTGGTGAGGCTGTGGACCATTCAGCCAGTTATAGCCACCATTGATGAATATAACAGAAAAAAAAGTATACAAAAGTATACAAAATGTCTAGTATTTACTGCTGAAGTGACAACTATTCCAAAAATACAGCATATTTAGATCGCAATTTGAGAAGGAAGTTAAGTGGTAACGTAAAAAAGAACATTTATGCGCTACATCGGTTTGCCAAAATGAGATATACTTTGACGTTGTCTTATTTTTATAGCCAAAACACGATGAAAAAATGTATTTAGATTTAGGATCAACCACAAGAGGAAGAGGAAACACTCAGCAGCTGAATACTGACTCATTTTGTGCAGCTCTTAATTACAGATGAATGCTTTTAAAAGGCATCCACAGTGGATTATTGTAATTACATGTTGGTAATCACATTTCTTGATGTGTTTTTCGTCATATTTACTATTAAGTGGTAGTGCTTTTGGCTCACCGGCCAGCTGTAAAATATGAATCAGTGTTCGGTTGCTGCAGGAACATTGTTGATGTCTTGTAGTATTCTCCTTAACAATTAATTAACCATTCTGACCTCGAGATTAGACAGATGTTAAAAAAAAAAAAGTATTTGTGCCCTCTGATAAGAAATTCACCTCTGCCAATCCTCATGAGGCTTCTCTTCTCCATCAACTCTCCTAATCACTGTTTGTGTATGTGCTTTACATCTGATCTGACACACACAGAGCCTGACTGTATTTAACAGGAGGTCTTTACTTTGCGATGGGGCTTTTTTTTCTTGGCTTGTCCAGCCTTTGACTAATGCTGTTCAAACTTCAAAACCATCCGCTGCAGGGGGAATAGGGGCTTATGAGTATTTCCAGCTAAAGTGCAGAAGAGGCCACTAAATATGGTGATCAAGTACAGTAGTAGTCTGGTCGTAATCCATCACAGTTTGTCATTATTCATCGCAATGTGTGAAAAGTTGTTTAGACTCCCATGTTTAGGAGCTGCTCTGTTTCATAGTGCCTTGATGCACTTTGTTTTGGAACGCATCGGCTGTGTAAGTGTAGAGGTACTGTATAGCACTCTGAGAGTGGCTTCAGAAGCTACAGCAGACTGAAGCTGTTGGCTGTAGAACTAGTTTATTTCTGCCCTCGTGGCTGTCATTGCTGTTCTACTCTAGAGCCTCGTGCTTGTCATCTTATGGAGTTACTATACTGTTCCTTTACAAAGCCATGTATAGAGCTATGATACACTATCGGTATACAGCCACTTAACTGGCCATAAAGTGTTTTTTTAGGGCCACCTGACTCCTATAGTTCTGCCTGGTTCGTATGTATTTGTGTGTGGATGTATGTGTGTTAGTTTAAAAACCCTCAAAGGGAACGTCTTTTAAATGAGAGTGTGGGAGATCACAGTTGTGCTAGCATAGCTGTTTTTTCCTGTTTCTGTGTTGCAACAGATAAAATCCAGTATTGTGGTGGAGGAGAAAAAAATGGATTTTACCGAAAACAAAAAGATGCATCTATTACTATCAGTCTGCTTAAATATTAATATAAAGGATCAGAGGTGAAAGAATGTGTAGTTCATCAGTGTTTTCTGTTCAAATGCAGCAAAGTTAACAATGCCTCTCTAAATGCCTTAGTGTTATACAATGTGGAGCTCTGATATCCCACATGTAGTCTGTTTCACACACTCAAATGGATCTCAGAATCCTCCCTCCGCTGGCTTTTCTTGGTGTTATGCAGTAAGTATGGTGAGCTCTGGTTTAGCATTTCTCCCTCTCAGTAATCATCAGTTATGAACCTAAGCCTGTTTAATTACATACTCCAGAGTCAGTAGGAGTTTCTCAATTTTAAAAGCATCTGACCTTTGATGTTTAGGTGGGATGACTCGCACAAGAATCTGAACCTTCAACACACACTCAATTGTAGGTACTATTTGATTTGGCAAATCATGCTGGTACAGTAACTGCAGCTCAGCTCTGAATACACAGGAGAAAATCATTTTTGACTGTTACAGGAACTAAAATTGATGATAACTATATCTAATTTGGCTCTTCTTTTAGTCTCCGCTGATGCTTGATGCAGTTTTACTTTCCTGGCATTCATTTGTCTCTGTCCTGTGCCATTATACCTCTCTGTATTTCACTATTTCCACTGTCTGTAAATTTACGCTACACGTGCCTGTGGAAATGTACCCCCAGCGACTTTCTCTCTTTTCCTGGATCTGTATGGTCTCACACATTCTGAATAAGTAGGCCTATACTTTGTGCACCTGCACTGAGAAATTATGCACACACACACCTGTGAGGAAACATGTAATGACACTTATTCATGCCCAGCTGGGGGGATGTCAAACACAGGACAGAAGTGAGGCAGTGAGAGACGTCACTCCCCAGGTGTTTTCTGCGAGTGGGCAGGATGTCAGAGGAAAGCTCAGGGAGTGGGTTTCCACAGAGCAGCACGGGCCTGTTAAACGGAGGGTCGTGTCAATGGACACACGCATCTGATTTCTCTGCTTTGACAATTTTACTTTTGCCAAAAAAAAAGAAAAGAGCATAAAAACTAAGAAAAACAGAAAATTGGGCCAGCTTGGGCATGAGAGGGAGGGGTCAGCTTTAAAACATCACCTAAATAAAATAAGTGAAGGAGGGTTTTCCTGAAGCGCCCTCCCCACCCTCGCTGCATCTGTGTTGGTGCATCTCTGTGGGAAAGACACGTACGTATGTGATTCTGTAGTCTGTAGTCTGGTGCTATGTGACCATGTTTGTGAAAAAACATTTAGAAAAAAAAAACGTAAAATCAGTTGAACTTAAAGTGAAGTAAAAAAAAAAAAAAAAGCACAGTTTTAGATCTGACGTAAAAATGTTTTTTGTTTTTTTTTTTTTTTTTTTTTTTTCTTGTACGTGTGTGGGTGTGAATGTTTGTGTGCGAGGAATATTTAGCTCCTTCTTTTTTGGGCACTGGTCCATGTCGCTCCATTCTTTTGTACAGATGAAGCTAAAGAAAAAAAGAAGAGGGCAAAATTTGTAAAATATTGTGTCTGTGACTCCTTGTAAAATATTTTCAAATTGTTTATTACAGAGAATCAGTTATTAAAATAATGTTCATATTTTTCACTTCATTTCATTGTGTCGTGTTTTGATTTTTCAGCTGATGATTAATTTACAGTGAAAAATCAAATCTGATCGAAAAAACTTCAGCAATCAGCACATATTTGTTTAAATGTCATTAAAGTTTAATGTTAAAATAAGAAGCTACCTTCAGCAGCCAATGACTTTTGATCAACTCTTTTATCAGATTGGTTTGACAGGATTAAAACTATATACCTCCACTATTCAATTCCAATTTTTTTGATGGACTTATCAGGATTTATCTCAACATGGGTAACTGTGTACATTAAGTGAGGCACCCTTAGCCAAGACTTTTTTTATGGTGAATGAGATGACAAATATAAATCTTATGTAATATTCTGCTCTTTTTTATGCCTTTTGTTCATGAAACTTCGGGAAAGTGCTGTAGGTTTCCCAATCGGAGGTTGAATTCTATTTCAAAGCTGCCAGCTCACAGGCACGATTCTTTAAACATCATCTTGGCCTTAACCAGTAACTGGCATAGACTGCTTTGCAGGTTGCAGGCCTTTTTTTGTTGAGTTGAAATCGGTCAGTCCTAAATTTGAAATTGTGGTATTAGGAGTTAGAGGATGTGTTCAGAGCCACAAGGTGGCAGCACTGACTTTACAGGATGGGCGTGACCCTGCATTACAGTTGAGGTGTGTACATAAGATATACAATATACACAATATAATACTCTATCTAAAGCTTTAAATGCAAAACTTTTTTGTTGTTTCGTTTGTTGTTATTGTTGTTGTTTTCCTTTTGACAGAAGGTTTACACCTAAATTCTTACTTGGTCTGCTGGCTGGTAGCTTCATTTATATTTCGCATACTTACACAAATCGTTGAAGTGTTGAAGAAAACACTTCCCTAAATATTTAGACTCCAACTTTTTAAGGATCACATTATCTGCTGTCACGGTTACAGCAGGCAGGATTTGCAGACATCAATAAACTGTTTAAACATTAATCAGGTCCTGGAGGGTCACCTTGTATTTGTAAGGCCCCTCTGGTTCACTTCTCTAATTGCGCATAGCAAAAAGCTTCACAGTGTGTTAAGGAAGTCTATTAGAGCTTTGTGCCAAGTGTCTGGGTCGTCCAGGTAACAGGCGTGACCTGCTCCCTTCATCACCATAACGCTGTGATTGGCCAGATTGCTCAGGTTATGGAGCGACAACTCCCCGAGCTGAGTGTCCTGGTCGCCATAAACGATCAGCGTCGGCACCTGGACACACAAGCATGAAAGGGATGACAGGAATTTGTCCGATGGATCACTTTTACAGGCCTTTTTTTCAATTAAAACATCAATTTCACTGTCTGTATGTCGTCAAATGCAATCTCATCAATTTTCCCACAGTTTGCCTAGAACTTTCAAATAAAAAACTTAGGAATAAAAGTGATATGAGTTGCTCTCTGTGGGTCTTACAAAGCCTTTTCCATCTAATATGGTCGGACAACTCACTGTGCAAGTTCTTTTGAACCATAAGTCAGTACTTCTCCTCAAAAAGCTACCTACAATTCAGTGCATCTTAAGAGCTTTCACATTAGTTTATGAGGGAGATGGAGGCAAGTACTGTAAGAGAAAAAGTTTAACAGGATGAAAAGCCACAAAGGGATATCGAGGTTGGGCCAATCCTCACAAACAAGCACACATACCTGCACACTCTGGTACTGCTGGGCTGTGAATTTATCGGTGCATATGGGAGCCACAGGGACGTAGGCACGCACCAGAGCCGGGTGCTGCAGGAGGAACGGGAGGGAATACATCCCACTGAGGGACGGGCTGATCACCACCACCGGGTTCAGGCTCAGCTGCTCACAAACCTCCTTAAGAAAACCCGCAGGGGCCAATTCCCCCACGGCTGCAGGGGCTTTCGCTGACTTAGACCGGCCAAGTTCTGTGTACCATCGGAAAAAAAGAGGGAACAATGTGCCACATGAGAACATTTGTTTTTTTAGTCCAAACAAAGAATTGTACGAATGTGCAAACCATGTTAGTGCTACAGACAAAGCAAAGCCTGCTGAATGCTTTGCCTCGCTCCACGTCCAGACTTGGGCGAGGTCCAGTCGTTTGCTCCCAGCAGACTCACCTGGTAGGTCGATGGCGACTGCACGGCAGCCGGCTTTGGCCAGAGTCTCCAGAGTGCCGATGCTGAGCCAGTTTTCGGAAGAGAAACGGATGCCGTGAAGAAGCAGAACTGACATTTTCGCTTGTCCTGTGGCAGGTTCACTTTGCCTGTAGAAAAGCGGAGCTTTGCAGATCTCCAGCTGCACACTCCCCTCTGTCATCTTAACAGCTGACATCCTGAAGAGAGAGATATAGTCCGGGTTTTTAAAATGCCCATCCAAAGTGAAAAAAAACATTATAACATAAGAAACTGGTTTTAAAAAACTAACCTATAATAAAAATAATATTGTGTCAAACTACAAACAACTCGTTTTCTGAATAATTTCTCTGTTAATTTTAATTTTTGTTTTTTATAAAAATGCCATACTGTTGAGGCATTTGAGGAAAATAAAGAATACTATTAAATATGATTCATTGCTTATTTATATTACTAAGTATCAATGCTTGATTTATGTTGGTGCTAAAGTCTATTCAACGACTCCCATTGAAAAATTGATATGAGGTGTTCAGGGTCACACCTGAAATCAAATTTTCATGTAGTGCACTGATCCATGATGGGCTTCTTGTTGTAACACAAGTGATTTTCCTGTGAAAGCACCACTCGAGAGAAATAGGACTTACTACACTCAATATGCAAGAAACTGGTTCCTGTCAGTGTGTGTCTGCAAAAATCTGAATAATGCAACGACATGCCTTGCCACTAAATTAAGTATGCATACATTAAGTGGCATCAGGGCTTTCATAATACATGAAGTTACACCCATAATAACTCTGTCCTACTTTATTCCTGATACAGAAGTGTGCTGGACATCCTACTTTACAAATGTCTAACAGCAAAAGACTGTCTTAACATACAAGAAAGTAACAGGATTACTCCCTGAATCAAAGCATGAAGCAATGTCAGAAGTTAAACCAATTTCGAATTCGGAGTAACAAGAGTCTGGTCAAAGTCCAGATCCAATCACTTTATCTGTGCACGCGCAAACGTTAATTTCCTCCTTGATCACAAACCTCTCCTGATCCGATTACCTCCACTGATGAACTGCTGAACGAACTGAGAAACGAAGGAAACGGCGAACCAGCTCTAGTTTCGCTTTAACTCCCGGAAAAGAGGAGATCGTCAAAAAAAACCGCTGGAAATCCTTCTACTGACGTCTAGCGCCTGCTGGGAGAACTACGAGTCCAGTAGTGAGGTGACCAGGAGAGCCGGCCCAGACAGATGTGTCCCTCTGTATTAATGATTAATGCGAATATTGACTGGCTGTGTTTTGGGGATTAACGCTGCTGTTTGGATAAGAAGGCAGAGTTCGCGTGTAGGTGGTCGTGTTTTCCCATTGTTTATTCCGTCAGGACTTTTGCCTTCCTGCTGAACTTCAGGTGATCAGGTTTCATATTTTGACTTTTACCATCCATTCCCACCACAGGAGCAAGACGGCAGACTCAGAGGTCCATCTAGTAAATCAAAGTATTATCTTCCACTGGGACAAACAATGAAACTGTTCCTGCACTGTATCCTCCTGACTGCTGCCGCCACTGGTAAGAGCCTGCTTTAATTTAATTATATGTTGTTTGAATTAAGTAATGCTTCCATCCTGTTTTCATTCCTTTAATCTAATTATTGGTTATGTGACCTTAGTGGGGTACAGTTACAGAAAAACTGCCTGTGACATTTTAAAACCAAACGAACCACTGAAATAAGGGCAGCTTGTTTTTTTGTTTTGTTTTTTTGCTTAGTGGCTATTTAGGTAATTGCTCAGTTTCAATATAACTGAGCTGCTTTTTGAGATTTTCTCTGGTCCTATGCTGTCACAAACCGCTAGCGCAGGCTTGGTCCAAAGGTTATATGTGTGCAGGCTCATGCCCAAGTGTTCCAGATGGTACATCTGATCTCCTGCGCTTCAGCTCAGGCCAGCATTAACCCCACACAGAAAGGGCCCCCACACTCAGCATTTACGCATAACATTTGTGCTTCTGTTCGTTGGTTCAGCGTACCGGAGTCCTCTGAATGACTTCCAGCGCTCTGAGGGCAGAGAGCTTGTTCCTACCCCCTGGAATTCGGCACGTGTGCAGATGCTGCCAGGTACAAATCTGGAGGACTGTGCCACCCGGTGCTCACAGTCACTGGACTGCAGGTAAATAAGAAGAAACGCTGGAGAACAGCAGCCTGATACATGATGATGTTCAGGTGTTTGACACACAAAGCTGATAGTTATGTGTTAGGGTTAGAAATGTGTTTTTTTTTTTAATGGTTTGCTCTTATTTTGCTTATATTCATTTAACACACCAGTCGTTTTCAGAGGGCTGTTTGTAGGGATGTCTTATTTCCAGCTAACTTATTTAATTTAAAGACAGTTCGAACATGCTGGCAAAGCACAAGTAGCAATATATGTATTTGTCAGAAGATCAGACCCTGCACGAACCAGGGAAAATGTGTTGGGTTTTACACTTTAACAAACATATCGTATTGTATATTGATCAAATTTGAAAGGATCTGACATACAAACATTCTTCACCTCCAGAGCTTTTAACTATGAGACTCGACCGACAGTCTCCTGTAAACACCTGCCCTGGGTGGGCGACGGAAACAACGCCGAAGTGAAGAGAAATGTCAACTGTGACCTTTATGAGAAAAAGGGTGTGACTCGTTCCAAGTGACATTACAGAGACCAGTGTTGCGGATCATCTGTTTCACAGATTGCTGTTGTTGTTGTTGTTTTGGTGCAGTTTATGTGAGACAGTGCATTGTGGGAAAGGGGGAGGACTACAGAGGGAAGGTTTTCACCACAAAAAGTGGCCTCACCTGCCAGCAGTGGTGGTCAAAGTTTCCTCATGATCACAGGTGAGACACAAGATCCTAATATAGAAGTTTGATTTCTGTGCATAAGCAGAGTGGAAGTGAACGCCTTTGATTAAATGACTTTCTTATATATAATCTATGCATAAAGATGCTAAGGTGGTTGCATCTAAGTGTCTCAGTTAATGTCTCAGTTTCTTTCTCAGTCAATGCATTGGTAACTTTATTTTTTAAGTAACTTTGGACTGTTGTGTTTGAAATAACTGGATTTTAGACATCCAGAGCATCGCACCGTTCAGCGACATGTAACAGTCACTGTAAAACACCCCGTGTCAGGTGGACCCCGACAGCTACAAATGGTCTGGAGTTGAACTTCTGCAGGAATCCAGATGGAGATCGCATTGGTCCGTGGTGCTACACCACCGACCCAGAGCGGCGCTACGAGAGCTGCAACATCCCCCAGTGCAAAGACGGTATGGAAAGAGCCAACAGGTGTGAATGGTATTGATTTGGTCCTGAAATGCTAAAGTAATTTCTATGGAAATTAGTTGGCATGGAAAAAAACCCTAGTTTTTATACCATCATCAGAAATGAGTTGTTTACCTAAAGAATTGAAAAATAAAGCTGGCTTTAATTCAGTTTATTGGGTGTGTGTTTTCATTTTTATGGAAATACACAGCCAAAGAAAACATTTACGTTTTTCTTGGGGAAACTTTCATTTCCTTGCTTTATATAAAGCATCCACGCACCCACACAAAAAAGAAATCTCACTTGTCACATTGGCTGGCCTGCTGCCTGCTGTGCAATTACAGATGGTTGCAATTAGCAATTACAACAGCTACCTGTCTCTCTCACTGACTTCGAGTGGCAGAGTGTCTGTCTCTTTCAATGAAAGCCATTTGAAAATCACTGGGAGGGAGAAGAAATCGTCTCTGAACGTGCGATGTTTCCTTTTTCAGCTCAAACTTCGGTGTTTTTTGTGTTTGTGGTTGCAGAGGTGTGCATCACGTGTAACGGAGAAGACTACAGAGGACAGGTTGATCACACTGTCAGTGGCCGGGAGTGTCAGAGATGGGACCAGCAGTACCCCCACCAACACATCTACCAACCTGAAAAGTATGTGTTCCTGTGGTTGATGAAGTAAAGTGGCATTATGTAAACTCTGCACTGTAAAGAGAAAGTTTGAATCAGGTGCTTAGTTTTATGAAGGAAATTCTGACACAAAGAACTCATGTATGTTTAAGGTATCCCGATAAGAGTTTAGACGATAACTACTGCCGCAACCCCGATGCTTCTCCAGTGCCTTGGTGTTACACCACAGACCCTGAGGTGGAGAGAGAGAACTGCGAGATAAAGAAATGCAGTAAGAGCACTGTTAAAAATATTACTTCTTTTTCTGTGTTGAACTAAAACTTTGTCATATTCTCTCCATGCTTTATGCCAATTTATGACATCTCTTTGTTTTAGTGCAGATCACACAGTTAATTAGCAAATTCAGAAATTAGAGACTATAGAGTATTGCTGGTTCACGTTATACATTCACTGCTTGCGTGTTTTTCCCATTTTGTTTTTGCAATGGGTTTCCCTTTGGCTGAACAGAGAAAGGTAAATCGAGACACATAGGAACTGAGGAGTCTAATTAAGTCACCGTAATTAAATCCAGAAACATTTACAGCCGTTGTGCTAATTACTGCACAGAATGAGAGATTTCAGACTGGGAACCAGTGATTGTGTTTGATTTCGGGCTGAAATGTGCAGGTGTTTGTCAGTGACTGAATCACTGATTTTTCTCAATGGATTTGAGGTTCAGTGGAGGTTAATTAAAAAGTATCCCCTTCAGCCTGTTTCAAGTCACACAGCTTATCACAGTTTGACTTTCGTTTATACAGATTTATTTAATAGAATAATTATTTTTTTACAAATACTCAGCTTACCCTCTTAAATCGAAAGTTAGATAGCACACCAACACCATTTATCTGCTTGAGGTGCTACATTTAATAGGAAATTACATGGTGTCAACACAGAAATAGATAATTTGAGACAACTGGAGATCAGTGTTTTCTCCCAAATTTCAACATAAGTTTTGCAACAGGAAACCAGCAGCATGGGCTTTTCCTGACAGAGAGAGAGGAGCTCATGAGGATAACCAAAAATTAAAGACGCACGAGCACCATCTTGTGGTGTTTTCAGAAATAAGTGGAAGTAACTTGCTTAGTGTTTCAGTTAAAAGCGATCTATAAAGCTCACTTGAACTAAAAATATAGAAAAATAATAAGAATCACAAAAAAACATATGATTCAAATCCTAGTTTTTGTATGCCCTGTAAATGATGAGACTATATAAAGAATGTGAAAGAGACAGGAAGTTCTGGCCAACCTTATTTTTCATTGGTTATGACAATCAGTAAATCATTCAGCATGTATGAACTCAATTTTGTTGTGACAAATAAAGAAAATTACAGTTAATCATAGATCTACATTTCCTAATGGGTTTAAACTAAAATCAAATGTTACAACCGTGGAAGTTGGCACCTTCATCGGGTGGAACACTGGAGGAGGGGATTCTGTCTAATAATAAATGGAAGAATATATGACATAGCACAATTAAAGACATGACAAATACCTGGAGAACATGTATTTCCTTTTTTGTATCAGGAGCCAAAGACTTGCCTAATTCACTAGACAAGACATAACTGGACATAAATTTATTCCTTAAATTCATTCCTTTTTGGCTGCTGTTATATACAATTAATGTTCATGTATAGTAAGAACCCTACAGAGCAGCTCGCTTTTATACTAAAGGTCACATTTTTTTCTCACCATGAGGGAATGAGAGGTGAATCTGAACAGGAATCAAAGGTCAGTCTAAGTAACTACTTGTCACCAATTAGAAGATGTATAAATTTATATTTAGGAATACATTACTTGATGTATGTAAGTAGAGACTTATAATGCATTATTGTGCCCAAAGTGGATGAAACATCCAAATAACAACAAGCATCAGACATTTTCGACTGGGCATCAGATCCAATTTTCAAGTGTCCCACAAGAACTTCAGTTGGTTTGTGCTTTGTACCTTGAACAGTTGATTTCCTTTCCGTCTCATTCCTTTAACTGTAGCTGAGGTTCGTGTGGAGAAACGGCAGCGCTCCAGCTTCACCACTAACTGCTTCCGTGGTCGTGGAGAGGATTACCGCGGTAAAGTAAATGAGACAACATCAGGTATACCCTGCCAGCGGTGGGACGCCCAGTATCCTCACGAACACCCCTTCTACCCAAACACATACGAGTGCAAGTAAGTGCTTTGGTTTTGTTCGTTCCTGCACTTGGAGCTCCAACATGCATGCCTGCACATGAATATTAATGTCACAGAGGAACTGGGGGGAAGTTTCTTGCCATCTCTTTTGTCAACTGACATGTTTGTCCACATGAGATGATAGATGTTCAGTAATTGCACCGTAAAAAGCGATCACTCCCTGACTATGTAAATTGATATTAAATGAACGTTTAAAATTGTGACAGCGATCATTCATCATTAGAGTATTGCTCGCCAGAATTGAATTTCTTTGTTTTCCTGCAAATCGACTAATTCAATATGACCCTCACATTTCAAATACAGCCAGACTACTTATTTCAGAGCTAAGTCTATTGTTGCGTGTTGCTTGTCATTCAGAGGTTTGGAGGAGAACTACTGCCGTAACCCAGACGGATCAGAGGCTCCCTGGTGCTTCACATCTGTGCCGGAGATGAGGACTGCTCTCTGCTTGCAGATCAAACGTTGTGCAGATGACATAGAAGCTGAGGGTACCACTTCTTCACTCACTTTTGTGACCAGATCAATTCTGACAATAATGAATAAAGATTAGCATCTGGTGAAAATCTTTGATAAATCAATTGCACTCCAGATATTGTGGTGGGCGTTATCCAATTTGAGCACTGTCACTACCTGCTGTTCTTCACTGTAGTCACTGGCATAACAATCAATCATTTCTGTTTTCAGATTGCTACCATGAAAATGGGAAAAACTATAGAGGCGTTGTCCGCAAAACCCGTAAAGGCATCACCTGTCAGAAATGGAACGTTAACACACCTCACCGAACTAAGTACAATCTTTAAACATATTAATTGACCCATGACATTTAAACTGTCCAAAATCTTTATTGTATAAACTCAAGATAAAAACTCAAAATCTAAAGACCTTGATTAAATTGAACATGAAGACTGTCTGAGAAAATATCCTTGTGACATCATTTTAATCTTATCCAGTGTATGCTGCTGATCTCTTATATTCATGTCAGGCGCACAGCTCTGAAAAGATGTGTGTGATCTTTCAGGATAAACCCACGAACACACCCCGAAGCCAATCTAACGGAGAACTACTGCCGGAACCCGGATGGCGATCAGCACGGACCCTGGTGCTATACCACTGACCCCAAAACCGAGTTTGACTACTGTGCTATCAAACAGTGTGGTACACATGTCTGTTGTCTGTGTCAAACATACCGCCGTTAATGGACTTCCCGAACTGCTGTTTTCTTACCGACAATTTAGCACTTCTGTTGTTGCTATTTTCAAACAGCGGGAGAGAAAGTGTCCCTGACGGAGCCAGTAGGTCAGTGGGAGAATGTGCGCGGAGCACGCTGTACACAAGTCTCCACGCTTTTGCTTGCCTTTGCAATGATAGATGCTTTTGTGAATGCAGAGAAGGTGGAGTTCAGTGAGTGCGGAAAGAGAGACGACCGCGTCGCAGCAACCAGGTTGCGCATCGTGAACGGGATACCCGGGAACTCACCATGGACAGTGAGCCTCAGAGATAGGTGCGTGTGGCTGGTGATGATGCGTGGTGATGAGCGGTCAAAACACACTCTGCTGCTCTGTGAATGACCTTTGCCCCTTTCCGAGTGCAGGAAAGGAAACCACTTCTGCGGAGGATCTCTGGTGAATCCCAGATGGGTTATCAGCACCAAACAGTGTTTCTCCTCTTGGTAAGTTAAAGGCCCGTCTGACTTTAACTGTGAAAGAGGATTGTTCTTGCTGAAAGATGGATGAGAAAATGAACACCACATATACTACATAAACGTTTTGTGAGTTTTTCTTTTCTTAAGCTGAACAGCTGCAATTCCCTGACGGCAGATTCACATAAATTCTGTGTTCAGATTGTCATTACAGCTTAAATGAATTCTCCCTGTTCAGTGAAAAACGTTTGATCAAATCAATCATTCCGGCAAACACTATGTTTGTATTTCTGTTTATGGAATGTTGCACCATTCATGTGTAAAGTAAAACTGTTTCTCAAACCTTATGTTAAGCACAGTACATAGTTTCATCTCTTTATGACGGTGGATTGTGGGCACCATATCCCTAAAACAAAACTTACTTTTTTTATTTGTCCCTGTTGTCTTTTGTGCACAGCTATGTTGACCTACCCGGGTACTCAGCAATGATGGGAACACTCTTTCGTGATCCAGAAGAACAAGAGCCCGGTGTACAAAGCATTCCTCTCACAAAGATTGTCTGTGGGCCGTCTGAGTCTCAGCTGGTCATGCTGCAACTGGAACAGTGTGTATTGTGAAGTACTTATGTGTAAATATATGCACGGTTTTGACAAGTATCTTCCCTTTGACTCGGTCTTCTCTCTGTCGGCAGCCCTGCCCAGTTCAATGAGCGCATCTCTCAGATCTGCCTTCCTCCTGAGCGGTATATAGTGCCCGAGGGGACAATCTGTGAGATTGCGGGATGGGGTGAAACAAAAGGCAAGTACGGCCACAACAAAAGGATAGTTAGACTTTAACCACATTATATTTATGCAGCTACAGTATGCATCTATCCAGACGTATGAAGGTAGATCACAAATTTAGAACAAGCACCATTTCTTTGCCCTTGAATCAATGTTGCATCTTAATGAGAGCGCTATTCAGATTGTTGAGCAACAGATGGCATTACTATTAGCAAAATCATTCAACATCTGTCCACAGTCCTTTTCCTTTTTCCAGTACTCTAAGCTGCTAATCTCTACTTCCCGATTTTTTTTCAAGGGACTGGAGATGAGACTGTTCTCAATGTGGCCCAGATACCAGTTATTAGCAATAGAGAATGCAACAGATACTTCAGAGGTCGTGTTCGTGAAAATGAGATGTGCACAAACTCTTTCCAGGGTGGAGTGGGAGCCTGTGAGGTAAGTGTCCATACTGAAAATATGCCCAATTTGAAAGATATTGTAGTTTAACAACATGCAAACCTTCCATAGCAGGAAACAAGATGCCCCATCTTTAACTCCTCTCATGTCTGCCAAAGTCCTCCTGCGTTGGGACTGTATTTGAAATATAAATAACGAAGTGTGGCATTTTACTGTGACGTCAAATAAATATTAGCAGTCTTCAAATTTTGAAGCATCATGACAAAAATTGGGACAAAAGGTTAGAAATAAAAAGGTTGACTGGCAACAAGTTATTAACATGATTGGGCGTTGGAAGGCAAATTTAGAGAGGCAGAATGTCTCCAAAATAAAAGATGAGCAGAGGTTCTGCTAAAAATGTAAGTCCACAAATCATGGAACAAATTTAGAATAATGTTTATCAATAAAAGCTTTTGAAGCCATAATATCCTAAAGAGATTCAGAGAATCTGGAGCCATCTCTGTGAACAAGACACGTCTTAGAATAAATCTTGAATGACCGTGATCTTCGGGCCCTCGGGCAGAACACATTAAAAACAGACATGGCTCTGTTATGGAAATCACTGCATGGGCTCAGCAACACTCCCAGAAATCATGATATGTCAACAGTTCCATAAACCATCCACAGGTGCTGGTTAAAGCTCTACCGTTTAAAAAATAAGTTGTTTCTTTGGAACATTTTAAATAAGCAAAATACGACGAAGAAGATGCAGGACCGTTGAGCATCCATGATCCTATTTCAGACTAAACTGGGACAGCATTACTCTCCCATAGGTCCAGCAACTGGTCTCCTCAGTGACCCCTTCTTGAGATTTTAGCTTTGTATTTGTTGCAGCTATCAAATTCAAGACAAGACAATATTTTGAGAAAAAGTTCAGATATTTACTATGAGTCAAAATGAGAGAAAATAAATTAAAAGAATTGACAAAAACATCTAAATCCTATAGCTGCTCTTCTGTCCTGCCAGTCGGGATGTTTGTTATTTACCAATTAATTATATAATTTGAAAAGTTCCACTATGGACATGTTTTCTATATTTGATTAAGAGTAAAATAAAGGTTTCCGAGATTTGAAGATAGTTTAGTTTAGTTGAGCAGGAAAACTGGAGAAGGTAATGCTGCTGTAGGCTTCCTCCCCTCTGGAATTCCTGAAACCAGCCGTTTTGCTTAGTTTTACTATGTGGGATTAGTTTGTAGAGATATATTTAATGAGGCTATTTCCACAAGCTGTTGTTTATGCTATACAAGCTAAGCTGTTTAGACGCAAACTGGAGATTTCTATTGTGCACAAACTAAAAAGCCAGTAAGAAATACAGATCCACATGGGAGATGTGACACTTCAGAGAGTGAAAAAAATGTACAAATAAAACGAACCTTTCTAGACACAGAATCTAATAGAAAATACAGAAATAGATCTGGTAATTTTTCTCATCCACATACAGTTATAGATGTTGGCTTGTTCACCATTGTCCAGGCAGGCTGATCCAGTTGTTGTGGCGTTGCAGACTGACCCTCTACATCATTCTGGCTTCTAAGCCCTATCTGGCTATATTACATATTTATATTAGATATCTGTGTACATGAGCTCCTTTATCTGAAATGAGCACCACAGTTGTGTTTGAAATTTACAAAGTTTTTAGTGGAATTCAATTCCTTCATCCGCATAACACTCACCCAGGAAATAATACTGGTTCTGTTAGCCCCATGTGGACATCCACAGGGTCAGAAAAAAACTTTGGACTCCTGCACAAACAGGCATTCACAGTGGTTACTTTCTACAGCAGAAAAGAGCCCCTACCCAACAAAACACCAAAGCAGGGCCCTTCCTCCATGTTATGTTAAAGGACGTATTGTGGAGGATAAAGCTTGATTTTTTTCTGGATTGGAAAATGCATTCAATTACTGAGTTACTTTACCAACACATTCTGCACAGACTTAGTGAATGACAAAACTTGCAAGTTGCAGTAAAAAAAAACATGAATAAATGTTTTTTTTCCTTTATAATAGGAATGCGAGGAATAACACGCATGAAGCCTTGTGAGTTATTCCCTTGAATACTGATGGTAAAGAAGTTCTTTAGATGATTTAAATCCCTTTAAGCAAAGGACATACAGTTATTTATAAGTTCCTATAAATCAAACACATTCACCATTTGGATAATGTAAGGTAACTGGGCAAGATGTGACTGCAAGATGTTTCCAACCTCAGCAGTGACAGTCAGTCATAACAGAGACAAATAATGACTCCAGAGTGTTGTTTCTGTGTGTCTGCAGAGAGACTACGGCGGCCCTCTGGCGTGTCAGAACAGGGACTGTTGGGTACTCGAGGGTGTGATCATCCCCATGAGGCGCTGCGGACACCCGGGGCAGCCCAACATTTTCATCCGCGTCTCAGTGTACGTGGACTGGATCAAGAAGGTCATGGAGATGGCTTAATGACAGTAGCTGCCATCTAACACAGAACTTATTTAATCTATCAGACACATTTGCAAGAATGCACATTTTTTTTCTCCAGCACATCTCTGATATTAAGCTCTGGTAAATATACAAGCGTATTATTAGAATTTATTGCAACGACAACTTTACTGTGCCATAACCATGATCCTTTTCAACCTTTGTTCATGTAGAAAAACACATGCATCACTAAACAATTTGTTCCTTAAGATTTGCATGCAAATGAATTTACATGTGCACTTCATGTTGGAGAAGATCCGTCTTGAAAATGTAAGTGATTGTTCACATTTATACGCACACTTTGTTTCAGTATTCCTGACCTCTCCTTTGAGGATATATTCTGTACCAATTCAGCTGTTTACTGTTGTAATAAATTTCTGCCAATGCCTGCTGTTCTTTAAAATTGTAAATGTTATATTTAACCTGCTGCCAAATATAAGGGCTCACAGTGCAAAATTGAACTGTTGAAAAAGTTTCAAAACATCAAATGGATTGTAGCCTATCAGATTCAGAAAGGAATGAATGCAGCCAATTAAGCTCCACTGACAGAGGAGGTTTGCAGGTTTACAGCAGTTTTAAAGCCCCGAACATCCCCTGTAAATGCACCCTTTACTAGAAAACTGTACACCTCCCCTGCTTTCGCAGGCATTGAATGGAGCTCCAAAATACCTTCTTTGCCCCCAGCCACTAAAAGAAATCCCTCCTCTGCCTGTCTTTTTATGCCTGCCCCCACCTCTAAAAGACATGCCTTTGTGCCTTATGCAGAACTGTATGCGCTGCACATTCTTTCTAGTTCTATAGGAGGATTTTTGTAACCCGGTCCTGATGAGCCCACGGAATTCAGCTTAAATAAACCTCAAGATCAGAGTCCAACCAAATCTCAGACTGCAGAAGGCCACTGAACTCTCATTTGTAGACACACACACACACACAATTTCTCCCCGTGCAAACCCTCCCCCGTCTCTCTTCATTGCCCTCTGTTCTGTCTTTCACTTGTTGATTTTCACAACAATATTTTATATGCTTGCTATTTAGGAGCGAGAAAAAAAAGAAGGGAACATAAAAAATAATAGTGTTAAAATCTGAAATAGAAGACTCACTGATAACGCTCAGTGACAGCTTGGAAACTGTAGATTGACAGTTATGATTTCATTGTCATTTTCTTCACTTCCATTTTGCCAAGAAATGACTAATCAAATTCATGTATGACTACACGTTTCCAGCAAACATTGCCAAAACGTCTGGGAAACGTGACTCAATTGATCAATTTTCAGACAAAAGTATTCAAATGTTTTATGCAGTTTACCATAATAAGACGAGAAATTGTGTGTAGGCTGTACAAGATAAACCTTTGGTGAGATTGAATATTCAGGTCTCAGGTTTATATCTATGTGTGTGTATGTGTGTGATACTCACTCTGAGAGTCGGAGTTGCATCATGAAACCGACACTGCAAACGGTTCACACTCTGGGCTTTATCGCCGTAATGTAAAGTTTTACGTTCTGGTCTCTTGCCAGCACGTTCACCTGACATGACTCCCTGAGCAGACCAGCATTAGTCGCCCCAGAACGTGTGGTCACCGTGGTTCCTAGCGTTTCATCTGGGTCTAACAGTTTCTGATAACTTCTGAAGTCACAGCCTGAAAACTCGAGAGACAAAAATATTGGAATCCCTTGAGGTGTGAAACATAAAGCATAAGCCCATAGAAAAAATGCGAAAATAAAACTACAAGGGACACATTCATTTTGGTCCAGACAAAGGTCTTTGATTCCAAATATCTATTTTTATTAGACTTTTAAAAGTGATGCTATTTCCACTCTACAGGGTTAAAACACTTCAGTGCAGAATTTTTTTTCATGTTTTTCAAGAAAATACTCAAAATGATGGGTTTTTTCTTTTTTTTTCTTTTCCTGCAGCAAATTTTCTTTGCATGTGCAGCTGCATGATTAAGTGTGCCATGCTGGGTTAATATTTTTTCACAACAAACGCACACCCGGGTGTTTCTCAGCAGATTTTGCTCGGAGAAAACTCACTTGATACAAAAGTCCTTTATGACTTACAGATACTATGTATCTCCAACACTGTAGGGGGGGAGATAACAGCAGGGAAAGTGGCTGAAACCTCTGCCTGTGACTGTGCAGACAGTCTGCTCTCGTTCTGATTTCTACTGAGGCATACTGAACCTTTTCCTCCCTTCTTTGGGGAACTTCCCAGCCCCCCAGACCCCACTTTGTGAACCCCGGAACCAGACCCTCCAGTCTAATGCCCGTCTTTCTCCCTCTTTCTCCTTCTCAAGTGGGTGGTCCGGTGAGCTGCTCGGGGCGGGGTCCTCTGTTTCAACCCTCCTATCCTCGTTCTTTCTTGAAACATGCTTTAATAGAGAAAGTATGCAATGCATACTGCTCTGCAACAACCCCCCACTATACTGCATCTGGGGTATTCGCGACTGGACGTCTGGGGGATCACACACATTTCCGATTAGAAGGAGGGAGGAAAAGAGAGAGAGAGACAGGGCCAGGGAGAGAGAGGGGGGGGAGAGAGAGAGAGAGAGAGAGAGTGGGAGAGAGAGGGAGACATTACCCTTTCATTTCAGCCAATGAGACGGTCGATACACTAAGATTTTCATAGTTGTGCAGGAGCACAAAGTGAACGGAGTGTGTGTGAACTTCCAGGTAAAACTGCAAACCGACATAAGGTAAGCTGAACTTCCTCTTCTCTCTCTCTCTCTCTCTCTCCCCCTCTCTCTCTCTTACTCTCTCTGTTGCGTTTGGCTGCATGAGCGGGATTACTCAGGCTGAACATGGAGCCTATAGCCCTGAATGTATACATGCAGGCTCCGTTCAGCTCGGCTTGCTCTGAAAGCAGAGCTTTTGCACCTGTGTTGCCTTGCCTTTGTCCTTGGTAAAGTTTTCCCAGCCACAGTTTTTCTTTGCTTTTTCTTTTTTTTTTTTCCCCCTCGGTCCATCCATTTCCCCCGGACCTGCTGTTTTTTCCCCCAAAAAAAAAAAAAAAAAAAAAAAAAAAAAACGAAACACATTTGAAAGAAACGATTGCGCAAGTTGATGGAAACAGGAGGATGTTGTTTGGCGAGCGCCCCGACTGTACGCTTTAAGACGCCGATGGCCTCGAGGGCTTGTTTTGCGTCAACATGTGCCAGTTACCCAACCGAAGTCGGAGGTTTGGAGCTCGCGGCTTCGCTTCCTCGGCGCTCCGCGCGCGCCTCCTTCAACGCCGCGCGAGAATGTGTATTTACGGTGGCTATTGCCGCCCATATGCAAAAAGTACATTCAGTCCCGTACTTGGGCTGCCAAACACCAACAAGCAGAGTGGACGCCGCGGAGGGAAGAGAGAGGCTCGCACCGCGGCGCCCGTTGTTCCCAAGCGAGTTTTTTTTTTTTTTTTATCGGCGACGAAACGACGTCGTGCGTCTCGTTTGGCTTTAAATCGTTTTCTACGAGGACGTATTTCTCGAATTACTCCGACTTCCTGCTTCGGTGCGGCCGTTTTTGATAGGCTGTGTTGACAATTAGAGTTTGGCACATTCCTGCCGGAGCTGGACGTCGTGTGAACGACCACCAACAGTTCGTTTTCTAGGAGGATATTTGCGCTTTATTCGGCTCCTGAGGGGTACATTTCACGAGCTGCTGGCGTAGCGAGCGGCGTTTCGAAAATGTTTAAACTTAAGGATACATTGTTTATTGTGTTACCTCGTGGGTTTGGGATTAATTATGCATAACTAAACTAGTTTAGAAATAAACGTGGGATTAAGGTGGACCGAGGCAGTCCCCAACTGGTCAAACAGAAAGCTCATTTGAAGCCCATTTTCTGTTTACCTTTATTTATTTTGTATGTATTTTAAAGTTAATTTAAGATGGTTTGAGGTCAGAATCTGCATTAAACTGGAGGATGTGGAACTTGTGGTGGACTTTCACATTATTTACTGCTCATATGTGAAACTTATAAGATCTAATGTTCATGAATGTTTAATTATGCCCTAAGCCAAAACTGACTGAAATGTTTTGAGATGGCATCGTTTTTGGTGCTTAATTTCTAAATGGCTGAACACATGAATGAAAATTGAAAGGAAACTATTTTTAGAGTTCAGTAACTGGCACAGGCAGAGATCTTTGTCCCTTTTAAACAGATGCTCATGTCTTGGGATGGATTGTTGCTCTCAGGTTTCTTGATTGTTTCTGATTCTTTCCGTTAGACTTTTCCACGTCGTGCGTGTGTGCGCACGCCTGCCTGTTATTGTCACAGTTTGACCCCGGCAGCATCCCCACACCAGCAGCCTGCACAGCCCCCATTGACAAATACCTCGCAGAGGGCAGATGGAAACGCAGAGCTCAGTACAGTAGATGCAGATTTTGGATGGCAGATTGAGTTGTGAATATCTGCGCTACTTTTAGTCTCTGCACAGCACTCTCATGTTTCCCTGCATTTGCCAGACCCCTGTCTGTGTTCCGATGAACCTGGTGCCAAGGCTTATGTATGAGCAGTTCCCACGCTCGCTCTTGGAAAAGGTTCCTGTGCAATTCGGAATTATCCTTGTGATGGCACACTGAGCTCTGATTGGAACTCCTTGTGGTAATTGTGCAAAAAAGGAAGATGATTTCAAGTGGAAGATTGGTGCTGATTATCCAAAATTTGTAAAAGATGATTGTGACGCTGCATTCAAAAGTAGTCATTCTTTCCACTTCTTCTCTTGTTGTGATCACGTCTCCAGCTCCTGATACTCAGCTCTTCTCTTTAAGCCCTCGAGGCCGCTGCTCCAGGCTTTGATGCCCACACTCTTTGAAGCAGGTGGACAGACGCAGGCATGAGTAACAGTGGGACCAAAGAGCCGTCTCCTCAGCCAAGCACTACCCAGTCACCCGATGAGCCTCAGCGCAGGGGCAGGGGTCGACCACGGAAACAGCAACAGGTAAGACCTCACGCTTAAGAAGCTTACTGCTTAGCTCTGATCTCAGCCCTCGATAACAAGTATTGTGATTAAATATTACAAGATTCATTCAAATCTACAAAACTTGACTGGATGTGTATATGCTGCTTGCAGACTATAGATAATTCTGTTTTATTTTCGGTCCACAGGAGCCTGTTGGACCACCCACTCCAAAACGGCCGAGGGGACGACCAAAGGGCAGCAAGAACAAAGGCCCCAAAACTGCACTGAAGGTGCTGTTGTCCAGTAATTTCGTCATGACACTCAATCGTTACCTTTTATTGGCGTTTAGCTTTCTCATAGCATACTCTGTTCTGCAAATAGTCTTGCATGTGTTGTGTTTTTTGAGGGACGCTGTAAGGCTGCCACCGATGAAACGTACTCTGTTTACATTTCACCCTGTGAGACACTTCTTATAGAGTAACTGACCAGGGCAGCTGGTAGAAAACTATAACTTAGTCCTAATGGCTGATACTGGCTTCCTTCCACCAGTCCAGCTGCAACAGTGAATGTGTAAGCGGTGAAAGTCACCTCTTATTATTGATCTGCATATAAGAACATAAGTTTGAATGGAAGCCTTTTATTGTTGGGGGAGGGTCAGTCCTGATCAGTTTCTTGTTATAGTCAATGTTTGAGAAGTTTAGGGAGTCTGAAGGTGTCATGCTTTTTGTGTTGGCAGTGTTTTTTAGTCATGTGTGGAAAAAGGTGTCCTCTGCCATCATTTTGTTGGAAAAGATAAGTGAAACAATCTTTCCGCCATGTCTCCGTCTCAGAGAAAACATTTTTTGTCAGGCAGCTGAACTTGTAAACTTGTTATTAAGGTGTTTTATATTTCAGCTTAGAATCAAACTTGCCAATCACACAGATCCTTTCTGCGTGTCTACAAGTTCTGGCTATTGAAATCTTTTTCAAAGGAAAAGGACGAAAAAGCAGAATGATCCAAACATCAGGGTGTGGGTTTATATCGGTAATGTTAATCATTTGTAATATTTTAAATCCTAGTTGGCATTGTGCTTGTCAGTGAGGAACTCTTTTTTTTGTACAAAAGCATGTAATTGTCGCTGTGAAGAAACAGTCTTCAAGTTAACATTGACTATTCTGCTATTACGCTAAGACCAGGAAAGTTTACTGCATGAAGCCTCTGCAGCACCTGTTAGGGACACTCCCAAAAGAAAAGAAAGGTGGTATAAAACTGCAAAACTAAAAGGAAAAACTGTGTGATTAGCACAGCATGATTGTTAAGCTCTCAACTCCCCCTTCCATCTATACGTTTTCAGAAAATAGAGCCTGTAGGGGAGAGAAGACCACGAGGGAGACCGAGGAAATGGGTATGGAGCACACACTGACACTCATGGATTTATTGTACATGTCTGTGGGAAGCTTCCACTGCTTCTGCCTGCTGGAGCTGTGCAGTCCTTGTGGGGCCCTTTGCCTTCATGTTTAATTTCTCTCTGTTCACAGCCCCAGAAAGTTGTTCCAGAAGTGACTGAAGAGCAGCAGGTGAGGAAAAATGACATCTTAAGAAGCAGTGAGGTGGTCCAGTTTTGTGTTGAAGTGGTGCTTTAAGATGCCGGTTGCAGCTGTTGTGTTGTATTGATAAATGGAAATAATCCTTAAAATACGGTCTCATAACATGATTTCCTTGTACGTGAAGTTCCTGACCTGTCATGTAGCAAACTGAGGAATTGGTGTTGCAGTAGAAACCATTAGCCCCTTAAGCCAAAAAACATGAATGTTCCTCTGTGTAAAACTGAGTTCGAACAATTTTTATCACCTTTAAAAAAAAGATTCTGTTCATTATTTAACTACCTAAAATACACCAAGTCTCAGGTCAAACTGAGGATGGAACTGCTCTTGGAGTTTGTAAGAGTTCGATCCAAACTTTGGGTAAACAGAAATCTCACTCTGTGTCACACGTTTATCTTATGACTAAAGCCAGTTACATGTGTGCTGCTCTGCTGATTCGCAGAGTTGTTATCTTTTAACTATGAGTTCAACATCAAATAGCTGCAACCAAAGCACACACTACACTTTTACACTTCTAAGGTCAAGCAGAAATTCTGATAAGGCAACGTGAAACAGAGCAAAGGCTCTAGTGAAGTTAAAATGCACACCATTAGTAAAAGAAAAAGGGTCCAAAGTTATATCAGTATGTCAGATAAATCGGCGGGCCCCTCAAAGTATTTATTACACAAAAAAAGTAAATATGTGAATATTTCTGGTACATTTTTATTTTGTTTCTCAAATTAAATCATGTGATTTGGGGGGTGGGTGTTAATTCATACATATGTAAAATGGGATTTCATTTACATTCGCAAAGTAGAAAGACATCACTAATATGTTAAAAATACAATTAAAAAAGTTAAAAAGCATTAAAAAAACAACATAATTGCAAACAAAAGCCACCAGAACCATAAATGACTTGGATTGAGTCAGTCTTCCAAATTTCTGATGCAGGACTGTATTTTCCCCCCTTATTATTTGGGTTATCATATGGAGGGTATGCATCCGCCCTACCAGGACATTCAAAATTAGAAAATCTAATACAATGTGCCACTAAAAAAATTCTTTCCATCAAAGCGATGTATTTGTGGACTTTACTCCTCTTTATCCTGCAAAATGTACGTTTTCATTCATATCTTATGTGTGTTGGATCTCTCTTTTCCTAAACCTCAACTAGACGTGTAGCGCTACTTCACCGGCTGTGATGAAATGTCCTCTGTCAGCAGAGGAATAAAACTGTTTAAAAGCATCCCTGTTGTGGATTTTACTGGAAATTTGTGCTTCTTGTGCTTTATGTGAAGGACTCCATGGCAATGTGCCAGATTCACTGACAGCCGTGCTGAATTCCCCCACATACTAAAACGTCCCCTCGTCTCATCCAGTTTGGTAGAGCACGCAACTGGCAATTCTGAGAAGCGCTGCTATTTTAGCCAACTTGTTCGTCTAGCAAGTGAAAACGTTGCACAAGAGTTCTTACTAAAGTCAGCCACTACCTGCGAAGCCCCTCGTCTGTCTTATCGCATCCTCTCTGCTGAGCAGTTTGTCAAAGAGGGCTAGATGCTTAAAGAACTGAAACCGTTGAGACAGACTCCTTTTCTCAAACGCACGCACATGAAGGGGAAGAATGAGTCAGTGTAGTGAGGGGAAACCTGATCTAACTGCTCTCTTCCCCTGTCTTCTGGTTTCCTGATGTAACCGTCGTCTTCCTCACATTTCTTGGTTTGACAGCTGGAGCCTGCGTCCTCGCACGCGAACACCCAATGACAATTTTGACAGTCATTTGTGTATCCGCTGCCTCTTTCTAGTATTGATTCATTACTTTAAGCATCATGAGTCAGGAGGCTGACATGATGACTGATTGGTGCCCTCTTGTTTCAGGGCCCTTCAGAGGAGGCTGAAGAGGGCCCCTCGTCATCTCAGGTGCCTGAGCAGGAGGAAGGGGAGTAGATAAGATACCTCTCTACCTACCTCAAGGTTTGGCCTCAAGCAAACAGGGGTACAGTCTGACTCCTATCTGTGATGGGGATTCAGGAACACACACTCACACACTCTCACACTCACAAATCATGGCAGACAGTAGTTTCCTCTCCTCTTCTGAACAGCACCCTGGATTTTTGTTGCCTTTTAAAGAGTTTCTTTTTTTTTGTGAACAAATTCTCCTTTAACAGTGAAATATTTGATCTTTTGCTGAGATATAGTTCCACATCTTGAGAAAGGCATTTGTTGTCTTGCTTCTTGACAAGTTTTAATTCAAATACAGACAGATGACAAATTTAAAGAAAAAACAACACTAGGTGTCTTTTGGGAGTTTTCCTTTAGCACCCACCCAGTCCTACTCGGCTCTACTCGCCTCGCAATGATACAGTTTAAGCAGTTTTCCATTGCAAACGAGGTCCTAATAGAAAGCGATGCTGACTGGCTGTGAAGACACTGAATGCGACACAAGCACAAACTAACAATGAAGGACATTGTGGGGACGATATACTGGCCGAACCGATGCATTGGATCGAGGATTCGGCATTTTCAACATCGATGGTCAAAGAAATAATTCAATCGGATGTTTTTTGTTGCATTGTTGTTGAAATAGTCAGACTCATCCAGTTATTTGAATCCCTGGCCAATCAGCGGCTGGCCCCTGATGGAAATGCAAAAAAAGAAAAAACGAGTGGAGTAGAGCCGAACAGCACTGAGTAGGTACCAGTGGAAAAATCCACTTTAGTGAGAGGTTAAGCAGCTCTTTGTGCCTTAGAGTGATGGGCCTCCAGTCCAACACCTCTGCATTTGATGGTTCTTAAGTCATCAATCCAAAATCTGTTGATGTATTCTGATGGGTTCCACCATTTCTCATTCTGATCAAACAGTTCAGTAATCCTTGTGCCTTATGGAAGTGAGCATTGTCGACTTAGAAAAAGAAAACTCATCAGATTATAATTGTCTTCTTGGAAGATAAGGGTCACTTTTCTTTTAATCTGTCATCTGTCTGTATGTAAGGTAAATATTTACTGGAAGCATCTAAACAGTTCATTAAAACCCCTTTTTTTGTCCGTAAAATCTAACAGTTGATATGGTTTTCAGACATATCACGAAGACATCCCTCCTCTGTCGTTTTGCATTCATTTCCTCTTATATTTCAGAAAAGGAAGCAAGCTTTCCCTTAATGTCGAACAACTCATCAACAATGTCAGCAGTCCTGGTCCTCTCAGTGTGTGTGGATGAGTGTGTGTGTGTTTGCATGTGTCGAGAGGGGCCAGATTTGCAGGCTAAAATGAGAGGAGTTAAAAGAAACAAAGGAACCAAACTGAACAGTTCTAGCATGTTTCTATATCAAGCGCTTGAAACATGGCGTTTTTAACTTTTCACAACATAAACAAGGTGTGCTGGCGTCATTCTTGTGAAAGTTGGTGTGAAAGGTTTAATTAAAAAAATGAAATATCCTATCAAAAAGTTGAAAAGTACCTCATATTATAACATGAACTCCTATCTCGCTGTAATCAAGCAACCAGTTTTTCCCTCCATCCAGATGGTGATTGAAGAAAAAATTGCCCGAAGTTCTAAATGGATATTTGATTTTGGAAATAAACCTTTCATTCACACTTCAGTCAACTACATTGTTGACGTGTCATTTTACTACACTCAGGATTTCACTTTTAACAGTGCTTTTACACCATTTTGAAACCTCAGGTACAAGACTATTCAGGAACATGATGTCTACTCAGTAAAAATTGTGGTGCTGTGTTTGTTGTGCATTTCTGATTTGACATTACCAGTATGCCTTGACTCAAAGACCTCATTGAAACCTCAGTTACCTTCAGTTTCTTAATCTCTCATTCTACCTCAGTAACACAAAAGACAGAAGATCTCCAACAAAAGTAGTCACTCCCTCAGAAGTGATTCTGTACACACACTCACGTACAAGCGCAGGTTCATGTGCGGTTATACAGTACAAACATACAAAGGGTTTTCAGGGCTACATGCCAACACACAAACACAGACAAGCAGATGTTACACTCCAGTAGAGGTGTACAAATAAAGCAGCAATGTCATTTCTTAACAACAACAACAACAACAAGAAAAACTGTATCTGATTATGAAAAAAAAAAAAAACTGCATCGAGACTTTGTTATCCTGGGAAATAAAATGCAGCCAATAGTTTACAACATGATGAAATACTTGCTTTTTAGGGTATAGCTCCATATAAAGTACTTTTTTGGGGGGGGTGGGGGGATGGGAGTGTCTATCTTTTTCTCATTTTTACTACATCATGTATTTTTTCTGATTCTTACACTGTAACTTGTATGTGTGACACTCTTAATTCATCGCAGCAAATGGCCACAAAGTGCTGAAATACATGAAAGGTAACATTCACATTAGCCGCCGCTTTACTGAAACAACAGAGCACCTGGCTGTATAAAAACCGAGGATGTGTTTTTTGCCCATCAGTACAATATTTCACTTCACACAGGAAGAACCTTTTGTTTCTTTCTTTGATTTTACACAGTCTTACTTTAAAATACCAGTTTTTTTACCTCTGAGACTGTGGAGCTCAAATAAAGTGAGTACGGCTTCATTTGTGGTGTGTAGAATATCGGATTTTATCTGAATCCATTTCTTCTATAAAATGAAAATAAGTGTTTACCAAGAGGTTTGTGGCTCGTCCACAGTAAAGCCGTGTGCTGTGTCTCCTAATACATGTCATTTGATTCTTTGAGCACCATGAATGAACCTCGGTCGCCTACAGATGTAAGAACGTAGGTCAGTTTTAGATAAAAACGACATTGTCTTTTCTAAAAATGACCCCAGACTTGAGCTAATATTTGAACAGTATGTTAATGTTTGATTTCTCAAAAGATGCTGAACAGAAAGGACCTCGATATATTCCCGTCTTTAGCTCGCACATGTGAAACATAGATTCCCCGTCACGTAAGACGTATGAGGGGTCAGGAATATCTGCAGCTCTTAAGGCAGATGAAATGACAGCGATGGCAGCATGAATAGTCGCGTGGGCTCGTTGAGGGATGTCAAACAAAGCCAAACGCACGGCTTAGGAGCCAAACTGCAACCTTTATTTAGTGATCAGTCATCACCCCCTTTTGTATTGAAATCATTTAATATTGCTTTTTAATTTCAGCCAAAGTTCACCATTAACATTGAAATGCCGCCCACAATGGATCCAACATAACCAGCTTGAGAGGCACCTGTTTCAATTTGAAACTTTCTAAGAGATAATATCACCCACTATGTATATTGCAGTTTAGCTGTGGTCATCCTTTAGATCCAGACTGATCATGAATAGCTTATTATAAAGACTTTTTAGGTTTCAGCTACATTTGGGTTTTTTCATGTTATAAGGGTTATACATTTTGATATAGAGTAGATAACCACAACAGAGGGAATGTAGTTTTCACCACTATGATTTGTAACCTAGAAATGTAGGAAATGAGATTGAAACTGTCTTTTATATAGTCTGTAAATGTAATCTATAAATCAGAGTCACTAGAAAATGTAATAGAATGTCCTTGAGAGTTGAGATTTGTGTTCAGGTGGGCCTTGTTTACACTGACTGTGATTAGGTGTTTTCCATAATCTGATCACAAGTGGACAGGCTACTGTTCAGGCTTTAAGACTCTGGGGACGCATTCACGTTCGATCACTGAGAGCACATCTTGAGGTAGTCAGGGACTCTTTAGATCACATTAAGATAAAGCAAAAAATTCAAATGTGGCCTTTGGCCAAACTGGGCCAACCACTTACTCATCTGAAGTGCGTCCAGTCTCTGCTTTTGTCCAGGTAGAAAAGTAATTTTTTCGCGAAACTCATAAACACATTTTCACTCACTTTTTCAGTGACAGTGAACAAAATGACACTGGCAGCACCGCCAATACTTAAGAGGAGCTACTGCACATCACCTGGCACATGAAACTATTGCAGGCTATATCTGCATATTTTTATTGTGAGCAGAGTACTGTCATTGTTGGGCTGCAATTCACATTTCTGCACTTGACCTTCACTTGAGAAATAAAAGCTTCAAAAAGCTTCACAGTTTGAATGCATTCAGTCAGCAGAGATGCACTTACACTGACCTCTGCAACATACTGTATATTCTTCTTATGACTTAGCGAAAAATATTAATATTCAAAATATTACAGAAGTTGTGAGTAGGAGGATTCTAAAAGTACAATAATGTTGTTTTGGCATGTTGCAGAACCTTGTACTGTTTGTTTCTTACCGCAGATTATTTTTTTGATGCAGAATTTGTTTTGGGATAACCCAAAACACATGCTAATACTCACTGTAAGCAGCTCATCGACATACTTATACGATGGATAACTGAATGTCTTAAAACCATCCTCCAGTCTAGTTTTACAAAAGTCTGCTTTGAGATTTTGTTGTCTGGACACTGACAGCCCAAAGTTGTTAATGCTAATATACCAATTTTTTTTCCATCATGTGTGGTAAATATTTATCCAGCGCGGAATCTGTGTCACTTATAAGTTGCTCATTACTTGAAAACCACCCATAATTTTTTCTTCATATGTAATGTCTCTACTTATCACTGGTAATATGTTGTATTTCAATCATTTCATGTATTTCAGCATTGTTGACTAAACTGCTGCCAGATTACAGATTAATGCAATGTTGCATTTACTTTGCTTTTTTGCCCCCTGGACTACCTCTTAAGACAACCATGCCTGAGTCATTTCTGGGGATACATTTGGTCACTCGTGGCCAGTCGTTTCCATCAGAGCTGCAGGCAACGTGGATCATAAAATCTTGAAATAACTGTCAAACTTGTACTGTCGTAGTCCACAGATCTCATCTCACTACATTCATATGACCACAAGTGAATGGGAGTCAACCTGAAGGGTGCCTCTTAATTTAAACTCCAGCTGAGTCAGGGTGTGTTATTTTACACAAGCTGTGTTTGGATATTTACTCTTTATATGGGGATAATTTTGTTCTGTGATCTTAATGATAGTGATTAGTTACATACAGTACTTGACCCATTTTCAACTATTGAAAAGTTGAAGTGTAACTTGAGAAATCATCTTTTATGCCTTACTTTTAACACCATTTTATAGATATGTTATTGATGTGTTCTCCACTTCATTAATACAACTCACAAACCTGTGATATATATTTTGTTATGATTCTTCACCTTGTGATTTGTGTTACTCTGCTTCTTTATCGCTTATCAATAAAATATCACGTATCAACCCTTTGCTCATAGTACGATATTTTTCAGATTGGGTTTTAACAGGTTTAATGTGTACAGATGAAAACAGTAACTTTCATTTATCAATAGAGGAGAAAAGTGTGGAGGATAATGTCTCCTAGGAATGGTAACACATCCAGTTTTCAAGCCTGTCAGAAATGTAACACCACAAACCACTAGAATACACATCTAGTATCTCTTAGAACTCAAAGTAGATGCAAAACATTAAAGGAACTTCACTGACAGGCTAACAAACATTTAAACAGCAATGGCACCATATGTTTGTTTTAAAAAAAGTGCACCACTTCATTTTCGTGTCAACATGAATACAGTGCAAAATCATAAAGAGTTGTGCCCCTGTTTCATGTAATAGACCTCTGTTGTTTTAGTTTTTTTCACAACACTTGAACCACTGTCATTTTGCACAATGTGATGTAAACTTCCCTCCATTCTCCAGTTGAAAGCTAAAATAGCCCCCAGTTTCCCTTTTTTTTTTCTCCTTCCTGAGCGACAGTCTGTGTCTGGATGAGTCCAATAGTCACAAGCTGAGAACTACTAATGAAAGAGGGCTGTTAAGCATTGAGCGCTTTGGCTACATCTGTAAAGACCAGACGACTGGGTCGCTGTGTCGTCCCTTGGGAAGTTGTGAGAGTCTGCAAAGGAGAAAAAAAAAGTTTGAGGGGCATTACGATCATTACAATCCAGACCTTAAAATGACACACACACACACACAGAACACACACACACACATAGTCAGTTCTTGTCTCCAGTGTACCAAGGTGTTTTTTTTTTTTCAATAATAATGACAACTCGTGAGACAAATTATTTTCTTTAGGTGTGGGTTGTCATTAATAACCAAAAGCCGGAAATTTTTAGTGCAAAAATCCACAGAACACACGGCATGTAAACAGCTACGAGGAAGCAGGTCTCTGACTTTGTAGACTGCCATTACGCCTAACATTTTCTGACAAATCTATTTCATGTCAGAGCATTAAACATTCAACAAGAATGGTGCTTTAGAAAACAATTGGAAATGTTTGTATGTAAAAGGTTTGCAAAATTACACTTATGTTACAATGCTTTGGCAACTGGATGAAAATCCCTTAAATAGTCTAAACAAATACAGAATAAGTAATTATTTTTTCTGGAAGAGTTGTTATTTCCATTTCCATTACATTGTATTGGATATAGTGGATTTTCCTGACTTTGGTTTTTTTTTATAAATCTGCTTCATGTGGCCCCTGCAGTGTTCTCTGTGCAAGTGTTTAGTTGGGAAATTTTGGACAGAACAAATGAAAGATGGATAGAGGTTCAGAGGAGAGCACTTCAAGAAAAGGTGATGTGGTTAATGTTGTCAGACATCTAAATTATTGCTGGATAAAAAGGGGTGGGAAGAGAAGGGTTTTAAAAGAAATGATTACAAAAACGATGCTCAAGAGATACTTTACCATGTTTGCCTTATACCATTGTCAAAACTTTAAAAAAAAAAAAGAAATGAAAGAAAATACAGAATTATCACAATGAAAACTTTAAACAGTAATCCTCATCAAAGTAATGTATACATTGATGTATATTAAAAATATACCAAAGTGTAGAAATGTGTACAATTGTAACAGAGTTAGCGCAGCTGTTGGTGTGATTAAACCACTTGTTGGGAATGAGACAAATCCAAACAGGTTCACAGGTACCTTGGCATTGGGACCGGTGAGGGTGCCTTCTCGGCCGTGATCGAGGAGTTCCTGTTCCAGCAGGTCGTCCTGTTCTTCAGCCGGGTCAAAGTTGTACATGGGCATAAGCTGATGTCTCAACTTCTCCAACCTGTTAAGATGGGAGGGAGGGGGAACTGAAGCAAGGAGCGACTGGCTGTTGTGTAAAAGTGCAGCCTGGTTGCATGGGACAGCCGTAACCATAAAACCTTTTTAAATCAACATTTTGCTGCATATCTTTGAAAGAAAGTTTTATTAGTCCTGAAAATACTGTAACAAACTAGCAAAAAATTCTTTAAGCCCTGCAAAGTGCAGACATTGTTCTATCTTGGAGCCATACAAAGATTTGTTTAATTCTTAACAGGGGAATCAGGGAAATCTGTAAACTTACCGCTTCCGTTTCCGAATGTACAGCATCTGAAATAAAACACAAGCGATTAAGGTATTTAGCTAAATAAACTTAACGTTAATAAATCATGGAGGCTGAGTACTTTAAATTTTTTTGTCTTTCAGTTGTACTAAAAGTTCATGCAAAGACAATCTGTATAGGGTCCTTACTATTGCCACCGCTAAGCCAATGAGTGTAATGACGCCAAGGGGTACGAGTAACATTCCAACACCCGATCCTTCAATCACCACCTCTGGAAACCTGGTTGCGTTGAAGCTGGTCTCATTTGTTGTTATGGTCACAGTCATTAATGTTCTGGAGGTGATGTTTTCTCCTGCTGTCGGGCTGGTCGAGAGCAGGGGGACTGTGGTGGTCGTGGAAGTTGTGGAGAGAAAGCTTGCCGTTGTCTTCGCTGCATTCACAGCCATGGTTGGATGAAACTGTGTAGGCAGAAGGATGTGTCTTCACACTAAATTTGCTCAGGTTCTAGTGTGCCTCACGGCCAGCACAGGTGCCCTTCGACTGATTTTGGGTGCGCTGACATATTGATGGTGCGTCTACCACGAGACCTGTGGAGTAAAACATAAAGGAAAACCGCTAACATTAAATACGTGACTGGATTTGTGAAATCTGATGTCAAATTGACTGAGGAGAGAACAGCCAAGGAGGTGTGTGCTACTTTTTTGTTTTTACCATAAAATCCCAACAAATGTTCTTTAAGATACGTCTGAAAATAAACCAAAAAAAAAAGAATCAAACGTTCTCCTTTTTGTTCAGCCCGCGGTGGCTGATGATGCCAGTTAGGTTCAGTTCGGTGTTTTTCAGCAGGATGTGGGTAGCAAACGCATGGGAGAAATCTGGTACACCGTCTTGATAAATACATAGGAATACAAACCACTCAAACTGTAACGTTCACAGTGAGGAAATGTGTTGGCAGTGCTTACAGACTTCAAAATCAACTTACACCCTCCCACACACACGCACACACACACACACACACACGCAAAAGCTCACAGTCCCATAAATATCCACTGCATCCATAACTGAGTACATGTGCCGCCCACCCACACACGTACTATACACTTCCCATGAGGGTAAAAAGCTATTTTTCCTCAAGATATGCGTAAATGAAGAGTTTTAAAACTGGAGCGTGCTTTCTATTTGTGTTCTATGGTGACACAGGAAGGCACAGACATATGATCCATTCCTCCCTCCTCATCCTGTCTGCTTGTGCGCTTAATGAGGAACATGTGCAACTGAAGCCAACCAATGAAAAACAAAGACTGAATTCAGACCATGCTGTTGTTCAGTGTACAAGCCCTGGTGTGCGCAAAGACAGCGCTAGAGACATTTTATATTTTACTCTTGTTTAGGACTATTTTATAGTCCTCTTGTGTAAACATATACATGTTATTTTTAGTTAAGTTCTTGTATCTCAGCTGTCTCATGCGAACAGCTGAGTTACTAATCCTGCCAACTTGGGCAGGTCTTAGTCCTGCTTCCTCTCAGATTAGACATGCATACATACCTTAACATACAACATGCATGTTCAGAGTTGGACTGCAGCAGGCTGGAGCTAGCTATAGGAAGAAATATTTCATTGGAAGAGGCAGCATTTGCTCCAGTATCTGCCCCTCCTCCTCTTCCTCCTCCTCCTCCTCCTCCTCCTCAGCCTCTTCTGCTTCCCCCTTTTGCAATGCAGGTATTGCACAGCCTGTTTACATTGACAGAACAGCCATTTTCTCTGAGGAAACACTCCACACAGCAAAGTAACCCTATCCTGGCAGTTCCTAGGAGATTCCCACCAGTTCTTCGAGCGCCTCCCTGGATCCACTCCCGCTGTCTTGCCCTTTCTTGTGTTTCACACAACAGAGGCTGCTCTTGGGATGCTGCAAACAGAGATCAGTGCGGCAAGCTCCCTCCCCCTTCAGCCCGCAATTGGTCTAATGGCTCGAAGATGATAAATGTGGTTGGCTGCCTCGGCTGCCCGTTAAGCTTTGCAGGGATGAGAATGGGATTTAATGGCTCTGCACACCAGATGCTGTCAGAGACAGGAGAATGACTGCATCCGGGTGGCAGGTCTGGTGAAATTAACCCTGTGATGTCTTTGTCCCCGAATGTACTCAGTTATACACAGAAGACAAAACAAATCAATATCCCAATCGTTGACAATCAATGTCCAGACCATAAAAAAAGGTCTTAAGTGATGATTTTTTAACACTTTTATAAAATCACACTTATATGTGATTTCCGTGTGTTTGTGGACTTGGCACTGTAAGCACAAATGTGCAAATGATCCCGTTTTTTTGTTTTAGGTTTTCTTTTTCTTGATTTCTACAAGGTTTTGTTGCCATGAAGTAAGGAAATAAGTATTCAACAATTAATCAGAAGTTAAACTGACAAACATTTGAAAAAAAAGAAGAAAAACACAAGAAGCATAACATAGACTTAACTGATGGCCATATTTGTGTGTTTCCATCATTATCAGCAGTGCTTCAGTTTTATGCAGTGGTTCTTCAGTAATAATCAGCATATGCCTACAGAGAATAAAATACACTACTAGCATTATCTTTTCCTGTTTCTGTTAAGTGAATTATTTCTGAATTAATCCAATTTGGGAAAAAACAGACGAGAATCTGTTTACTGTGAGATTGTGAGATTGTTTTACAGAAATGTTTCATCTGAAAAACCTGGAATCTTAAAGAAGGATAAAAAAGTTTAAAAAGAACAAAAATAGATTAAAAGAACATCGATATGGGAAAAACGTATTTAAGATTAACTGAGACAAAGTGAAAAACTGTGCTCTCTTCTGGGGAAGATTTTAAATTCTTTTTAGAAATTCTTGTTTTAAGGTGGAAGCATCCTTCATGCTTACTATACATATAACTATACAGAGACCATCTGGCCTATCGGTATGTTTTCAAAAGACTTTTAAAAAGCTAGAATCTGTGATGGAACAAGACTGCATTAATGCACATGGTGCTGATATTGTACCCACCCTGTAAAGGCAGTATTAATGCAGGGCAACGCGAATATATCTGGGGCAACTTGTGCTGCCATTCTGATAATGGAGGGTTTTATTTTCCACGTATGGAGCCCAGACCTGTCAATCTGTCATTAAACATGTTGTCTGTCAGTCTCCTAAATGGAAAACATTATACCTTTTTTCACACTTTATGCTGCACCCCAACAAAATGGAAATGTAACTCTCCTCAATGAAAGGGAGGTGTTCTTGAAATATTTACAGACCATCTCAGACAAAATCTCAAATTGCACTGTCTCAACTTACACATGCTCTTTCTTCTTCTCGGCTCACAGTGAGTCAGGAGGCACAAAGCGTGCAAGAAAGCACAGGGGAAAGAGGAAGCAGGAAGGGAACTGGTGCTGATACCCTTCAGCAGATAATAAAAAAGGGTTATATTGCTAATAGGTTTTAGATATTTTAAAATAACTTGCTCTGACAAGAACACTGCCTTTATAGCTAAAGAAGTCGGATTAGAAATGTCCGATTTAAATTAAAAGAAAGAAAGTTTTCAGTGCCTTGCTCCATCTCGTCTTGAAAATCCATTTCAGCTCATGGCAGTGATGACAAACTCACTGTCAGGCTTTGTTTTTACAGTAATTTTCACCGTAGAGCTGGAAAACTACAACAACCATTTAACTGAAAGTTTGAATTTGACTCCAAAATTTTCTAATATAGCTGTTTTAGAATTCAAGAACAACAAATGGCACCAAGATTAAACGAAACTTGAAGTATGTTAGCACAAAGGATGGTTATAAACTGGCTTAAGAAAGATTTTCTAGTAGGTCAATTTTCTACATTTTGGCTGGTCTTATAATACAGAACACATGTCTGCCAGCCTATTTTCCTTTGATGGATTGTTTGTTGATAACATTTATGAGTGTTTTGTTTTTTTAACCAAAGGTATACACACTGCAAATTGAGAAACACTGCCCCCTTGAGAAGAATAGGAAAGTTGCAGTAATACTGCATCATGAGATAACATCCAATTTTTTTTATGATGCATTTTGAATTATCTTATTTCCCCAGAATGGAATGTAAATAAAATTTAATTATTGTTATTTTTAATGCACATAACTTTACAGATCCTGTGAGGAGTTATATGGGTGAATCCTATGTGTCATCATTGGGGCAATGACTTTAAAAAGAACATGATTTTGATGTCTACAAATAGCAGATACGAAATGCCAGACTTTTACTGAACCCTAAACCGTATTAGTAGCTGCTAACATTACTCACACTCCAAAAAAGCTGATCAGATCAACTTTAGGCGTTATTTGTGATTTTAGTAGAACATTCACACTCACACACACTGCAGATCTCAAACAACAAACAGACATGAAGGAAAACAGATTTGCAATGTTAGATGATAAGGCGATTTGAAGCTGTCTTTGATTAAACACAAGTTTAGTGTTTTGGTAGAGTAGGACAATTATAAAGTCAAAAGGACTTGAAAAGAGATAGGGTTATTTTCCATCGGCTTAACATCACCGTGTGCTGTACTTCATGAAGATATACTTTCATAGTTTACACTGGGCTATTAGCAGGTGTTGGTGGCTGCCCTGAGACTCACACAAGAGACTAACAAGTAAAGAAGCACTAAACCGCAGTAAAGTGGTGTCAATGTAGCAACAGAAATAACATCAATTCTACTTGGTGACAGAAGTATGGATTTCTAACAGTCTGAAGGATTTTCTTTAGTGAGAAAAACAAAAAATGCATATTATCTGCATGTATCTACGGCATATGTACTTAAGTGATGAACAGCAAAATAAATAATGAATAAATATATAATGTATCAAAATAAATAAATATATGAGACATTGTTGAGATTTGTTGGGATTTATAATTTTATAACCGGTATTGCACCTTTGCCCACATTTTTATTGTTTAGAAATCTAATTAGTTTGGCTTACCAGACTATCTGCTAAAAGCTTCTTAAACAAAAATGATTAAAAAAAGAAATGAAAAAAAAAAGTGTTGTTATCCTTGTCTTTTTTGCATCTTCAAGGTAATAGCCTTTCCTTTTTTATCAAGTTAGAAATATACTGACAAATCACTATAAAGAACAAAAAAGGAGTTGTTTATGGGAAATGCAAGTAGGGCTGAGATACTGAATGGGTACGGTACAGAGAATGAAGAATGGGCACTACATGTAAATATTGTAATGTTAGAAAAGACAGATTCAAGTTAATTAAATCCCTAAAAATACTAATGAAAGACAGAGCTATTTGTATTTTTTAATGGATCAGTTTTTGAATTTTTTTAGTATACCTTTCTTTAAACAATTTTGTATGATAGAACTGCGTTTTAATTTGTTCAGTTAAGTCAACATAGTAAAGTAAGCATGTTAGAATGTATTAACACAATTCTTTATAAAGATGCTTTTTATAAAACTTTTCTAAAATTCAATGTTTAGACAATGGCCGTTTCATGAAGTCACCCCATAATACAGAGATAATAATCAGAGTGAGATGTGTTTTCAACTAGAAAATGCCTGTTCAAAGGACAATTGCATGTTTATCTATATTCACTATTAAACAAAAAGAAGTAAAAGAAACATAATAAAATACTATGTGCACGAAAATATTTTCAGTGTACTTTGTAACAGATGCATGTTCATCAAGAACGTAATTAGTTAAGTAACCAATAACAAAATTGAGAACAGGATAAAAATTAATTTACATATACACAATTTAACTTTGAAAAAACAGCTGCAGGTCTTGGCTCAGATTTTAAAAACACGCACACACACACATATATGTATGTGTGTGTGTGTGTGTGTGTGTGTGCGTGTGTGGGTCATGTGATCTGTTCTGATTACAGAGATTTAAAAATCTGACTGAAAAATCACATGTAACTACCCTACCCTGTGAACATAAATTCTTTAGTTTACCAACGTGAAATACTGTAATTATCGGTTAATTAACTCACCGAGGCCACATACTTATTGATAATGTTGTTCATATCTATCTATGTATGTAGGACTCCTGGTTATCACTTCCTACTTCAGAAGCCAAGTTGGGGCGTTAATTCCAGTGGTTTGCAGAAAATACACAAGATCAAATTGTTCTTCGGGTTTCAAGCGTTCCTGCATGAAACACACACGTGTCATAAGTTAGACGAGCGCCGTAGTGCTCAGAATCATAAAGAGGTTCATCTATAGTTGCCTAAAATACCCCTAATCGACTTCTCTTTCCATCGCTGCTGCAGCGTGGGGTTTCCCAGCGCCGACTGCAGGGTTACCGCGCCCATCTCTTTTTCTGATGGCTGCACTAGAGTGAGTCAAAGTGGGGACAGGACAGGTGTGAGGTTGGGCAAAGGGGAAAGAGCAGGCTGACTTCTTCCGTGGGAAATAGATACTTTTAATTTTGCCAAATTTTCGGCTGCCATTGCAGTGTTCTCGGCACAGGCTAGTGGGTGTGATTTCACCCCCCCACCCCCTCCCCTCCCCGCCTGGTTGTCAAGCTCCCCAGCCGTAGCCCGCGTTCGGGAAGGGCTGCTCCTCGGAAAACAGCGCTAGCTGGCTTAGCTAGTTAGTGAGCTAGCGTTGTGGTCGTTGATGCGTGGATCGGAGGAATACACGGTCTTGATTACCAGTCAATGCCAAAACGCAAAAACAAGCGCAAATTAAGTCAGGTAAGATGAAATGAAACCATTGTCATGCAGCATTAAAATCCTTACTTTGTATTGTTTATACAATTTGTTGAAGAATTGCAGAATTGAACTGCCCGGGGGTGGGGTAGCATTGGCTAGCTTTCTTACCATTAGTTAGCAAAGGTTAGCAACCGTTCAGCTGGCTATTTTATGCTTATCGAATACATGTAGCTAAGATACTATAATATTAACAGTGATTAGTCCCAGTACCATAATGGACAGCAGGATGAACAGATTACTACAAATCCATGTGTATCTTGCAGCCGTTCAGCCCATATAGACTTAATAATACTTGGGTTATGAAGCGTTTCTGGATGTCGGAGTAACGTTAATTTTGGTCAGTCAGTGGTGGCCGAGTGGAGGTGCTTCTCGGCCTAGAATTCAGCACTTGACTACAGTCACAAAAAAACTAAAAGCAGTGTTAACTATCGTAAAATTAACGTCGACAGTAAAAGATTCATAGCCTGCATAGTTGAGATTTACTCAAGTGTTGCATGTAAAGATGTCACTGATGATGACGCCCTGGGCTGGGCTGAAACACTGAATACCCCGTAAGTACATTTACCATCAATTATTGGTAATTAGGGGTGTCCGAATATTTCACATCTCGAGTTGCCATGGCGCCTTCTTCTACTTTCTGGGAATATGTAGATATTAAACAGGAAATGGGAAGGAAAGTGAGTTCATGTTGCCGCGTTAACACCCTGTTCTTACCAGCCGAACAAATAAGTTAGCTCACTGCCGCTTCCCTGCAACGGCACGGCCACACCGGCGCGACGCCTTAACTTATTTCAGCAACGACAACTATTTGCCTACGTTCAACTGTTTCTAAAGTATGTAAGAAAGGCTCATGGAAGGTCGTTCGCTTAATGAAAAGTCCCTGCCTCGGCTGTTGCTTTCGCTGCTCATTGAAGTGAAACAGGCCATCGCCGCCCGACCTTGCAGTTTTCCCAGGCTCGGGTTGTCTTAGCTGTGGACAACCAAGTAAATATACTGGTTCGTTGTAATTAAATTAGCTGGGGACGGTTGCGTTTAACGAGATGGTTAGCGTGTAAGTAATTGGATTTATGCTAACCAGTCAAACCCGCTCCATCGTTTTACTCTCTGTTGGCTTTAAAGCTAACTACATAGCACACATAATTGCGGAAGAGCAGCGTAGTCCTCCCTAAAGTGACTGTTCAACGGGTTTATTTTGCATTAGTTTATGTTTAGATTGGACTTTTCATTAGATTTTGCGGCTGTTGATATCCACGAACGTTTTTTGAGCACCAAACATAGTTAAGAAACAAGTTTGATTATTCAGAAAAGGGTGACTACATTTCCAGACCAGCTCTGCCCTGCCTACAGGCCTACCCTGACAAGCCTATTAGCAAAGCTAACTTGCGGTCAGCAGTCGCCAAGATGGCGTTGAGCTGCATCTTCCAATATCCCCATAAGTTCTGATCATAATATGACATTTGCATTGTTCGTACAAGAAGTTGATAAGATGTACTCGGATACTGACAGTCTAACCCTCAGTGTTTTGGTCACAATATTGTGCAGAATTGCTTTAAAAAAGCCCCACCTGAAGAGATCCCAGCAGATGAACGGTCTGAACAATTGGCAACAGCAAACTTAAATAGCTATGGGGTTGCCATTCAAACACAATGCAAAATATGTGATTTGGTTTTGACAGCGCAGTAGGCAAATCACAGTACCGCACACAGCGTCCAAAGTTAACTGTCTGTACTCTGCAAACAGTGTTGGAGATCATGTGCACAGCAATCACTTTTTAAATGTACCTGTTATGTTTGTTCATGCTGCTGATCTTGTGTGTGAATTCTGTTCCAAGTTGATGCCAGAAACGCCACATGTGTAGGTCATATTTCACTCACAGACCACTAAAGAATGCACATTTGATTGTTGGCTTGTATAAATAAACATTACAATCTGTTCAGTTACTGGTAATGTTAGAAAAACCGGTGACTTAAAATAGGTTCACATATGTGCAGGGATTTCGGGAGCAGTTCAAAATCCAGGCACTCGGTTAAGGAAAGTGCCCAGATTTGTTGCATGTGTGAACGAAATAAGATTAGACTCATCCTTTTATAATACACTGGATACACATTTCTAATGCATGTGTTGGCTTTTGCTACTATTTATGTTAGTGGACATGGATAGGATTAGAGACTCGCTGACTGAGGATTTTAGCTTTTAGGATTATGGAGTTGCTCAGTGATATTGCTGATTATGGCTTTTTATGTGATCCAGCTTTAGACCTGTAAAACATTGTATTATCATAGTTCAACAGTAGAGATAAGCCGGCTTTTCTTTTCTGAACAGATGTTTATTTGCCTTCTGCGTGTTGTGTTTTTTCTAAATAATGTCAAATGGGCAATGCACCTTCAGACACACCGGCAGCCCCAAAGGGGACCTGAAAATGCTAGCAAGCTGCAACTTCAGGCTGTTTGCCACTGCTCATTGTTTATCATGCAGTCAGCTGACCCTGATCAGGCGCTTGGAAAGGAGAAGTGATGAGGGAGAGGAACTCCTTAACTGTAAGCATCCACAGAGGACAATGGGGATTTATTTATTCTAACAGATTTAAAACATTACTTGGTACTATCCTGAATTAGAATTGTTACTATTGGAGTTTTCAAAGTTTTGTATAAATTGGAACTCGGTGAATAGTTTTCTTTAAAATGAATACTTTTTCAATTTTACTAGTGACAGAAATGGACCTGTTGGGTTTAACTTGAAACATTTAAAGTATTTGCAACCGTTTTTGAATAGTAAGTAATTATTAGACACTTAGAAGTAAGACATTGCTTTGAATTGATTTGTTTTTCTGATAAACTGTTACATAAGTTTGATACCCATGTTTCCATCAGCACACTTCATGATTTGGGAGGAATCGGGAGTTATATTAATAATTAACCACCAAAAAAAGAATTCTCACAGCTTCAACTCATAATTACACAAACTAAGAGCGTAATTACAGACTGGTTCCCAGATGTAATTGTGTTTGACACACATGGGAGATTAATTAGAGGGATCAGAGTGGAAAAGTTATCTCAGTTTCTCCTGATTCTGTAAGGCATCACTGCCTGTCTTCACCACTGCTCCTATGGCCAAAGTTATACTTTGGTAGCTTCATGTAAATGCTTTTTTTCCCTTCTACTTCTTTTTCTACGAAAACATTTAACACTGTTCTTCTCAGTAACTGTTAACCATTTTTCAAGTCAGTGTCTTGTCTAGAAATTGTTAAAATGAGGGGAAAGAAATTCCGTGAAAAGCAGAATGATTTAATAACATTGTAAATTGAACGCATTGATAACTGAGAAATGAGGCAGTTTAAAACATGTCCATTAAATCTGGGTGTGCTCTACAATCATGACTTGAATTAAAATCAATATGTTATTTAGATGCATGTTGAAAGCCTATGTATTAATATTTGGCTTATTGATCACTTGGCAAAACTTCTTGGTATCCTTCGGATTGAGGTCAACAGGATAACGACCGCATTTCAGATCATTGGAAAGTCACGCCTAAATAGGATTTATATGCAATTTAAATTGCATGTCAGGATTAGGTTTATGACATTGAATTTGGAAATTTAAGGTTGAATAATGAACTGTACATGTTATGTCACAATTAAATAAATTCAATTTTCCTGTTAGAAACTCTGGAAGCATCTGTGTATTTTTATGTTTGTATCTGGGATGTGTTTACATCTACTTCAAATACAGCAAAACTTTTTTTTCTTCTCTTTTTTTAAAGATTTGTGTGTTCTTTTTCTTGTTTTAGATCATTAAGTGCCCTGGTAGCTGAGTGAGGTAACTGAAAAAAATAAAATGAGCGAATTGGACCAGTTACGCCAAGAGGCAGAGCAGCTCAAGAATCAGATCAGAGTAAGTAAAAGTCATTCTCCCATATGCATCTCACAACAGGTTGGGGAGAGATTTTCAGAGCTAACCTTGTTTTTTTGTCCTTTTTAAATTTGCATCGACAGGATGCCAGAAAAGCATGTGCAGATGCCACGCTATCACAGGTATGTCACAGTTTGATAACATTTGTCTTTGGTTTCAGAAGCTGAAATAGACTGAAATGAACAGGAGTGTGTGGTGTTTTACAGATTACAGCTAACATTGACCCCGTTGGCCGGATCCAGATGCGAACAAGACGGACGCTGCGGGGACATTTGGCTAAAATCTATGCCATGCACTGGGGATCGGATTCCAGGTATCCCGATTGCAACAGTTTCTGACTCTTAGTTCACAAGGAGATACTGATGGATAAATGGCCATAATGGGGAGGATGCCTCTCTTGAACACTGTTGTGGGGGTGCTCATAATGCCACTGTATTTTTATTTTTTCTTGTAGGCTTCTTGTCAGTGCTTCTCAAGATGGCAAACTCATTATTTGGGACAGCTATACCACAAACAAGGTAAGTCATTTTCTCTTAGTTTTTTCCTTTCAGTCCGTAACGGGTTTGGATTTGGTGGCAAAGAAATACCAACGTTTCTGTGTACTGTACTTTAGGAGTAATGTTCCCCATCTTCCTGGAAAAGATGAAAATATGCAAATGAATTAAGTGCATATATTTGGGGTTCAGGAGGTTTTATTAAAATAAACCTGATTTTCCACTTTGCATTCATTTGCAATGTATTTAAAAATGCTGCAGTTCAGGGGAAAGAAAAGATCATTTGTGGCCATTAGCTTGAGGTTATTTGTCTGAGAGAAAGTAGTGCTGTGTCTTTGAGCCCACCACATATGTTGGCTCCACCACACTGACAGACATTATACTGTCAAGTTAGAGTATATTGAAGCTTTTGATGCGATTCAGGTTAAACTTGCAGGAAACAATACATCCAACTGAGATAGAAAACTGAGGCTCATTCTGAGTGTATGTGTATTGATTTCAGGCTGGATAGGGTTGAGATTTTTGTATGACATATCTTTATGCATAACGGGGAAAGTGAATTAGAAAGATAGTTTTATACTGCGTTCAGTTTGGCCGTATCAACTAGGGAGCAGAGTATTGTTTTAGACTTTAATGTATCGTGCAGGGTTTCCGCTACATGTTATTGATGGTGGTTCATGTTCCCTATTACAAACAGATTTAAGTGTGTTTAAGAAAGAGCAGGCTTCTGTGAAATGACTGGCATGTTGCCGAAAGATGAATCAGGTTCTCTAAATTCATCAAACCTTCCCGATTTCATCTCTGAACTGAGAATGTCATTATAAATAGTTCATTTGTATACATTGGTTGATCAGGGGTTTCCAACAGAGCATAATATTGGTAATCTGTGATGAAATGCAGTCAGCCCTGCCACTGGCATCTAGATGATCCCTATTGTGTTGAACCCTTGTGGATTTGGGCGGTTTATTACATTCCTCACAGCAGATGAGACTGTAAACGTCTTAACAATAGTCTTAATATCTCTGGAGCGCCGTTTTCTCAAACTAGACTCACAGGTTTCTGTGCCAAGACGTGCTCCCATACATGGTATGGGAACACGTCCTATCCCATACAATGTTGCTGCTCTCCCCGTGCTCCACTGCCGGGCAGCATTAGCAGGGGATGAGTGGCAAACGGCTTTCACCAGAATGTGTTTCAGGCTATAGACAAAAGATGTAATGTTTGTTTTGAGAGCTTAGAAAATCTTTTCCCTCCAGTTATGTTTGTCATTAAGGACCATAGTGCATCTTTAGCTGGTTGTTGTTCAGCTAGCTACTCTGCCTTACTGGCTAAGATGCATCAACTCAGTTTAAGAGGGGTATGTAACATTTCAGTAGAGTTTCATCTGAAAAGCTTCCCTGGTTTCATGAATGTAAAAATCGTATCACTTTTGTGGGACTAAGTGGGTTGATTTTAGTTTCTAAAATGTCGCATCTGAAATTGTCTGTTTTGAAGTTTGCATAACATCATGTTTTCCACCTTTATATTATAGGTTCACGCTATTCCTCTTCGATCTTCCTGGGTCATGACGTGTGCATATGCACCATCAGGAAACTATGTGGCCTGTGGTGGCTTAGACAACATCTGCTCCATTTACAACCTGAAAACGCGTGAGGGGAATGTACGTGTGAGCCGCGAGCTTGCTGGACATACAGGTAGACCATTAGCTTATTTAATTATTACTTTGTTCCCTGTTTTCCCCCAGTCCTACAACACAAGTGCTTCTCTGATGCCTTAAGAAATACAGTGAACGTCCTAAATTGTTTTTTTTGGAAAGGAGAAGCGATGAGGGAGAGGAACTCCTTAACTATAAGCATCAACAGAGGACAAAAAGCTATAAAAATGCATCCCACAGTTGAACAGGGTGATTGGAAACAGGTGAATGGCAAGATTAAGTCTAAATGAAGCATCCTTGAAAGTAGAATACAAGAAAGGAAAGGGCGAGATTAACCACTTTATGAACCACTGACATAGCATATGGTCCACGCTCATCTCCGACAGACTGAAGTGAAGAAAAGGCAGCTGTAACCTGATCCAAAGAGATCTGCTGAGTGACTGAAGTTCCACATCGAGCAAGAAAGGAAAACAAGTCTACTTACTAAGCTTCAATGATTAGTGTCTTCAGTTGCTACAAGAAAAAGTGATGTAACTGATGTAAACATGTTGTGTTTGGGCTTTTATTTTATTCTATTTATTTATTGATTGATTTTTGGAAGATGCTGCAGACATTAAATTAAAAATGACTCCTTTTATCAGAAGTTCCCCATCATTTAAAAATATTAAAAGTAGATAGGGCCGCAGCTGTAGCCTAATGGTTAGAGCGGGCGGCCCATATACAGAGCCTCTGCTCGCAAGTGGGTGGCCGTGGGTTCGAATCCGGCCCATGGCCCTTTCCCGCAGGTCCCCCCCTCTCTATCTCTGCCCCCTTTCCTGTCAAGCTACTGTCATTAAAGGCCACTAGAGCCAACAAAATCTTTAAAAAAAAAAAATTAAAAAAAAGTAAATAAGCTAATCCTTTTGAACATTAAACTCTGTGTGTATTTAATCATAGGTAGAAAAGGATAAAAACTGTACAAGTGTGGAAAATGTCACTCATTTGGCTCTACATTTGCAGTGCTGGTTTAAATTACTTTATTTTATTTTTAGGATATTTGTCCTGCTGTCGCTTTCTTGATGACAACCAGATTGTTACAAGTTCTGGAGACACCACTTGGTGAGTTATGATTACTGAGTCTTTTGAGTTTAAGTGGGAAAAATGAAAAACTGCTCTCTAAGTCTGCGTCATATTTGGCAGTGCGCTTTGGGACATTGAAACAGGCCAGCAGACGACCACATTTGCTGGACACACAGGTGACGTCATGAGCCTGTCCCTGGCTCCTGACACACGGTTATTCGTCTCTGGTGCTTGTGATGCCTCTGCAAAGCTCTGGGACATTCGAGAGGGCATGTGCAGACAGACGTTTACTGGTCACGAATCTGACATTAATGCCATCTGTGTAAGTAGCCCACAGAATGACAGATTTAACGCTTTAGTTCACTTTTGAGATGTCTGTAAGCTAAAGCATAGACAAGCGTGTTGTTACTCCATTGTGCTGTCACTCTGCTGTGCGCTTACCTTCGGATTTTCATTTGCACATTTCAGTTCTTCCCCAATGGCAATGCCTTTGCCACGGGCTCAGATGATGCCACGTGCAGGCTGTTTGACATCCGTGCCGATCAGGAGTTAATGATCTACTCTCATGACAACATCATATGTGGCATCACCTCTGTTGCTTTCTCGAAGAGCGGCCGCCTTCTCCTGGCAGGATACGACGACTTCAACTGTAACGTGTGGGACACACTAAAAGCTGACCGTGCCGGTTAGTAAACAAATGAGATCTACACAGCAGCTTGATGAAAGCTGAAGAAATAACCAAGTTAAAGCTCAAAGGGACAGTTTCAAAGTGTTTTTTTTTTTTTTCTCTAAAGAGGTCATGTTTATTTTTCACACTAAATGGTTGTTGTGTTCTTTTGTAGGCGTGTTGGCCGGACATGACAACCGTGTTAGCTGCCTGGGAGTTACTGATGATGGCATGGCAGTTGCAACAGGATCCTGGGACAGTTTTCTGAAGATCTGGAATTGAAGCCTGAAGGTTGTGGGACAGTCTCAGTTTGATGCCTCGGGCTGTTTGCATTTGGCAATCTGAAGTCAAACACAGCTGCTTGTTTTCTGCTCTATCTTTGCCCAGTAGATTTGAAACTAATTCTCAACACAGTTAAGTTTAGCAGACTCTCAAATAGCTTCTATCCTAAATGTTTGTCTTTTTATTTCTCAGATGTTCTTTTAACTCCAAAGTTGACTGGAAGACCATTACAACTTGAGAATGTTCACAGCATCTTCAACACTGTTTAAACTGACTTGGACACCACAAAAACGAAGGGAAACCAATGCCTTTCCTACACAAAGAAGAGCACAATTGTTTATCACCTAGTTCAGAAAGGATCTCCTGTGGTATCAAATCAGAAACTTGTGCATTCCTCCTTGGACCATTTTTATGTTACCTTGAAAGAGAAAACAACACTATCATCCCACGCAACTGTGTGTGTCATGAAAGCAAATGTTGGAGTCTAATTGTACAAATTATTTAACTTTTTTTTCTTTCTTTTTTTTTTTTTAAAGATTTCTATTCAGATGGTTTGTTCTTGATGGCTTTCTTTTTTGTCACATTTCTTTTGCGGTTTTAGATATGTTTAAATTACAGCTTGTCTTTCTAATCCAGGTAAATCATTTAAGACGGATGACAAAAACATGCAGAAGTAAACGCTTGGATCATACTACACAAGCAGCTTTCAAAATGCCCATAATATATTTATATTCTAGCTGTTTTTTTCATCACAGCTTTTTGCACATGATGCTTTGCCTCTCAACTAATACTATGTTAACTAACCAAGCACATGCTATAAGTTATGAATGCTCATTCCAGTACAAAAGGAGTTACTATAAGTAAATTACCCAGTTAACCCCTTAATTCTTGTCCATGCCTTTTCTTTTCTTTTTTACTTTTTGTGAGAAGGTTTGGGGTAGTGAGGTTGGTGCTGAAGTAATTGAGGCATGGCTGGACTTTACTATAGAGAAAGGGGGTTGTGCTCTGTATCCACTTGGAGTGAAACACCTCACCTGGCTAAATAGACACTTCCTTTGCTTGGGACTGCAGTTGCAACTCTGTGAATGAAATGTACAAATCAATGTCTGAAAATAATGGTCTAATGTTTTAAGTTAAGACATTTAATTTAGTCTGCCATGAGTTAATTTAGATGTGCATGCTGTAGACTTGCTTTCAATGGTGCAAAAATCCTTTTTTATTGTTTTCTTTTTCTTTTTGTTACCAAAAAGAAAAATAACCAATTGATTGATCTTAATCAGCCAATATTTTTGCTCAAACTCTGCATACATCATGTACTAATACAGGTTATGCTATGCACCAGAGTGAGCAAGAATGGCAAAAAACTTAATATTGACTGCATACTTATTGTAAATTATGCTTACCAGTTCTGTTGATGCCAATTTTTGTAATAATTATAACAATCATCGTGAGGCTTCTACTCTTGACAGGTCCTTTTCTCCTTCAAATCTTGACTCAATGGAACAAACATGTCCCCACATACTGTCCATATTAAAACTTTTGTACATTTTTTCTCCTTGGTCTTAAATTGAAAATCGAAACATCTGAATGGCAACATTTCACTGTATACAGAAGCACTTTTGTTAAATTTGTGACTTTTCTTTTTCATTTTTTCTTTTCTGCAATGATGTACAATAAATGTGACGTATTCGTGTGTGGCCACAAGTGAAACTACAATTCAACTGAGATGGACTCCCTTTTCTCTTTCCATTAATATTATTGAGCTCTGCACCCTTATGTACCTTCTCACTTTTTGTATTTCATTTCAGTCTGTTGGTGTTCCACGGTGAGCTGGATGCAAGATAGATACTGTACTAAATTGTACTGTTATTGATTGAAAGTGTAATAAAAAGCTGTTTGAGATCTCTTCTGTTTTTTGTTTTTGTTCATATACTGCACTAAATAGTCTTTTTTTCCAACCCTCTAAAGATGTGTAAGGAATGGTCCCCTTTTTTTTCAACCATGTATTCTTCTGCTTTAAAATCTACTTAGTTGTAGGTGTGAAGTTATGTTTAGGTAATCAAAAGATTGATACATAAGATGTATTTCAAATGGCACATGTAATATCTTAAAAGTGTTACAATTTCTTCATAACCGTTTGCCATCTGAACACCTGACTGAGAGATTTAAGAAGAAAGTGATTGACATGGCTAGTCTAAGAAACTAAGTTAAACCATAACAAATTCACAGGGCATTTTTAAGTCAAAGGTAAATACTTTGAATTTATTGCCAAATTAATTATTTTCGTTGAAAATAATCTAAATCTATAATAATCCCTTAACTAAATGACTTACATCAACATTTGATTCCCCTCTGGAAATAATTATTGTCATGGAATAGGGAGTTAATTGTGAGAATGTTCTCATAAACATAAAAATGATTGTGAATATCGGGGGCTGTTAAAGACAAAGACAACCCTCGTATTTTTTTTTTAATGCCACCTACACAAAATACCTAATTTCAACCTGCAGAGTTTTTGTGTTTTTAAATTTGTATTGCTTACACAGACCGCCATCTTCCCATCACCAACCTACCGACGTAGCAACGAGCGGAAGCTACCGTAGGGGAACTATTTCCTTAAAGGGGGATTACAAAATACAGCTCGCCATCTACAACACTTCTCCCCGTGTTTGATAGATTCTATAGAAATTAACATCCGTTTTATACTTTGCTTTTTATGCGTTAATTCATCATTGACCTAAAGAACCTGTACAACTACACTGAACGACATGGGCTTTAGACTTTGCCTCCCCCTTACATGAAACCGTCCAGTGAAATGACGTAGTTCCTTCTTCGCTTAGATAATGCCATTTTGGTAGGCCGTACATGGTGTTCTGTTTTCGCCTCGTGGAAGAAATATAACCGTAAAATCCTCACAATAAACGTGGAATCAGAAGAGTCTGCCGTTTAAGTTTTACAACTAATTTAGCATGCGTGAGTTACTTTGAGGGAAGCGCTTTTTCGAATTCGTGAGCAGGGTATCGTACGCAGTTTACATTCTCAAGCACATTCTAGCGGCTGTCGTCCGCTGTTGACGACACAGATCGCCGTACCAGCGAACAAAGGAAAAGTAAGACTCGTTCATGCTAATTGGCACAGTCAGAGAGCCATTATTGTTGATGACAGAGTTTCTAATCAAACCATCACTACTGTTTATTTTATCGTGGCATCTTTACCCGAAAAGTAATTTCCCTCAAAGGGAAAAAGGAAATTAGCCTGACTCATTCAGTGCTGTTAGCTAAGTCGGCTAAAGCTAGCCGCGGTTGTGGGCAGCTAGCTAACAGTAGTGCTGTTTTGGTTTAGATAAAAAGTTACTGTTTGGAGAAAAAAATAAAACAATGGCCGAGGGTTACATTCGAGTGGCTGAGGAGGAAAACGAGGAACCCATGGAGATCCCGTCGGAGGATGACGGCACTGTTCTGCTGTCCACCGTTGCTGCTCAGTTTCCAGGGGCGTGCGGCCTACGGTTCAGGAGCCCCGTGTCCCAGTGCATGAGGGGCGTGCGCCTCGTTGAAGGGGTCCTGCACGCTCCCGAAAACGGATGGGGGAATATCGTGTATGTGGTGAACTATCCAAAAGGTAAGCATTGATTTGTCCCGTCTTTACCCAGGTGTACTCTTGTATTTATGGGGTAGTCATAACTTGAGAAAGTCTCAAATGAATGAGCGTGACGTACTTTTAACTTTGACTAAGCCCATATGACCTGTGGCTTACCCATCTAACACTGATGCTTTATTAATTAGCCATTTTTGGAAGCACATCAGATCAAAGTTCTCAAATATTCTTTTTCAATTTATATTTTATTTTAAAAAATATGTTATGACTCAAGGCCATGGTAAATTTGGAGACCTGTTGATTCATTGCCTTGTATTGAATTCATGTTGGTTTGAGCTATAATGGATAAAACAAGTTAACAAAACATTGCCTAACACTTATAGCTAATGTTTTTATCCCATGGAATGAGTCATGCATAATGTTTCTCCTGTATGTCATACTAATAATAATGTTATCAACACTAATTCAAATGAAATGTTGACTATAATAACGTGTATTGATTATCTTATTAGAGAAAATAACCTTTTTTTACTTTAACAGTCCAAGCTTCCTTCTAAGAGTTACCTTTTGTTTTTGTGGTAGATAACAAAAGGAAAATGGATGAAATCGATGCCTCTTCAGCTGTGAAGATGAAGAGAGGGGATATGAAGACATCTGACCTGATTGTACTTGGTCTTCCGTGGAAAACAACAGAACAGGACCTGAAAGACTACTTTAGCACATTTGGAGAAGTCATCATGGTTCAGGTATGGCTGGGGAATGTGTGGTTGTTTTTCATTCTTACACATTAGCATCGTTTTGAGATAACAGGTGATCAGTACTGTTTACCTTTGATCTCTTAGGTAAAACGTGATGCCAAAACGGGGAACTCTAAAGGTTTTGGCTTTGTGAGGTTCACCGAATATGAGGCTCAAGAAAAGGTGATCTCCCAGCGCCATATGATTGATGGGAGATGGTGCGACTGCAAGCTCCCAAATTCGAAGGTGAATATGGTAATGTCCATACATATGCCCACTCTTAATGGGAAAGCAAACTGTCCACGCCTTGTAGTGCATTTTAATTCTTGTTTTTTCCCCCCCTTTTCATTTACAGCAAGGTCCAGATGAGCCACTGAGGAGTAGGAAGGTGTTTGTTGGACGCTGCACTGAAGATATGACTACAGACGATCTACGGCAGTTCTTTATGCAGTATGGGGAAGTCACAGATGTCTTCATCCCAAAGCCTTTCCGTGCTTTTGCCTTTGTCACATTTGCAGATGACCAGGTATTGTCATAAACACAGCGGCGTTGTTTTTTTTATTGTTTAGTGTCCCACACGACTGATTGAACCTTCTTTTTCCCCTTCCCCCTTCACAGGTGGCCCAGTCTCTCTGTGGAGAGGATCTTATTATAAAAGGAGTCAGTGTTCACATCTCAAATGCTGAGCCCAAACATGGCAATAGGCAGTTTGATCGTACAGCACGATTTGGAAATGGCTTTGGAGCTCAAGCATTTGGTAGCAGCCGCGGTGGGTTGGGCAGCAGCACTAACAGTAGTCTGGCTAATTTTGGTTCCTTCAGTTTGAACCCTGCCATGATGGCTGCCGCACAGGCTGCTCTGCAAAGTAGTTGGGGGATGATGGGTATGTTGGCTAGCCAGCAGCAGACTTCCACCTCAGGCAGCACCTCCAGTGGAACGAGTTCTAGCAGGGACCAGAGTCAGTCTTTCAGTACAGGCAACAGCAACTACGGCACCAGCTCAGCCAGTCTCGGCTGGGGCACAGGGTCAAACTCTACGACCAGTGGCAGTGGGTTTAGCTCAGGTTTTGGGTCCAGCATGGAGTCAAAGTCATCTGGGTGGGGTATGTAAGCTAAGTGTTTGTATGGTAAGTATTGTGAGAAAGATGAGTCTTTTCAAAATTTATTTCTGGTGTTGATGCGTATCTGAAAACACTTTTTGTGGAAGATGTTTTGTACATTTGGAAAAAAAAAATGCTAAAGATTTAATTTAGGAAGTGTTGAAGTGAGCCGTTTACCAGGATCTCTGACTAAAGTGCTATTTTTGACGTCTTGTTTGTTTGTATCCATTTCAACTGGATTCTCTAATGCATGTATTGTGAAATGTGATGCCCATTTTGAAAATGCATGAATGTTTGTGGTTCACCATTATCTGGCTTTGTCATCGACTTAAAAGGCAATCTTGCATTGGAAAGAATCTGGTTGAAACCTAAATGTTTTAAGTGCAACTTTATTTGCAGTCAAGTTCTGTGGAAAAGCCTTCATTGAAATCTCTTCTGCAGTTCACCTCTCTTCCATTTCCCTGTGAGGAAGCTCCTCTTTGGCAGCATTGTTGGGGTGATATCGGTATCATTCTCCCTCTTCCCACCTGTAAATGCTATGCCATCACAGATCGGCTACACTCCGCATGTTCTAAGAGACGGTGGGTGTTTTCACTTTTATCCACTTTTAAATGGAAAGAACTGCGCAACTGACATTTTAAGAACTGATGAGTGCGATTGAGGATGGCTTGTGGCGCGGAGTGAAGCGATGAGTGAGCGAACGGAGAGAGACGCGTGAAACGGACTGGCTGTGCGATGAAAGAGCCCAATTTTGACTGTTTTCTGAGTGTGTGAGTGGAAGCTGCAGATGCTACGAGCGCCTCCCCTAACATGGACATTGTTTAATTAGTACTCCAAGATTTTTCTTTTTTTTTTTAATCTTTGCAAGTTTTTCCTTAAGTATGTCTATCAAGTGCAGAAATATCAAAATGTAGTGGAATGTTGTGATGACTCTTTGTACTGCTTATATTATCTGATTTGAATGCTGTATGGTGTGTGTTTTCATGTTATTGAACTGATCTGTAAGTGTGTATTTGATGTGGATGACACCAGCTGAAGACCTTGGGGGACGCGAGTGATAGTGTGAGAACGTGGAGTGGTGTGTCCAATGGTTCCCCGTAGCTCTTGTCGTTTGTGAGGTGTTTCAAAACATGTCAAATGAAGGGAGTTCTCTAATAAAGTTCATTTGAATAGTTACTTAGTTGATATTACCTGAGTCGGTCTGTAAAATCAAAAACATCTAATCCAATTCACATATCTAGGGACCTTGGGCTCTGCTGGTCGAGGTCTCCGTTTGAACCCTGACCGAAGTCTGTTCTGAAGGACGAAGATGGAAGTTCCAACACTTTCAGTGTGTGGCCTTCTCAGACATGACATGGGGTAGTACCTGTGCTTTTATTTTGTTTGTTTTTTTTTAAAAACATTTGTTCCCTTGTTGCAGAGATTGCACCATTACCTCTAAGGTTAGCGGTAAGTTCCTCAGAGGTTAATTGTGCTAACTCGGATGTGCTCAGAAATGTGGGCTTTTAAAATTGATTCCTTTGACTTTAGAAAAAGAATTTGACTTCAGTCGTCTTCTGTGATAGTCTTAGGTTTGAAGCCTTTCCTCAAGAGCCAGGTAGTGCATTAACATAGTTCCAATATTTCTCCCTGGAAGTAGATAGTTCTGAGGCCTGGCTGTGGCCCATACCACTCATAAGTCACCGTCATAAACCTCGCTTCAGAATGACAAAATATTTTAATCTTGGGTATAAACAGAATGTCATTTTTATTACAAATAAGGATCGCATCAGCGGGTCAGAGAACAGTTATTTACCTTCAGAGAAGTGCCATGCTGTCTAAATATGATGCTTTAACATTATTTAAATGTATGTCTACTCAAACTAGATGTAAATGAAGTCTGATTTTTCTTGCGGGGGGGGGTATCGCTCAGTCCTGGTGCTCCTTTTCCCCAGTAGTGAGCCCTTTTTCCTCATTCTCTGCTCTCCTCCGTGTCTTTGCTCTTCCTCTTGCGGGTGCTCTTGTTTTTGGCAGTCTTCTGCTCCTGGGCCAGTTCTTCACTCTTATTATGAATGTAGATGGACTGAAATAAAGGCAGGTTAAACTCTTAATCAGCTGTCTGCTGTAAAGAACAGGTCTAATGAAATGACGTCAAAGGATTGTTGGGAATCATCTCTTTCTTCGTGACTTTCTGTGGGCAAAGTGTCTCCCCAATACTGCTGTGTAATCATTTCAGTGGCACTCACCAGTGCAGTGCTACGACGGGCCGCGAGTTTCACGTCCTCTGCTGACACGATGCTTCTCTTAGCATGTCTGAAATGTCATTTGAAATGGTAAAGACAGCTGTAAGATTTTTCTTGAAGAATTTGAGAAAAAAAAGGGTAAAATCTGAATGTTTATGACTTTATTCAAAGTTAATACAGCTTGCCTTGCAAAGGCCTCCAGGTCTTTAGCAAATACATCTGTGGGGGAAAAAAAGGTTGTGTTACAGTTCTGAAACATTGACCTCTAATGCCTGTGTTGATTCAGTTTAAAGTTCCTGTCTCTGGGTTTTCATAACTTTTTCAGAAACTACAGCCTTAAAAGAGCAATGTGATGCTCTTCATTTATAGTCAGTATCCAAGCAGGTCCTTGTGTGTCATGATTTGTACAATTATTGTACATTTTAAGAGTAATTAATAAAGTCTGGGTTTGATTTGTATTTATTTTTTGTCAAATGCTGTGTTGCCTTGAATGATCTGCCATCCAGAAGTTTGTTTTTTTCTTTATAAATCTTTCGGTTTAAATGTTGCCTTTTATAATGTAAGTTGTCGTGTTTCCAAGGAGTTTAACGCACACGTTATTTGAATAACTTAGAAACAATTTCTCATTTACTGTACAACATTGCACAGATCTTTGTATCTTTAAAAGAAAAGCATAATGCAATTCTAATTTCTACAATGTATGAGACTACAAACTAATGTCAGAACAAATCACAAAACGAGCTAATCTGGACATAGTTTGAATTTTCCATTTATGTTAAGAGCAGACAGTTAAGTGGGTTGCAATCATGGGACTTATTTTTTTATTTCTTTGGGCCACTTTTTTCTCCAAACACAGACTTGTGTTAAAGGGGGTGACATGAAATGGGTGAGTCACAGAGACACTAGCAAAATAAAAAGTTACCAATACCAAAAGACTGTTGAGAGATGGTGTGACAGGAAAAACACAAAGATTTGCTCTGTGGATAACACTGCACAGAAGTAGAATGACTTGATCCATTAAAGCAGACCACAACAGTCCAGTCCTGAGGCCTCCTCTCTTCCTGTCAGTCAAAAATGTGATTTTTTTAATACTTAAAGCTTTAAATGCTTTAGGGCTGAAACACTTAGATAAACTGATGGGTTTTCATCACCTGTCTCTGGTTGAAACAGGTCTGCTTTGTGTCTACAGGGTTGAAACTAAACATCTGGAAGTTCTGTTTTCATGTTTCTGTTTAACAGTTAAATCAAACTGTAGGACTTCAACTGGTTTATGTGATGAATTCTAGCAAATAACAGAACCTGTTGGTCTCACTGAATTGGCCATTTTCTCTCTGTAAAATTGTTGTAATGTTCCACATAAAACATTTCCACTCCCCCCTCATCGTGGTTCATTTGTGCGACATTGTGGCTTCTTCCGAGTTCCAATGTCCAGAAATGTGTGTACCCGAACTTTTTTTTTAACAACTAAAAGCTTAGTGCGACATACTGCTGAGTACGGCTTTAGGTTTCGGTGTTTCAGTAACTTTGAGCGTGTTGTGTGCTGTGAGGGGTCCCACCACATTGTCTGAAGGCCGTCTCGGCTATGGCGGCCACCGCCTGCCGGCTGAACTCCCTCCGGTGCTCCTCTCCGGCCCTCTGACACAGCCGACCCACCGTGTAGTGTACCGCTGCCTTTAACCGCTAAAAGGTAAAGGAAAATGAGCAGTTACACCCCCTCAGTTAGAACTGAAGAGGCTTATTGAATGAGAGACGAAACGTCTTCTAGAAAACCTCACGTCCAGTTGCCTAAAATTAACTTTTCAAGCTTGACGACGTCGTTAATTGAAATATGCTAAATGATGACAACCGTCATTTACGTCCCAGTTGTCAAGAAATCTAAATAGCCGCTCTTACCTGACGAGTTTCGTCTGCATCCAATGACATCTTGCGGAGGATTGAAATGGGATACAGCAGGCTTTATTTTAAACAATCATTAATGGAAGGGCTGTCAAACGTTGAAGCTACAACGAAAGAAAGTGAATAAAGGCCAATTTCGACCAGTCTGGCACCATATACATATATGTCTGTCTGCCACACTCAAACACCGACAAACAAACAAACAATTCGCGGCAGGACTTTGTCGTCAAATCAACAACTGTACAATAAGAGTTTACTTCCTTTTCTTTCAATATTTTCATTTTCCAAAGCACCACCTTGTGGTCAGGAGGAAATACTACACCCTTTCAATTCCTACCGTTACATACTGTAGAAAGTAGTGACTGTGTTATCACAGCCTTGAAGACAGAAGCTTCAACAATGTGCTCTGTTAAACCATAACTCTGTTAAATCAGAACGAGTTTTACAAATTAATCAAATACTAAAATAAACATTTGAGGGCAGCAATCACAAGATATTTACGTCCTACTGCTGTTTGACATTAGCATTTATTTACGTATGTCAAATGAGCTCTGATGTACTTCAACATTTCCTACAAAAGCCATTACAAATATACTGTAGAAAAATCTGATATACAATAAATTCAATTTGTGCTTTTTTTTATTTGTATCTGCAAAATAATCTTAAATTCTTGTTGATTGTCTAACCAAATTGTATTAAATGCTTTAAGTTGATGTGATGATAATGATAGTTAAGCTAATCATTTGTCTCTCTTTGCTTTGTTTTTATTTTATATGGAAAGGTAATTCTCAAAACTGATTGTTGGAATAAAACACACAAAATTGAAAGTATTGCAGTCTTTATTAAGTATGGCGGATTCGGTGTATATCATCTCATTTCATGGAAAACATGACGCATGCTAGACCACAAAGGGGGGAAATCACTGACTCCTTTTATAAATTTGCTTGCAAACTTGATCCTCACATGTAATTTCCTGAAACAAGAAAGGGAAAAAAAATCATCATGGAGTAGAAATGATATACAGTAGTAGCAATCTGAGTACACAAAAGCTTTGAGTCCTTTGAAGTAAATCTGCAGATGTCATACCAGATGAAGCTCGTCTCCCTGAATCCAGTGAGTCCAGCCCCTGTTTCTCTTCTCTCCTCTCTGGACACACACCAGCTTATCATTCTCCCAGTTCACCACTGTCTGGTTGTGGACCGAAAAAAAATACAGGACTTCAAATTTCAAACTGAATATTGCTAAAAAAATGTGGCAACATGAGAGGTTTACCTTCATTTATTTATTATTAGAAACATCACATATTTAAATTCTTAGACTTAAACATGAGCTTTCAGAAACAGTTTACCTGGCATGTTCGGTTGTCCATCCCTTTGGTCACCTCTTTGAACTCTTCCCCAATTCTGAATGCACACTCGTAATTTCTGAAAGTTGTGAACGTGTGGATTGTGAAACGATCTCCATCTTGCTTTATCACTTTCTGAGGTTTCAGCATAGAGGCAATTTTGCGTGTTGCAAAGTCTATACCTGCAAAACAAAAATAAAGGAATATTGATTCCACTCCCTTTTTTAACTCAAATATCTTGATAGCGGAGTTAGGAAATAGATGACCACGACAGTCTGAATATGTGCTCATAAAAGATCAAATATCTATCAAGTCATGCTCAATTACAAATCATTTGGATGCTTTTTTTTTAAGAAAGACAAAAAAGCAGTTAGACTCACCAAGAGCAACCATGTAACCCTCGAAGTTAACATTACTGACAATGTCCCATGTCCCGCTGTAGTCGACAGGCATTTCGGACTCTTATTGGACTCCCTGGAAGCCTGTGAAGCGTGAATAGAATCAGAGTTAATGTGTGGGGTGTTTTATTGTGCATGAATGTGGAGCAGGGGTGATGCGACTCTTACCACAGTTCTTTGGAAAACAGGAAGAGCAGCAGAGGGTGGAGCAGAGCTCCTTACACAATCCCATCCCCGATGCATCCTCACAGAATAGGACATTTTTCATGAGCACAATACAAAATGGTAAACATTTTTATGACTAAAAACCAAAAAAACCCCCAAAAAAACCCACAACAGCCTGATCTTCAGACTTATTTTTTAGTGCGGGTGCTCAGCTTTGAGGGGAAATCTGATATGCAGCCAAAGCCTGTGGGCAGTGGCGGGATGAAATGCAATCCTTCCCCGGACCACATGTGGGTACGCAGAAACAGCACTCCAGCACGCCTCCCTGGATGTGGAGCATCCATGTTTCCTTACACGCTAATCCTCATGGCCTATCACGGCAGCAGACTGATGCCTCGGAGTCGGAGGCTGAAATTGTAAGTACTCTGCTGGACACGTATGGACATGGCCACGCTGCTCTTTATGACCGGCTGCTCATTTTCTACTCAGTCAGGTCGTGAACGTGGTGTTCGCCACGGTGGTTCTGGTCCCTCAGCTCTACGTCATGGGAAGGTAACTGGGATGTAGGTCCTGGGTCACTTGAAGAGGGGAGGATGTGCTTTAACAATGGTCTTTGTTTTCACCCAAGGCCCAAATCCTCCAGATACTGCGGGCAGCCCCTCCTGAACAACCTGTCGGCCTCTGTGGCCTTTTCCCTCGTGGCCGCAGGTGAGTCGGATGGGCAGCAGAGCCTTGGCAGGGGCAGTCTACGAAAAGATGACTGTGTGAACGGAGTCTCCTGTCAGCAGGTTTTTCAGTGGCGCTCACCCTGATGGATCCGGTTCCTCAGAGCCTGTGGGCGGCCTGTCACGCGTTTGGTCTGCTGTCGTGTGGACACGGACTGTGCACGGCCATCCTGACCATCACGGCCTCCGAATGCGTAAGAAAAAGCTATTATAACAAGAATTACTGCACAAAACAAACAAATCAGAATGATTTTCATTGTTTTTTTGTAGGCTAAGACTACTCCAGAGCTGTACTACCTCTCCCTGACCCTTACAGTGGCCTCTACTTTCAGTACAGGTGAGGCCGGTCGCTGCGTTCCGAGACAGGCTTTGCTGGAGTGACCGCTGCTCGTGTCTGCTCAGGTTTTTTCCTGGTCAGAGGGGTACTGTGGGTGACCGGCGGGCGGCCTGCGATGGAGACGTGGAGAAACAAGGAGTGATAAAAGCCTCCAGCTGTCCCCGGGCTGACACACGATACGGCACATTTTAAGAATTCATGAGCTTTCAGTGCCACCGGCAGCTGGTAACGTAAAACCAGGAGGGGAAGAAAAGTGTAAGTGAGTTAATCCAAGTCAGAAATGCGATCCAATGTTTCTTTATGTCTTCTCTGAACATTGTGATTTAACTCGATTGTTAAACAAATACTGTGCAAAGAAAACCTTTACAGCTGCATGCTTATAAAAAATAATCCAACACGCACATGATAAGAGCAACCCCATTTTTTATTTGGAGGCGGGAAAATTTCAAAAAGCTCATTGAAATACAAGCAAACCCATCTGAGTGTTTCCCCACTTTATTCAATTTAACATCTTAGAGGAATGCTGGTTTATAAGGGCCATAAGTGTACTTTTTGTGTTTTAGAGAGTAAAGCACCAATATTTGACATCACATAAAATACATCCCATACCTTACGACCCTTTCAAACATTGTGCATTGCTCTCGGGGTTTCTGCCACTGATCAGTGGAAATTATACAATCAAGTATGGCAGATCACAGAAGAACACCGGATACCTGGAATTACACCTGAGATGTGGTAAGACTCACATACTGACACACTGCTGTGTCAAATCAAAGTTTGTGATCGTTGGAAGGCTCTTCCAACACCTGATGATTGTAACATTACATTCTGAAAACTCTGTAAACTCTGAAAAGATCTTTAATTATTAGTTAGATCAAATCTAAAAAATTTTTTTTTTTTAAGAAATTGCATATCCATTACGTTTCTCACACACACAAAAAAAAAATCACATGTTTTATCTTTCAATTCAAAGAACCAGAATAGTTGTTTTAAGCCCATTAACTACAAATAGCAAATACTTGAATCCACGTCTATGAAGCCTGGAAGCTTTAGCATAAGGCTTCCTGCTTTACAGATGGGGATTATTGGCACTTTGTAAGGAAGCTGCAGGCCTTCCTGTTGACGTCTTGTGCTCGCAAACTCTGCATCCATTAGTTAAGCATTAACCACAGCTGAAACACATCCTTTTAATATCAAACCCACAAACCTCTCAGTGTCCTCTTTGAGTCTCCATTTTCCTGCAAGCACATGGACTCATCAATAAAGAACAATTTTTTTTACAGTTTTCCACTCGCATAATGGACCCTTTTCTTTCAGTTATGAAGTCAAAGTGGGGGCGTTTACAAGTCAGAAATGAAATTTCAAATAGTTTATTTTTAATGAAGCAGGAATGTTGAATCTATTTTATTTGTAGTTAAGGAAAACAACTCGTTCTTTCTCTGCTTGTTCACTTCCAAAATCTTTCTTTTCTTCGCAGTTCTTTCACAGCAGCTTCAAAGGTGTTTTGACTGGAAATTAGAAATAGAAAAAACTATTTACCCAATAAGTGCGTCGTAGTCGATATACCAAACCAGACTGCCGTTAGCGGGCTTCACGCCTGTGACGGGGTATTTCTCGGGCATGTCCTTTACTCGACTCAGCTGGGTGACCAGTTCATGCTTTCCCTTTCCCATTACCAGCAGGGCCACTTTGCGTGCCCGGTTGATGGCGTTGAACGTGAGGCTCATGCGCTGGTGCGGCTTGCTGGGGCTCTCGGTGAGAGCCACCAGGCTCTGGCCGTGTTGGTCTGCCTTCGCGCCGGGGAACAGGGAGGCCGTGTGGCCGTCGTAGCCCACGCCCAGCAGCACGAAGTGGAAGCTGGAGCCGTTGACCAGCTGGCTGAGGTCTTTCTCGTAGAGCAGCGCCCCGCCGTCGTCCTCCACGCACAGGCGCTGGTTGAGCTGCACGGGCATGGGGTGGATGTTGTAGTAGGGGATCCGCACGTGCTTCAGCAGGCTCTCGTGCAGGCTGTAGAAGTTGGACTCGGGCTCGGTGAGCGGCACGCAGCGCTCGTCCACCATCCACACGTGCGTGCTCCTCCAGGGGAAGGAGAAGTGGTGCAGGGCCAGCCGGTAGAACAGGGCCAGCGGCGTGGAGCCGCCGGACAGCGCCAGGTGGAACACGCCGCCCTCGCCGATGGCGGCCTCGGCCGCTTCCTGCATGTCGGCGGCGAGCGTCTCCACCAGCTCCTCGGTCCAGGCGGACACCATGTGGGCGCTGCGGAATTTGCCCTGCATCACCTTGAAGCTGCTGGCCGAGGAGTCGCCCATTTTGTCCGCGCTGACGATCACCACCTCGCTGTTGTAGCTGATCTCGTTCCCTTTCAGACGGACGTCCAGCATGTCGCCGTTCTCGGCGCCACCGGGGTAAATCCGGGGGAAAGCGCTGGTCAGGCTGCGGAGGAGCGGGGTCCACATGCCCCATGAGGCCAGCAGGTTCTCCGTGCTGATGAAACTGTCTTTACGCCCGTGAAAGATGTGGGAAATGAGTTCTGCGTAGGCTTCCTTCTCCTCGGCCGGGGTCTGCACGTAGTAGTCGGACGCGGGCAGACCCAAGACGCTGACCTCTTTGTGCTCGGTCACTTCCTTCCACTCGCTGCCCGTCATGACTGGCTTGAACAAATTCTTACTAACAAGAACGGCGGGATACTGAAGGCTGCCGTGCCCAAAGTAGAAAACGATCTGTTTGGGCTTGCAGTGAACGTTGTTGTGGTTCTGAAGGCAGAACACGTCGTTTTTAAACAGTATGCGTGCGTACCCCACTCGTTCGTCCAACATCTTCCCCGAGATCAAGAGAATGGGAACCCCCTCGTACTGGGCCTCATCGATGTGAGCCAGAACAGCTGAAACACAATCCCACGTTAGCATCGCATGCGTGGACAGCAGAGTGCAAGCATGATGTGGATGTGGAGCGTTCACCTGCAAATGTTGGCGTGAGGCTGATGTGGCCTTTGGTTGTGTTCAGCTCCTGCTCTACCTCGCTGTTGTACGTCTGGTACTGTCCCGTCACGGCTTGGTTCTTCCCTAAAGGCAGCAGCGAGCTGAAGACCTGCAGCTTGTTTTGGAGGACTTCCTCGCTGTTGCTCACGTTGGAGGGAAGCTTCATGGTCAGCAGGGTCATGACCTCGGTCAGGTGGTTCTGCAGCACATCCCTGATCACCCCGTACTGGTCATAGAAGGGGATGCGACCTTTGACAACCAAACGGGAGAGAGCGTGAGCACCTGATGTCTTCAAAAAGGCCTTTATAACGTGTCTGATGAAAGCTGTACCACCTTTAACATCGAGGGTCTCCTTCAAAACAATCTCTATTCTCTCAATGTGCTGCCTGTTCCAGATGGGATCCAGATATTTTCTGTTCTCTGTTCTGAATGGAAGGATCTTTGACACCACCTTTTTCCCAAACGGGCAGTAAAAAAAAACAACAGCAGAAAACATCAAATCAAAAATCTCAAAACCAGCATTAAAATTCATATTTCGGTTTTCACCTGCTTTCCCAAGTAGTGATCGATTCTGTACATTTCCTCGTCCTTCAGGGAGCTGCGTAGCTCAGAGGCCAGCACCTGAGCGCTCCTGTAGTCGTGGCCAAAAGGCTTCTCGAGCACCACCCGCAGCCAGGCCCCGCCGGCCGGCCGGCAGCTGCCGTTGATCTTTTGGCCAATGTCTGCGTAGGCGAACGCTGGGACGGAGAGGTAGAAGAGCCTGCCCGCCTCCGTCATCCCCTCCTGCTGAAGCTGCAGCTGGATGTGCTCGGCCAGGCTCTGGTAGTCCTCCTGCGTCTTCAGCTGCCGGTACTGCGACAGGCGCAGGAACTGCTCCCTGAGCAGCGCGCAGCGCTCCGCCGACACGTCCCCCGGGCAGGAGACCGCCTTCAGGATCTCGAAGAGGAGCGGCGTGGCCTTCTCTGCGGGGGACAGTCCTCCGCCGTAGAAGGAGAAGGTGTTTCCGCCACTGACCTGCCTCGCGTACAGCTGGAAGAATCCCTGCCACAGGTATTTCTTTGCCAGGTCCCCCGTGCCGCCCACTACGACCACGGAGACGTGGCCGGGCCGGGGCGCCTCCTCGCCGTGGCCTCCGTGGGCACACAGAGCCACCAGAAGCAGGAGCACGCTCGCAAACATTCTCCGGTCCAAACAGTCCAAAAAGTCTGCAATCAAACAGCATCAAGACACATTACATGCTGACAATAACTCAATCTCACATAGATGGACACAGGACTGCCACGAAGTGAGATAAATAACTCAGAAAAACACTGTCAGATTCTTCTAACCGTTTACATTTAAGAAAAAGTTAACTGGAGCTAAAAATGACTACGCAAAACTAAATCAAAGCTGGACTCTGAAGTCCAGACAAAGACATTGAACCCCTTTGACAATGTTAAAACCCAAATAATTATTTTAAAGACAATCTCTAAATCATACAGTCCAGCGGAAAAGACGTAAACACTAAATCAATCTTCAAAGATTAAAAAGATAATTTACTTTGCAAAGTCAAATTCCCAACTGTTCTTTGGACGCCTCTCCAGAGCCAGTGGTTGTGTCCTGCGTGGGGGACGACTGAGAGCTGCTCAGGGCTGTGGACTTTGCACTTTGCTCTGCAGCACGGCCATTCCAGCTGTGCTGTTGTTTATTCTCCGGGAAAACCCCATAAAGTTAGGGGTGAGATGTGTGGGCAATGAAACTAAAAAGACGTTCAAATAGTTTTACAGAAAAGTATTCAGAATTTGTAAGTAAGGAGTTATTCATCTTTCATACCTCTCAACTGTCTGGATATTTTACAAGGTCACAGGGGAAACTGAGAGAAATCATTAAAGACTGTGTGAACTTAAATATGTAAAAATATTCTCTTTTTAAAGACTCAGAAATGTACGAACGTAAAACAGACTTAAAATAACTGACTCAACTAAATCAGATTAAAAACAAAAAGAGAATATGCGAAAAATATTCCAATTTGAAATGCTTTGATTTAATCTCTCTAGTGTTTATAGCACGTGTGTGAATATATGCAGTAAAAACAAGGCATCAGTGTTACAAACCTGATTTACCGAGAATGAAAACGACCCCCAGTGAAGAGAAATGATGACGTAGATTACGAGACCGAGCAGCATCTGGAATCCCGGCAGCTAACCGTCCTGTTTGCACAGGGACAAAGCAAATAGCAAAGGGCACTGCACGACTGCTTCCCCAGCAGATGAGTGCCAACAAGTCCTGGTCTTCTTTATTATGAATTACTGCTTAGAAATGAGCAGCATCCTCAAATACAGGATGGCCAGAAACACCCTGACTACCAACTTATTTGTTTGACGCTCCAAGCTGCACCTTTTCCCACCATTGGCCCACGGGAAATCAATTAAGTCATGTAGGGCACCACCTTCATCTTAAGACTTCATTTATTCCTCCTCTGTGCTCTACATTCAAACTCATACATTCTCATGGTTTGTCTCCTCTAAAAGAGGAAAGACTGATTTTAGCTTCCATGCAAAATCACGTTAACCAGAGCAAATCTGCCCAAAGAGTGAGCAGTTCTGTTTGTCACGGTAGAAAGCTCCATAAAGATCCCGAAATACCCCGTTTGTGCCTCTCAGGCCAGATTTGTCACAGTGGGTGGTTGAGATACAACTCCAGGGATGTTCAGACCTCTCTCTCTCATGACTGATGAGCCCATTGATCGGTAACGCATGTTAACTGATTAACTGATTTAACTGAACCATTTAAATGGCCCTGAGTTAAAAGTTTGATTTTAAGCACAGTGCCTTGACATAAATGGCTGAGACGAGAGATCAGGGATGACAATCATTTCTTTCACCTGCCAGAAAACAATGGAGTTTTGATTTCCATTGAAAGCCTGTCCTTTACTTGCTTGCCAATGATCCACTAATCCTCATAACAATGTGACATCAACTGGAGACAAAACTTGCTTTGTTTGTGGAGGATTCACTCTCACAGTTTGTCAAACTATCAACACATTATAGACTTTTACGCAAACCGAGCACAGATTACATCCGACTGCTTTGTGACAAGTAAATGTAACCAACGTTTAGACTGATTAACTGTCCACGAGTGGGTTGGGATTTCCCAAATTGCGTCCATCATTCCGGCTTTACTCATTACCATTTGAATTCCCATAGTCTTCCTGCACATATTTAAATTTTGTTGGATGACTAAGCTGGTAAATTTCCATTTAAGTCCACTGTCATAATTTACACAGATAGATAGATATGTGTGTGTGTAATGTGTGCATATCCTAGTGAGGACACAGAAACAAATATTTGTAAGCTCTTCAAATGAGAAACACGGGAATGACGTAACAATGAGCTGATCGAAAGGTAAATTGAAGACTGTCATTCGTAATTCTATCCTGTAAAGATCCAATCATGCGTGTAATTCAGACATCTTGACTGTGCCCTAATTGGGGATTTATAAAACCTTTCCTGAGTATTTTACCACCAACCTCCAGCTGTTAATCAGACTGGTGCCATTCTTTTCTTTTCCTTTACAAAGAGAGGGCTTCCTGGTGACTGATGTCCAGAGTAAAATGGCTGGACAGGCTGTTGCTGACAGGAAGTCTGAAATAACAGATAATCTCTTTTCAACAGAATTGCGAGTGCAAAAAACCACAACATGTCAGATTTTGGGGTGAATAGATTACAAAAGGAGAGTAAAACATATGATGCCACTGCTGTTGGCCAAGTAACTAAATCTAGCTAAAGCTGGGGCTCTGATCTCTAATATAATTTATCATTTTTATTTTAGTAAATTGGGGTTCTTATGGGCTTTTTCCAACTTCGCACCATGGAGCGAATTTAATTGTCCTAAGACATCGAACCCACATTGTTTCCCATGAAAATTAGTAGTGGAAGTGTGTGAATGAAAGAGAAAAGGCACTATGTCAAAGCACGTGTCCAGTGATTAGTGGGACATCTGAAGCTTTAGAACCTACAATTACAGGCAAAAAATCTGGAAAACATCTGGTCAAATGTCAGCGTAACAGACACCCAGATTTCTCGGTGAGAGATCAGGAGTGGAGGGACGTTTTGGTGGTTGCAGGGAGGCTCCAGATGAGGAGATGAAGACTAAAAAGACATTTTGATCAAGCAAGACATTTAATTATGTTTTGCACAATCTCAAGTTCCAAAATGTCACATTCACAAAGCAGAGATGGGGACCAAACTGGCTGATTTGTTGCCCCAGTTATTGTATGGAAGGAGTCATTTAAATGCCCTGTTTGGAAGATTAGCTGAATTAATAAGTAAAGATCTAGGCTTGGATTCAAAAGAATGCCAATGGGATTTTAAAAGTCTCAGCATGAATTAACAGCTGAGAGACCTACAAATTAAAACGTTATTTGTTTGCTTTGATCAACAATCATATCAGCCTAAACCAGATCAATAATTAACATGAATGTACACTAACATCATTTTTAAAAGTCGAATAATGAATCAGTTCTCCTCCAGTTACTTCTAAACAAACGAGTTTGTCGACTCTCCATGCCTCGTGTTTCCCTGAACACACGGTCCTATGGAACTAACTTGGGCGCCTATTTATAGGAAAAAAACTTCAAATAGTAAAATAAATAAAGAAAAGAAAGAAGAAACATCAGCAGTGGAGATATACCACAGGTTCAGGATTAGCGAGAGCAAACGGCTGAAAACAACCGCTGCTACAGCTTTAAAACAGACGGTGTTTGTGAAATGTTTCATTTCCAGACTCTTTGCTGCTTTTCGCCTGTGTGCTACTAAAACACAAACACGACGACGGAGGCGACTCGGTCCCGTCATTCCACCTGCTAGCTGTCAAACTTCCCCTCCGCCACAAACACGCTCCCCGAGCCGTTTGTTACGTTTCCTGCTGCACTTTACCCCCCAAAAAATATCAGCCAAACTGAGGCGACACACGTGGTAAGGCCGACGAGAAACCAGGTAGAAAAATTGCTTGTGGTTACGAACCTGTCTCGTGCTGCCTGCTCCATCAAACGGCTCTTCCTGTACCAGTCACGTGACACAGCCCTGCTCAATCCACGCGTGGCATGTTGTGAGAGTGTGTGTTTTCAGAGCTCAGCTTTGGCATTCCGTGTTAATGTGCGCGGTTCGGACTCGGAAACAGATCCGGTGTTGTGCGAAAAAGTGAATGTTTGCGAGAATCTGATTAAGCTCGCGGGAGCGCGCACCGCAGCCCGCTGAGCGATACCGTAAACCTGCTTTTCTCTGGATTAAACGGTCATGACATGCAGATACACACAGTTGGGAGGCTTGTGAACGACGACCACCTGAACCCCAACTGCATATAGTTCTGAAAAGCTCATGGACACTTTTAAAAAATGTTTTCCTACTTAGTCACCACAATGAACTCAACTTTTGTCAACCTCTAATTTACACAGACTTTCTCTTTGTGTAATAAATATGATGCGTCAGCTACATTTACATTTACACGTTAAAGGGAACCACGGGTCCAGTCTGACATTTGTTTGTTGTTTTTATTTGTTTTTATTTTTTACACAATTGGGTCTTAAGACACAAAAGGCAATATCTAAAAACAAAGTTATGTTTTTTAACCTGCACATTGAAAAATGCAATCTCCAATGAATGAAATAATGAGGGCAAAATATTTCTGAGATGATCCAATAACCATGGCTTGGGTAAACCCATCCAGGAAATGGTTTTAGACTATTCCAAGAATTACAAGGGAAAGTCCATTCTTCAAAGTGTCAGCAGTGTTCATGTAGTGAGAAGAGACATCACGTCCAACTCTGAAATAAGTGAGCTGCTGTCTGTTCAGTACTGTCTCCAGTTGCTTTTTCCTTCTTTGTGTTCGTTTGAGGTCGCCATGAGGACGATCATAACTAAATATGATTGATTGTGTGCTTCTTGGTGGAACGTTGAATGCCATCAGTGCTGTACCTCATAGCCTTTGCGTTTCTTCAGCCTCTTGTTCTCCAGCTTCTTTTATGGTTCGGATCACTTTCCAGGGACTGCTGGAACAGGCGCCTGCCGATGGGCTGTTTTGACACACATGCTGTCAAAGGTTGTGTCTACACATGCCTTCGTGTGCTCGCAGTGTCTGATGTGTGGGAGCTTCAGCCTGGCACGCATCTTCTTGTCACGCATAACGGCCGCTGCGCACCCATCCATGCTTCCACGTGCCGAGTTAGGCAGAGTTTGCCACCACGGCCTCCAAACCACCTATATCCTTGGCTGCACTGTGGTCAGGCACAAAAAAAAGAAGAAAACAGGTACAAAAAGAAGAGTGCTGACAATGTCTCTATTTGATCACATTTATTCAATATAACCATCAACTGTGCAAACTTTTTTTTAAATCGCTTTTTTATGCCCCTTTTTTTTACCCCTTCAATTCTGGTTGCAAATCCCAGTAACATGACTTTTGAGTATAGTGCTTTATCAACAGTCAGTCATCCATTAAAACAGTCTGCACTGTTCATAGGTATTTATCAGCTCTGGCTTAACAGTATACAGTACGCCATATATCCTTCAAATTAACGTGGAGCCTATCCCATCTGACAACAGGGGAGAAGCAGGGTACACCCTGGGACCGGTCGCCAGCCCCTTACAGGGCTACACAGAGACACACAACCACACCCGCTCACATTCACTCCGACTGGGCAATTTGTAAATAAATTCACCCAATTCACCCAACATGCATGTTTTTGGACAGTGGGAGATTAACACCCAAATCGAAGCAAATGTGTGTTTAAACAAGTTATAACAACTTCTTTCAGACTCATCGGAAAATCACCCTTATGTTAAATTAAATCTGTGGTTACCTGGAGGTGATTAACCCTCTATGCTATAAATTACCTTGGGATTTGTTAGTTTAAGAAGAAAAATGACACAGACAAGAGAAGTTGGGTTAGGGATAAAGTCAAGCATTATGTGTTTGCACATAGAAGGCGGCAGTGTTCACAGACAAGGTAACAGTCCACTTTTTGACTGCCTTTCCCTTAAAGGCTTTTTTAGAAACTTTTGCACACAATAAATAATTCCAAACATCTTTCTGTCCCATGAAAATGACCATACCTAAATGTTTAGTCATCCTACTGGTTAGTGTGCGCGCTGATGAATATGCTGAAAGCAAAAGTAGAGAACAGAACTGGGCTCAGCATCAGTCAGAAAAGCAGTGGCAAGCTTTGTAATATCTAATTAGTGCAATGTAATGTGGAGTTGTTTTATGTTTACAATTGTTAATATTTGTGCTGAATATTGTATTTGAGAAAAACCCCTGACAAGCACTCTGAGTCAGACAGAGTCTGACTCAAAGTGCTGAGATTTTAAATGTTTGTACAAGGACAGAAACATATTCAACAATAAAAGCATTCCTAAAGCGATAATGTCCCCCTAAATTTTACTTTATATTTTTAAAACAGTCATATTCATTCTATATTATAAGTACAGTTATAAGCTACTTGTACTTTTTTCCTTGTTTACAGTTTAAAATTAAGATTTGAAAGACTAAATGTCATTTTGCAACTTTTACTTGTTTTCCCATCTGGAGTTTCCCTAAATGTTTTGAAAACCCCTGATTTTTTTTTTTTTTACAAATTCCAGAGTGATTTAAATTTGCTCAAATGGCAAGATGGCGGACTCTCACTGCAACGGACGAACAAGGTAAGGAGCCGGAGGGGGGGCTACCGGGCTACCGCACTACCGGGCAACCGGGCTACCGGGGGCCGGAGGGGGGGCTACCGGGGCTACTTCGTCCCCGGGCTCCCGCGATACCGGGGTTCGGTGCGGTGCTACTACGGGGTTACTATCGAACCGGGGTCGGGTGTCCGGGACTCCCCTCCCCGGGGAGGCCCGGCCACCCTCCCCCGGTGGCCGTTTTCCCAGATATTCCCCGGTTTTCCCGGTATTCCCGGTTTTCCGTTTTTCGTATTTTACCGCGGTAGCCCGTTAGCCCGCCCACTTCCTTGTTTTTGTCACATGACTAAAAAGAAGTCACATGACTAAAAACAAACCAATGAGAATGTAAACTAAAGCAGATTCAACCAAATATCTTAAAGATTTAGGGGGGGGGGGGCACGGAGCTACCGGGATACCGGTGCCGGTGTTGTGCGAAAAAGTGAATATTTGCGAGAATCTGATTAAGCTCGCGGGAGCGCGCACCGCAGCTGCTGAGCGATACCGTAAACCTGCTTTTCTCTGGATTAAACGGTCATGACATGCAGATACACACAGTTGCATTATAATATAGGCCTTATTAAATTATAATATAGGCCTAATTAAAGATTCGAAAGCTTAACGTTTGTCACATAACTGCAGTTACGTGACAGACATGTTTCTATACTCGGTCTGATGACTTTGTGTAGCCCTGACATTGGAGACTACACTACAATAAATATGATTCACTGGAGGGTTTTCGATAAAGATATGATAACTTTTGCAACGATCCTCGTGACTCTGCATTGTTTCTTATCTGATCTGGCCGTATATAGCACGAGTTTCCCATGTTTCTTTTTGTTTTGCAGTTTTCAATCGGTTTTCACCATTCAAAAATTGATTGAAGGCACAGTATAGTCACTCAAAGGTTATTTCTACCTAAATATGACTAGATTTCCTTCAGGAGATGCATGATTTAAAGATCTGAGCTCACAAAACAGCTTGGAACTATTTTAAAGGACCATTACAACACAAAATTACGGAGCCCCTCTGATGACATGGTCAAAAAAATTTTTTAATTGTGGCCACGAAGTAGTATTTCGTGCGTACGTAGTAGTACTTCGTGGCCACGCAATAAGTTTAATAAGTTTAACGTGCGCACGAAATACTATTTCGTGGCCACGCAATAAGTTTAACGTGCGCACGAAATACT